TGGGCTTTCATCAACTGGTTAAACAGGTTGCAGAAACGGCTTAAAGAAATGAGGATTCATTGGGCTCCAGAATCCTTTTTGCGTGTGGAGGCAAGTTCATTTATGTTCCCAGATTGCTGATTTATAATTAACTGTAATGTTCTGAAATGATTGTGGGGATTAAACCGAAGCTCATCAAACTTTTTTATGCCCGGATACAGTCAACGAACTTGTGAAATGATCTCCTACTAGCGGTATGATACAGTGATGATTCACACACAACTGTCTTCTGCGAAGTCTTTTATCAAATTCTTTTTTTTAAAATTCTAATGAACACTGTTGACCATTCATCAATCTCGAATATGTTTGAGTGGTCTCCACATGGTATTAGTGAGCTCTTGAAGGTAGTCGAGCTTGACCTGAAATTGCCGATAACATCAGTTGAAAATGAAAGCTTTTTAGCGTAAAAGGATTAAAACACATAGAAATGTATGTGGAGACACACGACTTAGTGATCTGCTGGTAACTGCATGCGTCTAAGACGATGCAAAAAACAAAAAAACTGAGTATTCACAAAACTAATTTTGAATTAGGTCGTTTGAAACAAAGTCAAAATCCGTTGTTTTAGCAAATTTTTATAGTAAATTTAATTTGCCATTTCGGAAAAACTGGAGTTTACATAGATTTTTCACATCGCTTGCAACTTGCACTATAGCAATGATAAATAATTACGTAAAAACCTAATTTCTAATAATTTATACATATTTTTCAGTGACAAATTTTCGCTGACAGTATATTATAGGCACACACCTTGCAGCACTGGCTTGCACGTGAAGACGAAATAAACAACTCAACAAGCCGACAAAATTTTGGTGCCCCCCCGACCCCCCCCCCTCGGCCCCGAAACGCTTTAAAAGGACGTCCCTTGTGTAAGGCAGTCCAAGTGATAACAATAGAGCATATAATCCCTTGCCTGGGGGTGCAAATCAGGTAGGTGGATGGCATATATTTATGTTTATCCCTTTCTTCTTTTGGGGGACGGGGTGGTGTAGGGATGGTGATGGAAATAAGTATCGCTTGAAAGGGTCATGAAAATAAAATTGAAAAAAAAATTATCCTATTTGCCTTTACAAGGTCATGTACTTAAAACAATCAATCTTTAACTTTCTTCATCATCTACCAATTGGTGTTCATCTCATTCTTATTAACGGTTCGTTGGTTTAATATATAATAAGTAATCTTGATCAATCAGGTCAATAGATTGTTATGGGAGTTTCTATCTTTATGTTACGAACCGATACTACAAAAAAGGTTCGATGGCTACGTTTGGTCTAGCGGTTAATTGTATTAACTTCACAAACCAATTGATGAACAGACAGCAGTATCTTTATTAACACGACTAAATCGTCAACTGCCATTACTCAAAGACAACACTACACAATCGTAATGCGTCATTTCCCCTTCCCACAACATACATAACAATATTCTAAGCACAACAGATATAGCAACACATATAATCTTTAAACAGCACGCAGTCATATTATACATTGAAGTCCTTAACTCTTTACATGGGCATTTTGAATCCTTTATGGACACACGCCCCCCCACCCCAAATGAGTTGCAAACTCTTGAAGCAACTCTAACGAAAGAAACTACTCCGTCTCTTCCATTTGACGTAATGAGACACGTAGCTAGACGTCGTCCCGGGACAAGAGTAATTTTTACGCCCCCCCCCCAACACACCCTTTTCAACTCTGAAACCCATTATTTTCATCAATTAAAAACCACCAAAGCCCATTTATTTTGGCGCCCCAGCTAGAATGGCACCCGTTGACATCAGCCCCACCCCCTCTTTAGTTACGCCACTGGGAGCAATGAAGGCGTATGTGTTATTCGTTATTCCACACCAGAACATCCACTGTCATGTTGATGTTTTCAAACACATTCAAATAAGTTCAATTACAGAGAATTTTCCCTCTTTGAACTCACTCTCCCTAATTTAAAGCTCTGGTCTATTGATCATCCGCTGACTTATCGATCAGCTCCGACTTACCGATCAGCCACGACTCACCGATCAGCCCTGACTTAACGATCACTTTAAAGAAAAGAATTAAACCTTCAGTCAGTGGCAATTTTTTAAATAAAATAACTACTCAGATAAACGCATCGCCCTGTCATCATTGCGAGTAGTTTGGTGTATCGAATGTCGGCTCGGCTTTCTGAAACCACCTTGCTAACAACATACCTATGAACTTGCTGGGTATTGTCATTCACCGATGTATTCATACTTATTGGATCATAACTTCTATTATTGACGAGGTCCGTGTATATTTACTTAACTAGAAGTTAAGTCTACATCGGTGAATAAGACAAGTACCAAAAATGGTATTCAACTTGATGACATTGAAGTCAAGTTACGTTTCTATGTACTTCTATACAGTGCTTTTTTTTTTTTTTTTTGTGCCTGTACGCACCGGTACGGCGTACTGGCACCTTTTTTAAATGTGGGGAAAAAATTATTAGTCTACTTTTCTTGTACTTTAACGTTTATTATTAATTTATTATATTATTAATTTGTTAAAATTGAATTATTTTAAAATCACTGAGTACCGGAAAAAATTATTAGTCTACTTTTCTTGTACTTTAACGTTTATTATTAATTTATTATATTATTAATTTGTTAAAATTGAATTATTTTAAAATCACTGAGTACCGGCACCTATTTAAAAAAAAAAAAAAAAAAAAAAAAAAAAATTCACTGCTTATATACCACATTTTACTTTACTAAAGTTAAGAAATTCAATTTAAATATATTACATAATATAGTTGTACATGCAGGCTGTGTCAATCACCGTAATAATGGCGATATAATAATATATTTATTTAAAATTATAGTAGAAATAAAGAGTTCTTTTAATCTCCAGCCGTTTTCATGAATGGCTCATCCAAAGAAGCTATTTTAAAGTTTGGAAAGATTTAAGATATATTGGCAAAAGTGCGGCGCCTACAGTGTACGTTGCCAGGCGCTCTCCATATTTCAATATCGACATGATTGTTAGGTCGACTTTTTTAAGAAACAAAGTCAAACATTATAATACTATAGTCTTCGGTCAGACTACAACAGCATAAAAATAATACACTCACAGCAATGAAAGTTTGAGCTTAAGCATTTGGGTAGGGAAAGGGGGGGGGGGGGAAACCAGCGATCCGCCACGTCAAATACTGCGGCCCAAGTTTCTTCGTTCGATTGACAAAGAAATCAAGTTGAAAACATACAAGTAAGAGAGGCGAATGCAATGCTAGGGCAGTAATTAAAAAGGAAATGAGTAAAATAAAGTATGTGAAAACCTGAAAAAAAGGACCGCAAAAAAAAAACACTCACGAAAAAAAAAACAACGAACGTGTCGGCAGGAAGCCTTCGTCGGCGAACAAACAACAGGAACAAAAACAGAATTAACTTTAAAAAATAGCACTCAGCTGAAAAATAGTATCCGAAAGGGCAGAGATGATTCAGGGCAGTAGTTTACTTTTATTCTGTATTGTTTTTTTTTAGCATTTTATAATGTGCATTAAGAAGACATAATAGTCATATACAGCATTTAGTGGGGGGTTGGGGGGGTGGGGGAGTTAGTTTTAATATTTTTATACAAAGTGAAAATGATATGCGGCCCGTGAGAGTTTCCTGATTAATTATAGTGGCCCCCGAGGCCTTTTGATTTGGCCACCCCTGCACAGAACTCCTAGCCAAGCAAACCAAGATCATTTGTTAGCAAAAATAAAAGTGGAAACTTCGCTTCTAGAAATGCACAATACATTGTCACAAAGACTGGTGCGCTGACGTAGTCACATAATGGGATTCTACATTTCTGTTAGAGGCTAAGGTTCAGAAATATCATCGCATTTTAATGTCCCCTCCCGGCGAAAGGATTTACCAGAGTCGTGCGATTTTTTAGTACTAATTCTCGCCGTTCATACACGGTGTCATCAAGAGACGGAACATTTCCCGGCTTATGGAGACTTGTTACCCTTTGAACTTTGAACAATAGGTAGCCGTAGTCGGACAGGCCGATATGTGCGTATATCGAAACCTAAAAGTAATCTTCAAATACATTTTTAAAAAATTAACTGAAATTTTATGTCTTAAAAATTCAGCTTCTTAAATGCCCTTATTTCTAAATGCTGAGTTACGCTTCTCGTGGATACTGCCCGTTTATTGTTCATTTCAGTTTCTAAATTGTGCCCCACTACCATGTCGTTGAGGAGAGCTGCGCTATATAATTGTGCCCCACTACCATGTCGTTGAGGAGAGCTGCGCTATATAATTGTGCCCTACTACGATGCCATGTAGGAGAGCTAAGTTATATAATAGTGCCCCACTACCATGTCATTTAGGAGAGCCACTCTATATAAATGTGCCCCACTACCATGTCATTTAGGAGAGCTAAGCTATATAATTGTGCCCCACTACCATGTCATTTAGGAGAGCTAAGCTATATAATTGTGCCCCACTACCATGTCATTTAGGAGAGCTAAGCTATATAATTAAACTAATCAAGGGTGAGGCGGCAATGAATTGCATTCATGTCACGTCTTCATTCTAATGAGGAGATGCTCACTTTCTGTTTACCCTTGATAGTTCGACTCCGACTCAACAACTCTGGCATAAATGGCAGCAGCATTTCATCTGTGTCTATCTATCGCTTGTTCTTTGACTTTCTATTTCTCTCTATATTCCTCTCTTTCTGTCTTTCTGTCTGTCTGTCAGTCTGTCTGTCTGTCTCTCTCTCTCTCTCTCTCTGTCTCTTTCTCTCTCTCTCTCTTGAAATTTCTCTGTGAATCTTTAGGTTTGTTTAGAGGAGAATGGCATTTCCTTAATTCAGTATACTGCCTACACCAGGTAGTTGACAATTTACCCTATCCACCACTCCACCCACCCACCCCCACAGTGTCACGGGCCCAAGGATAACAAAGGTGGCCATAAACAGCACGCAGGCCGTCTAGTCGGGGCAGGGCTGGTGTGACACAGAAACACACACACACACACGAGGGACTACCTGGCTACCTGGACCCGGTTGGGGGAAAGAATGTTTAGGTAGGTGTTTGTCCTGGGCCCTGTCAGTAGTGAACCAGTGGCGTACGAAGTGCGGACGTGTGTAGGTGGATGTGTCAACACCCTTTCTGATTATTTACTACGTGATCACCCATTCTGGCGTGTACGTACGTTCACGAAGACCTCCTCAACACCAATGACACAAGACTTAAGTCCATAGTGTTTGTGTTCAAACCAGTGGCTTTGTTGAATTCTCTCGATGGAAGTGTTGTGAACAAACTTAACACACACAGTCGTATTATTATTATAAATTATATACCGTAGTCACGATACAACAGTAACGTCACATAGAGACTTAGACTTTCGATTTCGTTAACAAAAAGGCTAGTTAACTATATTGATTTTCTCTTGACCTGTTACTTTTTAATTAATGTAAATGGATTTTTTAAAATTCGTGCTCAGAATCTACGAAATTATTTAAATTTAAAAATACTTTTCTTTTGGACATTTTAAATTTACAGAGTTATAATTATAGCCATCATCCCAGTTATGAGTGTTTAAACGCGTAAATTAGTTATAAATAGTGTATAATTAACCATACTCTGCCAATTTATACGGCGATATTTCAGTGATTAGTCCATATTTGATTTTGAACGTTGGGATTTCCGCTGTTTTATCAAGAAGGCAAGGGCGAAAGAAGGATAACAATACAGAACTGGATCTGATTCACGCAGTCACACAGGTAAGTGCTTGTTAAGTTCCAGCTTCTATATACAGCTTCTGTTAGTAACAATGTTACGAGGTACAAGATAAATCACCATGATTATGCGACATGTGTTATTTTTCTTTTTTTTTTTTTAAAGGAAAAAGATCTACATTTTATCATATGTATTATTTCATAATATTTTCACATCTTTTTAAAATGTTAAAAAAATTCATTGGAGCAAAACATTGGTTGGTGGGTAAACACATTATCCCATTAATTGAAATTATGCAAAGGTGCCGCCAAGTATTTAAGACAATATAAAGTTCAGAATGACTATGTTTGTATGTACGTATTTATCTTTTTTTCTAAATGGTGTGTATATGTATTTTAATCCGTTACCTCCTGGCCTATCCCCTGTTCCTGAAAATGTTGGTTAAGATCCGTTTATCACATAAGCTGTAATTAATAAGTGTCGTAAACAGCGCTTAAATAATATATATTTAAATGGATTGACAAAGCCACGTTAAAAAATCTGGGATGTTCAAGATAAGTTCTTTTTTTGATGTACGCACTGTGACCCAAATTTTATTCAGAATGGCGGGCTTTCAAATACGTATTAATTAATGGAAATTTTGTGTTGGTGCGCATTTTAAGTGACATCAAAAGGACATATTAAAGATGTGTGTGTGCTGGGGGGGGGGGAGGAGGCATTTTTAGTATTTTACCCCGGGGGAGATGTAGTCACTGGTATGTTTTTTTGGGGGCACGCATTTTTATTAACTAAGGTTTAATTTATGTTCATAGAACATTGAGTTTTCCACAAAAAAATTTTTAATCATTTTTGAAGCCATTTTTGAAACTAAAGAGACTTTGTTTAGTGCAACCATGTTCTTTAATTCAACGGATATTATAGGACATGGTGTTTTACGTAGCCTACATTGTACATGTTCCATCGTGATTAGAAACCATAGTTCATTGCTGCGTGGTAAAAGAGGGATTTTTACTTTATATGACCTGGTACTAATAATAAAAAGAAATTCAGTGGCGTGCATAAAGGGTGCAAATGGGTTACTACGGTTTTAAAATCCTTTGGTTCTTTTATTCATTTTTATTATCAACTTTATATTATTTTTTTAATAATATTTGGGAGGGGGGGAGATAATCTAAGGTTGGGGATCTAGATCCGCTGAGCATTTGGTCAGACTCGTCACTGAATGGGTGGGTTCATGATATCAACTGAAAGTTCGACACTATAGAAGCGGGCTAATTATCTTAATCTAGGTTTATTATGATTATTCCATTGGGTATCTTGACCAGGAAGTATTTTCATTCATTTAACTTTAAACCATTTGTATGTCCTATCAATGTGGATCATTAGGATGATTATGTAAAGAGCTATTCCTATCACATCAGGACCTTCTATTTGTGAACCTTTCTTTTTTTTTCTTTTTTTTTTTCAAATTAACTACCTCAGGCTATCAGCAAAGATATCGAGACTCAACAAGTGTCCAATGTTAGACTCTAAAAATGTCGGACTCAACAAATGTCCAATGTTAAGACTCTAAAAATGTCCAATGTTAGACTCTACAAATGTCCAATGTTAAGACTCTACACATATCCAATGTTAGACTCTACAAATGACCAATGTTAGACTCTACAAATGTCCAATGTTAAGACTCTACAAATTTTTTATGTCAGACTCTACAAATGTCCAATGTTAGACTCTACAAATGTCCAATGTTAGACTCTACAAACGCCTAATGTTATACTCTACAAATGCCTAATGTTAGACTCTACAAAGTCCAATGTTAGACTCTTCTAATGTGCAATGTCCTTATTACGTTTCTGTTTACTGTCTAAACTGATTGTCCTGTTTACTTTGTACTTTGTCTTTACGTGAATAAGCATAAGCGCCGGCTACTTGACGATATATTTCCAATCAACGGGAACATGACTTTCTATTTCTTATCTGCTGAAGAGATTACGACCTGACTTCAGAGATTAGATGCGTCTTGTCCCAAGTGTGTGGCATTGGGCGTTTTTTTTAAATGAGTTAATGTATCAATAATGAGTCATCGCCGTGTCAATTATAATAATTTAGTCGTTACAAAAAACCCAACAAGTCGTTCCTAGTACACAGCTGCATACTTGCTGGTTGCTCTGACACACAAACAATTAGTGATTAGTTCCGAATATTTTTTTTAATGAAGTGTTTGTTCGCATACCGAACAGCTGCACAGCATGTCTCGAACTATTAATAGAATGAGACAAGTTTTTTTTTTTTAAATGTGTTGGATTGAAGTTTGGAACACGGTTAGATTTGGTTATTTTAAAAAAATCCCTTTATATGACATGGAGAGGCTGAAGGGAAGGGGTCGTCAAATTACGGCACGCATGCCAAATCCGGTCCGCCAAGGGTCCTTAACCCGTCCACGGCACGGGTACCCGGGTAACAGTGATAAATTATGGCACCGGACATTGGTCATCTCGCTAGCCCAAAGCAGACACATACTTTTAATTGACATTCTTTTAAGTTTACGTTAAGTAAAAGTATTCTTAATGTTAATATTGAATTTGGCCAAACACACTTGCCTATTATTTTAATTTTTTTACAAATTTATCCACACAGACTCGCAAGATATGTATAACAAATTCGTTCAAGGCTTTGTAACACAATCTTATTGATTGTCAATTAAATTGTCAAATACGATAATAGTTCTCAGGTGAAATATCCTCCATTTTTAAATGACCTAATTATTTTTCTTATTCATATCCCACATCTTTGTATCATCCCTTCTCAATGAGTCTGACGGCTTCTCTAACCACTCAGTCTATCGGCGTGTCCAGGATTTGTCAACTCCCAGTAGTTAATGCTTCCGGTCCCAGAGCTCGTGTTAGTTTTGGGTCAGGTCAAGACGCACTTGACTAGTTCCAAGGCATCAGTTTGGGGCCAGTTTAACTTTAAACCATTTGTATGTCCTATCAATGTGTATCATTATGTAAAGAGCTGTTCCTATCATGTCGAGAAATTCTATTTGTGAACCTTCTTTTTCTTTTTCTTTTTTTTTTTTCAAATTAACCCTTCAGGCTCGTATCCTGAAATTTGATCGAAAGAAATTTCGTCGACGGTAATTTGATCGAACGGAAATATGGTCGAATCTGTTTTTCCGTTTAAATTTTGCTTCAAAGTCTTTTTGAACGCATTATTTTGTTTTACTATATAGTAGAGTGCGTTCAAAAAGAAATTTGACGAAAATTTTAACGTGTGAACTGAAAAAAAAAGATTCGACCAAATTTCCGGTCGATCAAATTACCGTCGATCAATTTACCGTCGCCGAAATTTCTTTCGATCAGATTTCCGGTAACCCTTCAGGCTATTAGCAAATATATCGAGACTCAACAAATTTCCTTGACACAGTTTTTAACCTCTCCTTTTTCCTGGAATAGTTGTTTTGACACCACCTATTTATTGAGCTCTGATGAAGCTTGTGATGCACCAATGTTTGTATTTTTTAGTTTGAGAATGGTTTGTATCCAGACCCCAAAAGCTATTGCGCGCAAATATAGCTACAAGAAAGAAAAAAAAAAAAAAAAAAAAAAAATCTTTCGATCAGATTTCCGGTAACCCTTCAGGCTATTAGCAAATATATCGAGACTCAACAAATTTCCTTGACACAGTTTTTAACCTCTCCTTTTTCCTGGAATAGTTGTTTTTACACCACCTATTTATTGAGCTCTGATGAAGCTTGTGTTGCACCAATGTTTGTATTTTTTAGTTTGAGAATGGTTTGTATCCAGACCCCAAAAGCTATTTCGCGCACATATAGCTTCAAGAAATAAAAAAAAAAAAAAAAAAAAAAAAAAAAAAAATGCCTTTATTTAAATGTTCGGTTTTAATGAATCATATTATTATTTTTTTTGCTGCATATTCTGCTGTCTTGAGAAAATCCGTTCTTAGTTTTCATTTCACTTCCCAATAGCAATAGCATGTTTGGATTCATGGTTTAAGCAATTACGTGTCTAGAGGAAAAGGGCTGGATGCTTTATTGACCACCACGTTTTTTTTCCGTCGTGTGTTTGATAACAAAATCTATTTCATTACAACGCGCCTTCTCATCCTTCCTTTACCTTTAGGAGTATTTCTTGAGCCCGCCCGGGTCTCCTTTACGCACCCCCCCCTCCCCCGTCTTACCATTACCATGTTAACACATTTCTTGACATGAGTTATGAGCAACAAGGAAGTGACTCCGAATAACTCAAACTTTGTAAAGTCTTTAATCTAAATCCGATGCCACAACATCCCGATAAAGCGGGTAGACGAGGACTCTAGACATGAGCCATGACTACCACTCGAGATAACCGAAGAAGTGCCCGGGTCTACTCATGTAATAATTACTTCACTGACATCTCATCAGCGGGGTTGGTCCTGAAATGAACACGAGACGTCGTGACGCCTCACTGCGCTGTTAGGAACTGAGTGGTGTTCATTGATAACACAGCTGTGTTGACAGTGTTGACAATGCATTTGCGTGTAACAACTGTGTTTGTAGTTCTTGCGGTAACACAGCTGTGTGTAACACAGTGGTAGCTGTGTTGACCATTCTGAAGTAACACTACGCATTGATAGCTGTGACTGTGGTGACGGTTCTGAAGTAACACTAACACTACACAGTGGTAGCTTTGGTGACAGTTCTGTAGTAACCCAGTGAATGAGAGTGACAGCTGCCTTGACACTTCTGTACTTACACATTAGTAGTTGTCTTGACAGTTCTGTAGTAACACATTGGTATTGGTGGCTGCCTGGACAGTTCTGTATTAACACATTGGTATTGGTGGCTGCCTTGACTGTACTTTAGTGAAACATTGGCAACTGTTTTGGCAGTTCTATTTTGAAGTGTAACACACATTGAACAAGGTGTTAAAAATCTGTGTTTAGCACGTCGTCATCTGCCCAGTGTGAGGATCTAGGAAAAGAATATATAACACTATTAGTTTTAACAATTTTTGTTAACAATTATTTGGGTACCATCATATGGCCAGCATAGACATTGATGACTCCAGTTTTTATTCAGTTGGGACCCAGGGTGAAGCGTTGAAGCAATCGGACAACGCCAATGCATTGAGAAACTCGGAAAATGAGCGCCCTTACCCAACGAAGCTTAACAGGTCTTCTCACTTCATCACCTCATGTCATCATTCAGCTAATGATTCACTGAGAGCTATCCCAGAGAGTCTCAAAATTCTTGTCCAACCTAGGATAAGGTTTCCTGTGTACAAACCAATAGGATGACTCAGGCAAACCAAGTGGTCGTGTTTGACCAGTTTGAAGCCCTAGCTAGCCCTGGTCTCGTGCCCACCCCCCGCTTGAATGAAGGTAATGGGGTTTGGACTTGGTGAGGGTAGATGAGAGGTTTAGGGAGGGGCGGTAACCATTCAAATGTCCGACCCTGACGATCAGAGTAGGTGCAGGGGCACAGGGTAATGGCTGCTGGGTTGGGATCAGAGCTAACAATTCATTTTTGCTTGTCACGGGTCGCGCTGTCCCATAGGCTCACGCAAAGTTCTAGGGCGCTATTAATTTGTTTGCTTTTTGAGGGGCCCGGAGTACGGTTTGGGGGGGGGGGCAGAATTTGAAAATCTTCCATATAAGTCTCAAGTTGTCTAGTATGTTTGGTTAAAAGTTCAAGATATGTCTTAACCAAACACCAGGTAGCATGAGTTCGGTGTTAAAGAGGGGGTGGGTGGAGTTGATCAACAACATTACGTCACTTGGACCAAAAACGTGACGTATTTCGTTTCCCCTTTCAATTTACTGTTCACGCCTACATGCGGCGAAAAGCGAGCATTCACAATTGTGATAACACTTTACCATTTCTGCTAAGTGCGTAATTTGATTAGAGATCGTTTAAGAGTATCCCCCCCCCCCCNCCCCCCCCCCCGGGGGGACCCCCCCACCCCCCCCCCCCCCCGCCAAAAAAAAATTAATAAAAAAATCAATATTTCATCCCGGGTCGCCCTAACTTTCGAATTCAGCCATGGCTCGCCAGGACGATGATAAATTTGCGCCTTGCAAACTTCTTGTATGACCGCCATTCAATATCTCGTGCGGGTCCCTTTGAAAAAAATAATGTTAAGCCAATATTTGAAACCCTTTTTTTTTTCCTTCCTCTCTTAAAAAAAAAAAATCCTTTGACATGCTGCTGGTCCAGTAACTGGGAGAGAACGAGTTGTGTGCGAGGTATCATTTCAAAACCTATGCATTGAGATCAACACGGGTGTTTTATTGATGTTATAGAATATGCTGTAACAGAATTTGCAATTCCCAAGGCTTAGCCTCGTGCAGTTGTTTTTTTTTTACACCCGGTTCAGTTATTTTGAGAAAATATCACATTTGTCTAAGTGTTTAAAAAAAAAAAGTGAAATTCTAATTTTCTGCAATAAATTTCGGCCTTTAAACAATAGTCCTGCAGACAGTCCTACACCCTACCTGTTGGCCTTTAAACAATAGTCCTACACCCTACCTCTCCTCCTCATCCTCATGTCCATTAGTCCTTGGACCGTTGGGGCGCCACAGATGACATGTGAACCATCCTCCTCCATTCCTCTCTGTCTTCAGCACTACGCCCTGCATCGCCCAGTGTTAGTCCTGTCCCCTCTTTGATGTTATCCTCCCATCTTTTTCTTTGTCTTCCTCTTCTTCTCCCTCCTCTTGTGGTGCCCTGCAATATTTCTTTGTCAAGCCCTTGTTTCCTTGTTGCGTGGCCATACCATTGTAGTTTGCGTTTCTTCACAGTCACCAGTAGGTCATCGTACTCCCCAATTGCATGCCGAACAATTTCTTTCACTGTATCATTGGAGATATGGTCCCTATAGCAGATGCCAAAAATGCTTCTGAAGCATCCCATCTCCATCGCCTTTATTTTCCTTTCAAGATCGGCTGTTAATATCCAGGATTCGCTGGCATACAGGAAAATGGAGAGGACTCATGAGCGCATCACCCTACCTCCCGGCCTTTAAACAATAGTCCTGCAGACATTTGTTACGCACTGGCTTCTAATATGAGAAACCAATCTCCTATGTTAATTTTATTGGCTCGTTGTAAACAGTGCCTTACAAAGGACGATACCATAGAGTCAACAATATTAAAGATACGACACCCAAAACAGTTGCCAGTTACAATTAATTAAGATTTATTAAGTATTAATACAATAACAAAACAAAAGAAATATAATTATAAATCATCAACTTACAGTATGATAGATCTTGTACCGGTACACAGTTAATACAATGTGCCAATTAATAATGATGAATGCGAAATAAACACATACATAAGAGCACAACGAATAATAAACAATACACGTCTCGTGAAGTTAATAATTATCTATCTGAATCTCCGTCTCTCCGTCCGTGCCTGTCAATCCCTTATATAGGTCGGGTAAACCCTGCCTTCCAGAAAAGACTTATGATGCGTTGTTTACATTTCTCGTGTTATCGAACACATTCGAGAAAATACCAGGAAGACAGTCTAACATGTTTAATTGGTAAACACGGTTGTAAACAAGATGCATCAAACGAATAGGCCACGCCCACAACAGACGTTACTGTCTGATAGGATTCTAATTTAAGTCAAGTAAAATTCAAGCACGGGGAATGTATGCTACATAACACAGTTCTACACCCTACCTGCCAGCCTTTAAACAACAGTCCTACAGACAGTGCTGGGTGGACCCGGCTGCCATCATTGAGAGAGCAGTGAGCATGCTAAAATAGCATGGATACTAAGCTATATAAGTATATAAAGTATATATATACTTTTCAGCTGCAAATTTTCAACAATTTATGTAAATATATATTTATATATATTTATTTATTTATATGTGTGTGTGTCATTATCGAAATTTCAAACGATTTATTCTTATATTAAACTTCTGCACAATACCTTAATGTACCGAAAGTTAAAGCTATGGAAAAATAAAATAATTTTTTTATATATTTTTTTCTTTAAAAAAATATTTCAAGAGATGATTGCTAAAAGATGATATAATTGTGTATACAGGTTAATGAACAAAGAAATGCTTTGGTTAAACATTTAATCATATCTAAAACGTTGTAATAAATGAGCACCATCTGAAGTATGTAACAAAATAATATATTATGAAAGATGCACACCTTTCCGACAGTGAATATGTTCAGGTGTTGTGATGTGTTATGTAGACGCACAGGTCGCCGTCAGCTGTCCCATCTATGACGGACATATCGTCTAGGGCATGGTTCGGGAACCTATGGCTCGCGAGCCAGATGTGGCTCTATTGATGGATGCATCTGGCTCGCAGACAAATGTTTGATTATGTTTGAACTTAATATTAATTGCATATCAATATTTGATTAGCAACAGCATAACAACGCTATTCAAAAGAATTCAGAGACATAATTATTGCATTTTTAGTGTTGAAATTACACAAAATGCGCACATTTACTTGAATTTTTAGTTTTAAACATAATGTATGGCTCTCACAGAAATACTTTTCAAAATATGTGGTGTCCATTGCTATGTCAGACAAAAAGGTTCCCGACCCCTGGTCTAGGGAATGAATTTTCCCAAGGTTACATCAAAGGAATTATTGCATTCTTTATGAAGGCAGCGAGGAATTATATTGTAGAGGAAAGTATTCCGGAACATCAAGAAAATGACTACGATTATTTTTCTAAGAAATCTTCGAATCCAACTCCAGATATATGATTCATATGACGTTTTCAACGTTATTTTTCCTATAGCATTTTCAATGTAGTCTGGTAAACCACATTTTATTTGAACGACTTGGAAAAATACGTGGTGACGAAATCTGTAACAACTTGGGCAGTTGTTGGCTAACTGCTGTGTCTCGCTGAAAATTTGATTAAGTTTTAAGTAATCATGAGGTCGAGACGCTCTAGACTTTAGATACATGATCGACTACGAAGGTAGACCTAAAAACAACAACAATAACATTGGTGACCACCTTGATGGGTCATAGACATAACAAAACAAAGATGGCGTCGTATCGGCAATACTTGTGTAGATGACGCGCTGGACTTACCCCGATCGCCGGGTCAACCATTGTTTAGCCACGAGACAATCAATTATGTAAATACTAATCATGGCCGGGGGTGGGAAGGGGTGGGGTTATTTAGAAAGGAGATTTAATCGATACGCTGCAGTGATCGAACTGCACTCAACGATAAGAAAGTCATTGGATAAGATACTACAGTTTTGACACACAATGTTAATTTGGCAAAATAAATTGCACACGTTAAGGTGGTGGCGAATTGTTAAGACAGCAACGTTTAGCATACAAATTAATTGTTATCTCAAATGTTCACTCCGCAACATATTAGGAAGATTTAATTTTCTTTCCCCACGTCATTTAAACGATAGTAAATAAAGGAGTGCGTTCAAGCTATGTGAAGGACATAGTAGAGGCAAGGTATGTGGAGGACATAGTAGAAGCAAGAAGTGTGGAAGCTTGAATCAAACGTCAGGAGGAAAGAGGAGAAAGTTTTGGCCATGGACCTTTCTCAGCGGATTTGACAGACGAAAAAAAAAACTACAAGAATTAGGAACTTGTCATTTAAACCGCATTTGTTTTCTTGAAAACTGAAACCGTACGAACCCCTTACACTAAACACACCCCGCGAGTCCTTTCACGACTTGTGTAAGCCAACACACACTCCACACTTACAGCCCCGCTTACTGACAATAGCATGTAATGTAAATGTATAACTATAACTATACCGTGGTAAAAACCAGACCGAAAACACATTCGAACAACGTCACCAACATCAGTGAACCACGTCATATTATGTACACATGAAAGAATTGCGTAATATGTAACCTATACGTTTGTATAGACATTCGTCAAAGTTCATAACAGAGAATGAGGTCTATACTCTCGGCACATGCTTATTTTTTTTTAAAAAAGCCATACAATTTTATAGTATTAAGATTCAGAAGCGGGCACAGCGGAGAAATGTCTTAGCTGAGAGTTGCCACCTGCTGAGTCTGTGTTGTCCTGCTATTACGGAATACCTCTCCTTAACATATCTTCTTTTATGAGCTTCAAGCAGTTTGAATATTTAAATATTTAATCTTGATCGATTATACTCTCAATGCTAGGGGTTTCCTCAAGCCCTCCTTGAGAACCTCGAATATGCATATGGAGTGGGTTACAGTGAGAGAAAAATTATCTCTCTTATAAAGGGTATGCCATGTAATGGCGGAAATCGATATTATGGCCAAAATCTCATTAATGGCGGAAAGATATTAATAAATCATCTTGGTATTCCGTATGGCCAATCTCTCAACAAACTGTTCGGTACTTTTAAGTTAATGTGAGACAGCGTACTGTGTCTTAACTTAGACGAAAACTTGTTTACAGCTTTATTTTACGATATATTTGACTAACAAATTTGTTACTGCTATAGAAATATGCGGAAATGCATTGTTGGAAGGTATGTTTTACGAAGACAATGTCTAAAAATAGTAACTTGACGTAATGCGATGTAAAGTTTTCCGGTCTTGGCAATGACAAACCCAATTGTCAAGCGTGTAGATGCTGTAAGTAAATTAAAGCTCAAATGATATTTCTTGACAAAAGAACGCACCAGAAGTGTCTGCATAATGAAAATTGTGCCTTGAACCGTGTCAGCCCAGTGCGCCCCTTTTGCGTGTTCAGGTAGTTCAAAAGACGCCATGTAAGGTGTTCACGAAGAAAACAAAAAACCGTAGTCTTATGTCTTGACTTTAGGCCAGCATAAGCTAGTGATGCAAGACAACTATTTTCTTTTTTTTTTTTTTTTTTTTTTGTGAGAGTTTTTTTATATTAATATATAAGGCACAGTTGCATGCTAACAACACAATATGTTTAGTGAACCTAAAGAAAGGCATTTTGACCAGCGGTTCTCAACTTGTGGGTCGCAACATCTTTGTGGGTCGAACGACCCTCACAAACACAAATATTTATGAAGTAGCAACGAGAATAATTTTATGGTTGGAAGTCACCACAACATAAGGAACCGTATTAAAGGGTCGTGCCATTAGGAAGGCTAGGCTCAGAACCATTGCGTTAGACAAACGATCTAAGTTTTGTCGGTGATGACGTGTATATCCTTTGCACAACATAATGTTGGCTGTATACACTGTCTTAGAGTGAAATGTGGAACAGGCAACGGTGAGTGGGCCGTGTACAGGACCGTGTGAGATAGGAACAGGGAACGGGGAGTGGGGCGGGTACCGGACCGTGTGAGATGGGGGGGGGGGGTGCTGTTTAGAGCTTGCCAAAATCGTCAAGACGTCAATTATTCATTCAAAATATGGGAGGAGAGGCGGGCTGAATTCAGGTTTTACCCTGGGCGGGGCTCTTACTTATCAAGCCTCTGGGCATGTAAACAATGGTGGTAGAAAGGTGGCTAGGACATAGTTTATAGGACAGTGGTAGAAAGGTGGCTAGGACATAGTTGATGGGGTATTGGTAGTACGGTGGATAGGACATAGTTGATAGGACTGTGGTAGTACGGTGGATAGGACATAGTTGATAGCACAGTGGTAGAAAGGTGGCAAAGGACAGAGGTAGAAAGGTGGCTAGGACATTAGCAAAGTTGTCGGTATAACGATGAATAGGACACATTTGATAGGACTAGTAAAACGTTGGATATGACGATGGAAAGGGCAAAGTTGATAGAGGAATTTTTTTTTTTTTTTAAATTGACAAAAAATGAAAGTACGTCAGTTCACCTGATTAGATTTTTTAAAAAGACACCATAAATTTTGAATGTCACTCCGACTTTAGATAAAATATTTAGGATTTTAAGTCCAATTTAATAAATGTCATCTTCTTTTAGATACACCAGCAGGTCGTCGTCAGACCTAAGACTCAAAGAACGTGACTAGCACTCCCATTAAAAAAAATCTCAGCCCCATATTATATTTACTGCACACACAGGATGTGATGGGGCGAGAGTCGCAAAAATCCAGGTATACAGAACAACGCCCAGTGACGTCCAACCTACTCCCCATCTAAGTGATTCATCTGCCGCCCAACCCCTACTTCCACGCCGACTGTTATTAAATTTCCGTTCTCTGTCCCACCCCCACCCCCTGCTCCGGCCACCCAACCTTGAAGGTCCATTGTTGTTTGCTATGCAAGTCTTGCGCCTTGACGAATTGTCTCGACGGACCGAATCGGTCTTTATTTATTAACAGGAGCGTAGATGTCTCTCTTGAAGAATGTGCAGTGTTCCCCAACATCAAGATCCTGTCTGTACGACCACAGGTATTCTGTTTGGTTGGGTGCAGATATTTTTATACGTCTCTTGAGGCGGTCTTGGACCAACTGAACGCCTCAGTGCAAAGAAATTTAAGATTTTCTACCCACCCCAAACCCACACACAAAAGTAAAATATGTAGCCATGAAAATGGTAGGTGGAGTTCACACAAGAAGCGGGTCAATGAATGATGGAACTGTACGGCGGGTTTATTGGGTTGATGACCCGTGGCCTTTCTCTTTCGTTAAGTAGATGCTGGGAACCGGCAACTCACGTCATTGCCCGGGGCGCCATGTGCTTAGCGTGCCATCAACGGTCTTCCAAAAATAGGGGGTGGGGCGATCACTGCATGTTGGCGCTACGGAGGAAAAATAGAAAGTGCAATAAAAAAAAAATTGGCTAATCTAAAGGCTAGAAAAAATGTCATCGCAAGTCTAATTGTTTGTACTGTCCAAATGCAAGTTAAGAAAAACAATCTTATTGGTGATTGTTAAATACAAAGAAAACCCTAAGTCATAAACTCACCACGTAATCCCCAGTTTTTTCCTTGCACAATTTTCTTATGATTACACTTAAAAGGGAGGCGCCAAATTTCAGCTTGGCCGGGGCGCTAGCATCTATGGGACCGGCCCTGGTGATGTGGATTTTTTTGTTTTACTGCAATGACTGTTCAGTCCGCTCAAATTGAGTCACCACCTCATTTGAAGTCTTCAAAATCTTCAATTAGGTCACAGCCCAGTTTACATCATTCTCTCCGAATTCATATCACACCCAAATGTGTCATTCCCCAATGTTAAGTCATGCCCGAGTTTGTTTGATTAACCAATTGAATGCCCCTCCTTCAATAACGAATTGCTGCCAATATACTCGGGCACTGGCAAGTACCGATAATATTTTCCTTAAATAATTGAGTTGTTCCCTCAGAGACATTAAAAACCACACAAAATTAAATACATTGTGTCTGTACTCCCGGAGCCCCGCTATGCACTTAGGCATCATAAGCTAAATATATACCTGTACATAACTCTTGCCAATCAAATGTTCACCAACAGCATCATCCCATAAATAAACACTACAAAAAATGGGCCTGTCATGCTCAAAGACAATGTTTAAAAAAGGGGTGAATTCCTCCTTTTTAATGACATCTCTATTATTGTTATTCGTTTATGGCCATACAAATATATTTCAATTACTAAAAGTTTCAATCTGCAGGTAAAACGCGGAGCTTTGAGGCTTGAAAGGGCCGCGAAATTGAAATTAATCCTTATGACTGCAGAATGCGAATGGCTTTTTTTTTTTTATAGTTCCTCTTCAGGGAGGTGTGATTATACTTTTTTATATTGTCATTTTTGGGCGTTGTGAAAAACGTTTGTGAAAAAGTGCCTTAACCAGTGTCCGCCCTGGCCGTAACCAGTGTCAGCCCTGGCCGTAACCAGTGTCAGCCCTGGCCCAACCAGTGTCAGCCCTGGCCCTAATCAGCGTCAGCCCTGGCCCCAACCAGCGTCGGCCCTGGCCCTAACCAGTGTCAGCCCGGCCCTAACCAATGCCAGCCCCGTCCCTTACCAGTGTTAGCCCTGGCCCTAACCAGTGTCAGCCCTGGGCCTAACCAGTGTCAGCCCCGGGCCTAACCAGTGTCAGCCCTGGCCCTAACCAGTGTTAGCCCTGGCCCTAACCAGTGTTAGCTTTGAGCCTAACCAGTGTCAGCCCTGGCCTTTGCCAGTGTCAGCCCTAAGCCTATCCAATGTCAGCCCTGGCCCTAACCAATGTTAGCCCTGGGCCTAACCAGTGTCAGCCCTGGGCCTAACCACTGTCAGCCCTGGCCCTAACCAGTGTTAGCCCCGGCCCTAACCAGTGTTAGCCCTGAGCCTAACCAGTGTCAGCCCTGGCCCCAACCAGTGTTAGCCCTGGCCCTAACCAGTGTCAGCCCTGGCCCTAACCAGTGTCAGCCCTGGCCCTAATCAGCGTCGGCCCTGTCCCTAACCAGTGACTGCCCGGCCCTAACCAATGCCAGCCCCGGCCCTTACCAGTGTTAGCCCTGGCCCTTACCAGTGTCAGCCCTGGGCCTAACCAGTGTCAGCCCTGGCCCTAACCAGTGTTAGCCCTGGCCCTAACCAGTGTTAGCTTTGAGCCTAACCAGTGTCAGCCCTGGCCTTTGCCAGTGTCAGCCCTAAGCCTATCCAATGTCAGCCCTGGCCCTAACCAATGTTAGCCCTGGGCCTAACCAGTGTCAGCCCTGGCCCTAGCGAGTGTCAGCCCTGGCCCTAGCCAGTGCCAGCCCTGGCCTTAACCAGTGTTAGCCCTGGCCCTAACCAATGTCAGCCCTGGCCCTAGCCAGTGTCAACCCTGGCCCTAGTTAGTGTCAACCCTGGCCCTAAACAATGTCAGCGCTGGCCCTAACCAGTGTCAGCCCTTGCCCTAACCAGTGTCAACCCTGGGCCTAACCAGTGTCAACCCTGGGCCTAACCAGTGTCAGCCCTGGCCCTAACAGCTTCTTTAATTAAACTTTACTAAACAAAACACTAACAGAACAATTTCAGGATCGGTGTAGATAAGAATAAATAGAAAAAAAAAAGTAGCGTTCTATTCCAACATGTGTTACATTGTATAAATGCTTCTTGGGGGGGGGGGGGGGGAANTGTCGACCACGACTTGTCCTATAGTAACAACATGCGGCTACATGCGCCACTAACCCTCAATAAGAGTATTCTAAGAAATGCAGCGGTGAATTTTATAGATATAACATATTTAAAGAGGTGTGGTTTGGTCATGGATCAGCTCGGGAAGTATACAGACCCACCTTTGTTTTTTTTTAGATAATGATTTGAAAAGAGAAATGTTTGAAAAAAAAAAAAATAATAAAAAAAATAATAATGAAAATAATAATGAAAGAAATATAATAAAAATAACAATGAATTAATTACTAAATAATAAATATATCGAAAAATATTTTGTTCTGTCAAAGCACAATGAAAACCTACACAAAATTATAATAAAAAATCCCAAAATATATGTTCTCTTCAAACTGAGAGCCCCTTAGTTAAGATCAGGTGGCCTCAAATTTAAATAATCCGGGGGCCGCAGGAGGTAGAGTAAGCGTGAGACTGGGCCGCATTAAGTATTCCACACAAAAAGCGGTCACATATTTATTAAAGTACAACTGTTACCAGCTGCTAAACCTATATTAATAACAAATAAAAACATTAAGGGTTCTCAAGAACTTCACTTCCTTCCTCTTAGTCCTTGTTGCCAGAGATCTGGCGGCGCTTCTTCTTACACAGCTGAGCAACTTTGGCTAGAGTTAGGAAGAAACTGAGAGCCTCACTATAGCTTAAAGATGCTCATCAGTAAGTTTGGCCCTAAATTTCGACTCTTTATAGTTCATAAGTGAAAAGAGCTTTTCACACAGACAGGTACTCCCAGAAAGGCACATTATCCACTTAAACAACCTGGAAATTTCAGGAAAGGTGGAGGGCAATGCTCTCATATAGTGTCCATGCTTGTATGTTTTTCTATTCACTTCTCTGAACTTAGAATTGTACTGAAGATACATCAGCTCCGTTTGAAGAAGAAAAAAAAAGTGGGGTGAAGGGATCTTCCAAATTAAAGGAGAAAGGGTCAGCAAATGTTGAAAAATGGCTCAGTGTGTTTTGAAGTCTATAAAAATGTGATCAAATTCCTCCTGTAGCTTTGCAATTGCATCAGTATACCTACTACTGACTGATGTGCCCGAGTCCATGAGTACTTTGCATGTTGGGAAATGGCAGAGGTTTCTCTAAGAGCCATAACACAAGTTTTGTACATAATGCCCTGACATTGTCATAGGCAACACTGAAAAGTTGCCCCCCTGGTCTTGTGACTTTTTTCTGAGTACATTCAGCTCTTGTGTAATATCAACAAGAAAAGCCAAGTCCATAAGCCATTTGGGATCACTTAGTATATGAAAAACCACTCCATTCTTCCCCATAAAGGTTTTAAATGCTAAACGTGTTCAAACAGTAGGCAGGAGCAGGCAATATTCATAAATTGATTCAAAGAAAAATACTATTGTAGGGAGAATGAATTTTGATTTTTAATCTAAGAAAAGCCTTTTTGACTAACCCTATTTTGCAAGTGACCAAGCTGACAGGCTCGGAATTTCCCACAGTCGTAAACACTAGTGGCAATTTTAAAAGAGATTCTTGGATACTGTCGCCACGATTTACAAAAATATGGTTGTGCATTACCCAGCAACTGACCTTTTAAAAATTTTCTCAAAACCGCCCTTAATAATCAACGTTCAAAAATATACAAACAATCAAAATCAGAATTAGACTAGCCAGTGAGATTCGACTGAAACCGTCGCGGAGGATCACATTATAGATATGAGAATAAGGAAAACGTGCGGGCCGCATTAATACTAAACTTTGCTGTCATGTAGCTAGCGGGCCGCAAAATATCGTCTTGTAGGCCGAATATGGCCCACGGGCCGCAATTTTGAGACCCCTGGTTAAGATGTATCTGAACAATATGGAAGGTTATCTGCATGTTCAACTACGAAGTGTCCGCGCAACTCCTTCAAGCAAAACCTTGGATTAATCTTGTCGCCCAAGTGGAGGTCCCGCCGTTATCAGTTGGGGAATCCAGAATAAAAGTCACTGGAATATTACAAGCAGGAAACAATATTGTTATAATTGTAAGTAGTCAAGTCATTCATTAGTATATACCGGTGTATATGTATGTATATGACCTTAATGTGTTTACAAGATGATTATATAGCGTTTGGATAATCTCTTAAAGAAATATGCCAGTATCACAGACGTCAGTATTATAGGTATGGTATTTACATGTCTATTAATAGACTAGGCACGTTATAAAATAATTATTTTAAAAAAACAACAAAGAAACGTTTAATAATATAGCAAACTTTGAAGCTTTATTAAATGCCATTCGAGAAGACAACAAATAGTCTACACTATTAATTGAGAAAACAATGTTTGTTGTGTACATGAATTTGGAAAGAAAGTAATGAAGAAAACAACTGTATAAATCAGGCGTCAAACTTAATTAGGAAATGTTTCCTGGGCAAAGTTTGTGTGCATAACGAACACTCAAATAGTGTTACCACCTCCGGGCGTTTAAATTAATGTATGAATGATGTTGAGGCCTTGCTGTGTCCATGCTTCAAATCTTATCAAGCATTTTATTTTCATAGGGAATTTGTACATAAGCTTGGGAATTTCAATAAAAAAATTTGACATTTTATAACCACTGACGTTGGAATGGTGAAGCAGAGTACTATGCATTTTAAAAAAAGTGCTGCTAGAGCACTCTTTATGGCTCAAGCAGCACTTTTTAAAATATTTATTATGGAGCAGAATTTTCTACCAACTGAATAGTTTGTTGTTTTTTTTTTGTTGTTTTTTTTTGTTGTTTTTTTTTTCGGGGGGGGGGGGGGGGGGGGGTGGTTTTTGGGGGTTGGGCTCGGAATGACACAAACCCTAGTTATGTCACTGGGGGTACCACGCCTAGAACATTCTAATGTGTTGATTTTAGTCAATGGTATTTTCGGGGGGGGGGGGCGGGGGGCGTGGTTTTTGGGGGTTGGACTCGGAATGACACAAACCCTAGTTATGTCACTGGGTGTACCACGCATAGAACATTCTAATGTGTTGATTTTAGTCAATGGTATTTAGACGAGGTTCGTTTGATCTACTCTTCAAAATTTAACTACGAATGTACAGACAACCTTCCAAAATGCTAATAATCTAGTATTTAGTAACCAGTTAGTTTGTGCTAGTATGATAAGTGTCGGTGACCTGCCATTGCATAGGACCTTCAGACATGGGCCTTGCAACTGAAGGCGTATGTTTTGATTGATGAAATGGTGCTTAGTCCAATGGACTTGTCAACAGGTGGTTCCAATTAGTGTCCATCATTCATGGACACAATCCGGTGTTCACTGTTAAATCGGTCATTGTTTCCAATATAATTTTTGACCTTAGTTTTAATGTTATTTGAATTAAAAAACTGCATGAAAATTTATACAAAAATTAATTCCCTATAATTAAATTAATTCTAACCCCGACGATGTCATGGATATTCTTTTATATGTGCACAAGCATGGTTGGGTTAAAGTAGTAGATGTGTTGCTGTAGACATTGTTTTTCAAGGCAAGTTGAGGAAGTTAACTGAACCCCTTATCATAAAATCTTTGGCCTTACTTGAAAGCTGATACCACACAACATTGGAGTACACTTCTGTTGCATAATACTGTGATAGCAGAGTAATTGAATTATGTGGTACAGACAATTCATGATAGATAAGATGCGCTTTACTAAAATCGACTATGGCTCATGTATTTGTTTAAACATCTGCGTTAGAAAAATTCAGAATAATTTTCCGATTACGAATCTGAGTATTGACTCTGATTCTGGACTTCTTTTCGACTCCTTCTCCGGACCAAGCTAAAAAAAAAGTGCGTGTTCAGGGGAAACAATCCTACAACTTAATAAAGATAGCATAACCTTCATGGGCTCTCCAGTGGAATCGACGGGATATCAAAAGTGGTTCAGTTTGGAAATATCTAAAGTTTTACCTAATTGGGGATATATGCTCTTTAATTTAATACTCTTTTCAGCATCATCAAAAATGACAGTAAACTCTAAATTAAGTAAGAATAATTTTAATTTTAATTTTTTTCAAAAATATATTTTAAAACGAAACAAATGAACCTTGCAAGGATTGGGTTGAACCTTGTTAAGATTGTATTGAACCTTGTTAAGATTGTATTGAACCTTGTAAGGATTGGGTTGAACCTTGTTAAGATTGTATTGAACCTTGCAAGGATTGGATTTATCTTGTGACATGGTATAAGTTAATGTAAAAGAACGCTGTTAAAGCTCGACACTCTATGAAGCAGGACTAGGATGCCATCTGTGATGCTTACCGCTGATGAATCATTATCTGTGAGATATATCTTCTGAGCCCTTCAAAGTCCTCCGTCAGACATGATTTTTTTTTTTTTGTTTTTTTTTTTTAAACACCTCCACATTTTACAAGAAAATCGTTAAAACGGGATGTTATTTTAACCCTAATCAGAGAGCAGGCGAAGCCCCATGCGGAATGTCCACATTGTTAAGCCCTTCAAAGTCCTCCGTCAGACATGATTTTTTTTTTTTTGTTTTTTTTTTTTAAACACCTCCACATTTTACAAGAAAATCGTTAAACCGGGTTGTTATGTCAACCCTAGTCAGAGAGCAGTCGAAGCCCCATGCGTAATGGCGACATTGTTGTCAAAATAACTTCACGTGTTTACGCGGCAAGCAACATTTTGTTGGTATTGACAAGATGTCTGTCAACATGACTCGCTTCTCGGCAAACCGCGGGCCAGGGCGCAATGACAGTTACCAAACACAAACATTTCGAGCAATCATTCTGTTCAGCTATGTTGAAGGACCTGTCCATAGTTTATTGTCTCTCTTTAAACAATACCGCAAGAATCATCAATTTACCAAAAAAAAAGAGCTTACAACAGTGGTTCTCAATCTGTGGGTCGGGGCCCCTTTGGAGGTCGAATGACCCCTTACACAGGGTTCGCCTAAGTCCATCGGAAAACATATATTCTCTACAGTTATGAAGTATCCACGAAAATAATTTTATGGTCGGGGGTCGCCACAACGTGAGGAACTGTATTAAAGGGTCGCGGCATCAGGAAGGTTGAGAAACGCTGCCAAAGAACGATGGTTCTCAAATAAAAGTACTTTTGAAGTTACTGTTGAACGAAAAATGCCACCGCAAATCATAACATGGCAGAACGATTGTCGCAAAGCCGGTGACTGTAAGAAGTAGTGTCCTAAATGTTAAAGAAAGTCTCTCTGTTCCGTAACTACTACAAAGGCGAACATAAAGATCACTGCGTTAAATTAAATGTAAGGGTAAATTGAGAATAAATTTTGTGACGCTTTTAAAAAAAAATTAATTTTTAATATGAAGTGTCCGATTTAGCTCACAAATACTTGATTAAAGTTACGCCTTTCACAGTAGCGAAGAGAGAAGGGTGCGGAGGGGGTTGTTGTCCAGGTCAAATCCTAGGTGACCTCTGTACCCATCCAGATTTTATTGTTATGTTTAAGTGACATTTGAAATATCAAGTCTCTCGGAGCTCACTGCTGATTCGGAACAAGGGTCGAAATCAAATCAATGACGTATTTGCGGTGGTGATTTCAAAAAAAAAAAAAAAAAAAAAAAAAAAAAAAAAAAAAAAAAAAATTAAATAAAAAAAAAAAAAAAAAAAAAACATATTTGGGGGGGTAATTTAAAAAAAAAAAAAAAAAAAAAAAAAAAAAAAAAAAAAGTTGATTATTTACTTAATTGATAGAAATTGCGAAATAGGAATTCTTAGTTTCAACCGAAGAGTTTCATTTCTTATTGCACAATTCTGTAATTGCAGCATAACATCTCATGTACAATTCTAAACTGCAGCATGGTATCCTCACAGCCCTGTTTGGTGAAGCGATACAAAAGATCAAGTGTTGATAACTCTGAATAGCCATGTAGTCGGTGCACACACACAAAAAGGGGGCGTGGGTGGCGGTTGGCTCTGGGAAATCAGTGACCTCAATTTCTACCATGTCGACAACGCACTTTCCAGTTTGTGTGTGTTAAACTGTCGTCGTTTGATGAGACCGACAACTGCTAAAACAATGCTGGGCCCGAATCGATCTCTCCTTTTATTGTAGCAGCTGTCGTAAGGTTACAAACCCGACCCCGTACTAAAACAATACTGGGCCGGTATCGATCTCTTCTTTTATTATAGCAGCTGTCGTAAGGTTACAAACCCGACCCCGTACTAAAACAATACTGGGCCGGTATCGATCTCTTCTTTTATTGTAAGAGCTGTCGTAAGGGTACAAACACACCGACTTCATCTATTTTCGGCTTGTTCACTATCCTGGGCAGAAGTTTCGAAGTGTCTCGGAAATAAATGTTGATTAGATAACATTTTTATTAAATCCTATGTTATATTAACTTCGCTTTTGTTTGTGGCTGGCTGGGTGGCAAAATCTTCGGGCGGTTAATTGACCGTCAAGCTATCGAGCTGAAACTTGACACATAGCTTCGCTGCCGACAACACAATCTGTCAATTTTAAGCCCCCCGCTCCCCCCCCCCCCCCCCCAGCTAAGTTTTAACGCTACCAGATGCCAGTGATTTAACGAAATTAAACTCCCGATAACTGCGCTAAAAATGAGGCTCTTAAAAATATCGCAGGTGCGTTTGGTGCGTAATAGTTACTTTTGTTTTACCGAAATAGTTGGTGAAAAAATCTGTACTGTAAAACCCGATGTAAAATTGGAATATTAATATAGTTCAGAGGCGTTTAAAATTATGCAGCTGCAAGGCTTTTTTTTGTTGTTTTTTTTTCCTGTTTTTTTTTTTTTTGAGGAGGTTTTGGGTTTCTTATAAAGGAAGTTACCTGAATGCATGTTTTGAAAAATGCACATTTTCAGCCCCAAACCCCTTGCCCAGTTATTTTACAAAATTTTTTTTTTTTTTTTTTTTTTCTTTTTTTTTTTTTTTTTTTTTTGAGGAGGTTTTGGGATTCTTATAAAGGAAGTTACCTGAATGCATGTTTTGAAAAATGCACATTTTCAGCCCCAAACCCATTGCCCAGTAATTTTACAAAGGATTTACACGGAAAAAATGTTTTTTGGGCACTATTTTAACATGTATGTTAAGTAACATTAATTCTCATACAGTTGCATATAGACCTTTAGGGTTCTGTTTTTTCGGTTCGCGTTGTTTACCAATATTTTTCTATCAAATTTATGCAAATATTTAATTTCGTTTTCTTAATCTTTATTCTATTTGTTTTTCTTCGATCTCAATATTATTCGGCTAGGTTTCATATTGACAGTTTTGGCAAGTTCATTTTTGCCGGAAATGGCGTCGAATTTATGAAATCTTTTCTTCGTAACATCTCACCACATCTCTTTTATTGTACTGGCGCGTATTTGAGAATTCAGAGATTCGTTTTTTTTGGCAACCACTGGGCCAGTCTGATATTACTGGTCTTATCTCTTGCGGTGTCTAATCAAATATGTGTGCTTTCGTGTTAAAGTGCTGCATAAAAATCTTTATTGTATCTGAATTCTTGCATAATTAAATGTCAAATTGATCAACCTTGTTGTTTTATTACTCCCCATCAGTGGCGTAGGAAGGAGGGGGTGGGGGGGGGGGCTCCTGAGGGTGCGGTCCGCGTCGGGTGGCACGTTTTTCCTTTATACGGAGGGGCGGCATTTTTTGGCCAACTGCAGAGCTTTGTTCATAGTGACGAGACGTCGAAACCTCGATCCGCTCCGGGTGCCACTTGCCTTCCTTCTAAAATTTTCTTCTGACTCAAATTTCGAACAACCCTCTTCACCCTTTCTCCCCCTTTCTCTTTCTCCTCCATCTCTCACGTCTGACATTTTCAATTACTTTTCAGCGCTGTGCTTGCTTCTCTCACTTTTTCTCTTCTCTATTCTTTCTTGTATCACATTTTTGTCTCTAGTTTAGATCCATCCCGATTCTAGTATTCCCTCCTCTTTTCTCCTTTCTCTTTTCCATGTTGTCACTATCTCTCCATTCTCTGATCTCTACGCCCCCCCCCCTCCCCCCAAAACACACACACGTCGACCACTCAAGTGTGTTAAAATACAATCATAATTGGAATTTCCCCACTATAATAATATTTAGATCCATCCCGATTCTAGTTTTCCCCCCTCTTTTCTCCTTTCTCTTTTCAATGTTGTCACTATCCCTCCCTTCTCTGATCTCTACGCCCCCCCCCCCTCCCCCCAAAACACACACACGTCGACCACTCAAGTGTGTTAAAATACAATCATAATTGGAATTTCCCCACTATAATAATTTCAACCCCACCCGAATGTTTAATCACGTGATCACGTTCACCTGTGACATTTTCACCAGCGTCGCTCGATAATTCTGATCGGATATAAATAGATCTTCCGAGTTATATGTCTGCTACCGCATTTATCACATGGCATTGACGCCACTTGGGTAAAAAATCTATTTTAAAAAATGTTGGCTTCAAATGGCAACTTTTTAATGAACACCTTCTTTCTTGCCTTTATAACCCATAATAAACCCCTGCTATTTTTTTTTCCTTACAAATATAAAGTTATTGCAACCAGATTTAAAACTTACATTATTTAACATAAAATAAAGTTTTGAATAACAGAAACTTTTGATGTATTAACTAGTAAAAAAAAATCAACAGTGTCACAAAAAAGTGACATTTTGATGCAATAACTAGTGATAAATCCACATAATCACAAAAAGTGAAAGTATTTTTTTTTTTATTTTTTTTTTTGCGAAAAAATAGGGGTGAGGGTGATTTCTTTTTAACCTAATTTCGTTTCTAAGACAGTTACCCTGATTCTAGGTTATTCAAATGTTTATTGTTGGTCACTGAACATGTAAATGTGAAAATGTATTTATGTTCGGATAATCAATGAAAAAATTTATAGGGATAACGGTGATCAAAAATATTGAAAACCAAGAAACTGAAAAAAACGAAGGAAAATGCCAAAAACAGTGAAAATATCTGTGAACAATTAGATTTAAATTCAGAATGTACTTAATTTATTAGCCTATTGTGAACTTTTCCTTACAATGGATGTTTTTTTAAAAAAAACGTTTTTTTTCTGTTTATGCGGGGGAAAAAATATTTTGCTTATTTTGTATAAAATCAGCCTTTAACAAGTTGTGTAAGCCCATAAAATCCAGCTATGTGAAAAGACCATTCCAAAGAGCTATTTTCTTTGCCCATGTTCACGTATGCTGAAAATGCAACTCTTGATCTTGTAGAAAAATATCAGTTCTTCGAGCCGTAATAATGGAACGAATTTTGTCAGTAACACAGTTGTAACTTTTTCTGATTTATAGTGCATAACTTTTAAGTCACTCGAGCTGCAGCATGTATTTTGCCCAAAAAGCATATTGACAGGTTGTTGTTTTTTTTGTGTGAGCCAGAAAACTCATGAGCGGACACTCCATTGTAAAGTATAATTAGTTATAAAATTTTTAACCAATCACGTTTTGAATCACATCGGATAAAGACACGATGTTGAACCAAGGAAATTATTATATTCAATGTCACAAAACAACAACAACAAAAACACGCTCCCCCCAAACACAAGATGGAAATGCGCGTAGAGTGATAGTCTTTAAAAAAGTAGATCTGAGCTCACCCACCCACCCGTTCATGTAGCTTCTGAGCTCACCCACCCACCCGTTCATGTAGCTTCTGAGCTCACCCACCCACCCGTTCATGTAGCTTCTGAGCTCACCCACCCACCCGTTCATGTAGCTTCGATAATTTTAGTGATGATACCAACCCGCCGCCGACGATCCAGTCTTCCAGCCGTTCACTAGGTGAACACTGCACGAAAAATCTTAAAATATCACGTGTCAAAACACAAAAATAACGCCACAGCCACAGACAAGATGGAAATGCAAGCAGAGAGAAAGTCTTTCAAAAGATACCATATCGACTCCAGCCCAAAAAATATCCGAATTCCCGAACCCCGACTTTGTCAGTTTGGTCGATTTAAATATTAATGAAGCTATGTATGACATTTGGTCTCTCGAGCAGGAAGTGAAATAAAAATGACAAATCCGTTCTTTACATTTCATTAGGGATGCTTTGTTTGTCTTTCCTCAAGGTCGGGTTGTTTATCTTTTGGCTCAACCAATTAGCATTTGGCTTCCTTGTGCAATGCAGCATACTGAAACGCATGTCGGTTGATACTGATAGGTTGTCAGGGGGAATCACTAAAGACGTCATCCGTCATTTGAAATGTAAACATTGCTCAGCTGCATGTGTGTGTTCGTTTGTTTGTGTGAGAGCCGACGTGTGAAGGTCTGTTTTTCTGTTACCCACAAAGATGTGCCTGTTACCCACAAAGATTCTGGTCATTTGACTCTTTATTTTGAGGCTAAAAATTGTTACATTCTTTTTCAAGAGTTCATCAATATTCACTCGGTTTTCGTTATGTTAATAAAACAAAAATTGCTGTATTCAGTTATTGTCACAGTCTAACTAAAAAAAAATTTAAAAAACACCCCCCCCCCTTCAATGAATGACTGGTCATAACGGGCGTGGCGGGCACATGTCACGTAACGAAACAGTTTGATTTGCCCTGGGTCATTTTGTAAGACAGCAACACTACCGAGAAGAAAAAAAAAACAAAAACAAAAAAATAAACGTTGAAATTAATGTAAATATAATTCCTTTGGATTGACTTCTGTTGGGATGCCGAGACAAGGTTTTGAACAGAGTTTTGGGGTACATTAGTTTTAATTACAAAATGAAAGATATTCTCATTGTAGTTTTTAAAACACTTTTTATTAAGAAACAAGCCCCAGATATCTTATTTAGTTGGATTCTTAAATGTTATACAGACACAACCACGTGTGAAGGCGGATCCTGTTAAAAAAAACAACAGAAACTGACATTAATGAAACTAAGCCCACCCTCTATCTCTATAGGTTTATTTGCACTTATGCAAACAAGTGATTATCCAAAGCTAGTAGGACGTGCGATTACGTGTTGCCGGGCTTTGGACTCTGCGCTGCTATGAAGACAAATACAAATTTAAAAAAAAAAACGTTATTACGTCGCTCCACTACTCCACTCCCTTCATTGGCTCCCTATACGGGCACGCATTGACTACAAGTTGTCTGCTCTCTGTCACAACTTTTTCTCGGATTCCTGCCCTTCCTATCTAACCGAACTTCTTTCTGTCTATTCACCCCTTCGACAGCTTCTCTCCTCCGCAGACACGCGTATTCTGTCTATTCCCAAGACACACACTAAAACATTTGGTGAACGATCTTTCTCTTTCTGCGCCCCCAAACAATGGAATTCTTTGCCACTACACATCTGCAATATACCAACCACCCAGGCCTTCAAAACTGCACTCAAAACACATCTCTTTAAACTCTACTACCCTGACTGATTCCCCTCCTCTGACCGACAAATGATCTTATTGGCTGCCGTCCATGGTTTGCCTTGTAAAAGTCCTTGGGTTCATGCTGTTCTTTATTTCATAATTGTATTTGATTTAATGTCATGATTATTTCTCTTTTGAAAATATTTGTATGTACAGCGCGGTGAGCCCAGCCCTAAACCATTAATTATTATTATTATATGTGTGATCGTATTTTATCAAACATAAACATAAGCCTGCTTATTTAATAAGTTTTTTAGTTCTTAGTCTTATTTTTAGACGTCGAATAATTAAATCTTATTTATAGAATTCGAATGATTAACTGTATTTTTCTATTTTATACAGATTCTTCATTTGGCGAGATAATTTTTCCTGTGACATCGCTCGACTCAAAATAAACTTCACCTGTAATCATAATTAACTTGCCAGTTATTCGTACTGAAGGCACTGAAGGATCCCTTTCAGAGTTCAAGTCAACAAATTTGGAATTTCAAGATTAATCTTTCCAGCAATAAAGTAATTTCCGAAGAACTGGTTCAATCTTTTGTGAAACGTTAATTGACCAAACCATCTTTTCTTCGAGCTGTTCACATTGTGTTGTCAAAATCATCGCCATTCTTCACTGATCATCGAGTCCCGAAAACACCAGCATGGCCAAGTGGAACCAGAGATCGAGCATCTACCAAGTGACCCTCATGTTTAATTATTTCATATTTCTAGTCTACGCCTTGGCTTTTTGCATTCCGACGTGGTGGGGTGCGGGAAATTTTTATGGCCTGTGGGTTGATTGTGTTGGAACAGACACGTCTATAATGAAAGATTGCCAAAAGCACGCTTTTGGGGACGACGTTGGTAAGTACATCATTTTCAATTTTAACGAATCAACCTTCCTATATACACGCAGTTGTGGTTTTAAATTTTAAAAATAAAAAAAAAAATAAAAAAAAAAAAAAAAAAAAAAAAAAAAAAAAAAAAAAAACACAAAAAAAAAGCCGACCTTGTTTAACTAATGGGCAGTAATGGGTAGCAGCCACTTCCCATGTTACAATTTTTTTCCAAAGTCCTTTTCAAGGACAGCATTTTTTTTTTCCGTTTGACAATTTTAAAATATTTTTACAAATTATTTTGTATAAATATTTATTATAATTAAGATATTTACATTGGTGTATTTTGTAGCCGGGGTCGTGCGAATGGGACCAAAATGGGGTGGAATGACAGGTACATCAATTCATACTATAATGTACAATCACAAACGCTGGCATTTTTACTTACTTAAGTGTAACTATCAGCTACTGGCCATAAAATAAGTTTGTATTGTCTACATCATTTACCTCTATGACACGGGTATAAAAATATAGTTTTTGTAATAGTAATAAAAGAAAAACCAGATCCTTTCAAGGCTTAGACCGAGACACAATGGCGTAACTAAGGTTAGTCCAGTTTTCTGAAAATAACCCCCCTCCCCCTTTTTTTTTTCCATATAAAAAAAGTGTCGCCTGGGGTGAATTGACCCTCTCCGCATCCCCATTTCATACGTCACTACCGAGACACTTGGTTTTCTCATGTTTAAATTTAAAAAAAAAATATTTCTTAGCTATATCTGGAAATATTAAAATAAACGAAAATTGATTGTATTCTTCAAATACGACTTAAGACATACATGGAAAAAAAGATGTACTTTTTTTTTTTTTTTTTAAAGATGGGCACTGGGTTTCACGCTCCGGAAAAAAAAAAAAATATATTGGCGTCCCTCGTTTGATTGACACCTGTTCCCAACGTTTGCCCATCCCTCACTTTGATCGTTCTTGTGTCATTTCATCAAAATGACTCTGACCTCCTACCCCCACTCAAATTTAACAAAGAAACGCCACTGCTTGAATGAATAGAGGTTAAAAAAGACAGTGAACCACTTACGGTAGGCTATAAAAGAAATAGTAATACGTAGTTATTTTAACCTCAAGAAATGTTATTTCAGCCTGGTATGACGGCGTGAGAGGCGTGTGGGTTGGTGGCATGGCGTGCTACGTTTTGGCCGTCCTGTACAGTTTGGCTGAGAACTGCTGTGGACGTGAGGGAAGTCGAGACTACGGCATCACAGGGATTCTAACATTTCTAGCGGGTGAGTAATTTTGAACGTAATTTTTTTTCTTTCAAGATTCATTTAGCCCTTAAAATTCCTTATTTTATTCTTTAACAAAGAAAAAACCAAAACTTGCACGTGTAAAAACTCAATTAACCTGGAAACTCCCTAAAACGCCACATCACGTATAATACTATTTTTTTTTTTGGGGGGGGGGGGGCGGGGGGTATACGTCTTTTAAAATAAGTTAAATTACTTGTGGGGTCCTCTCGGATACTACATTGCAGATAAGTGTTTATTTATAACCTGTATATTGTTTTACTGTATATTGCTTTACTGTATATTGTTTTACTGTATATTGCTTTACTGTATATTGTTTTACTGTATATTGTTTTACTGTACATTGTTTTACTGTACATTGTTTTACTGTACATTGTTTTACTGTACATTGTTTTACTGTACATTGTTTTACTGTATATTGTTTTACTGTATATCGTTTTACTGTACATTGTTCGCTGAAGAAGAGTTGTTGCCGTTTTTGTTTAGCGTCATTTTTTTTCCAGGGTTTTTCCATACTTTGTTTCGCTTATTTCCCTTTAAGTTAAAGTTAAATAGATCAGGTTAGGGAAAGCGTGTTAGTTATGCTAGCGTCCACTTACAGTTTACTTGGATGCTATTAAAGCAAACATTTTGTTTACCTTTTTTGGGGTACATTTAAAAAAAAAAAAGTTCTTTGTATTCTTCGCTGACGAAAGCTTCCTGCCGACATGTCCGTTATTTAGTCTGTTTCCTTTTCTTTATATTAACTATTGCTTCAACCTAAACGCAGTCCACCAAATATATTACACTTCAGACTTAGACAAATTGTTACGATCTTCCTCCGTGTTCTGGCAGGTAGTACTTTGCCTCAAAACGGGGTGTTTCTGCCACACTTGGTTTATTAAATATTACCACCTCGGCGCACTGTCCAATAGTTTTTCTCTTTATTAACGAACACGATATAGTATACCAAGGCATGCTTCACACACCAACCACTCTAGCTATAACTCAACGCACTGACTATAACAAAATAACACCACGAACTGAACTCTATGAACTGACTTCGAGGACTGCCTTTCACCCGGTGTTCACACATCCTTTAAACATCTCACTTTTTTTTACCGACCTTGCAAACCCCGACCAATCACAACTCGCCCTCTCAAACTATTCACCACTCACGACCAACAACTATTCCATACACTTACACAAACAATCGAGCTGACAAATCCAGTTCACAACTCAAATGAAGGCCTTTAAAAAAAAAAAAAGAAGCTTTTGAAACTATCGTATCATGTATGATTTATGATGTATGTAGTGGTAGACAAAATAACTACCTCTCATCTCGTGTTCAACAGGAGCTTGTGGTGCCGCAGGTGTCATTACGGTGGCTGTGGAACTGGAGACTAACGTAACAATTCCAACGGCAGTTAGGACATTGGGATACGATCACATAGAGTACTACTGGGGTTACATGCTGGCTTGCATCGCTAGCGCCCTCGCCCTCATCCTCGCCCTGGTGCTACTCATCACGCGCAACACCACCAAACGTGACAAAGCCAAAGAGTCCCGAACAGCTGATTACGTCTTCTCGCAGCCCCAGGCCAACCCGTACACTCCCGAGTACACCAACCACGGCTACGCCCGGGACGACATCCCTCTGGCCAACGGAGTGACCTACCAGCACACCCCGGCCAATGGCTACGCCATGTACCAGAGTGTGCCTTACAACGGCAACAGCTTGCCCCCGGCCAGGAACGGGGCAAAGTACGGATACACAGGCAACGGCTACGACGTCGGACGACCGAACCAACGCCACAGCATGGCCGAGTCTGCAGACCTGAGCAACGGCTACACTCCGGAGTTGATACAAGCAGAGCACACGCTGAGTAGAGTGCAGAATGGCCCCCGGGGGGTCGGGGACTATGCAAGAAACGATTACGTTGGCGGCAGAAGCGAATATTACATGAACGGCAGTAGGCCTTACTAGTAGGCCTGCATGTTATATCGTGATTGAGTGTTTAAAAAATGTTAAACGTTCTGCATAAAATATAGGCCTATACGTAAAATTTATTGTCTAAAAAGAGACCAAAAGGAAAATGAGAACAAAAAAAATATGAATGAATTCCAATCATAATCATAACGTTGGTAACCTCTAATTAAAACTCCAAAAATATGACCAAATTTTATTTATGAATAATTATACTTTAGGCTTAATGAAAATCGTAGTATCAAATATAAATTAATATTTTAAATACACTTGGACACATTGAAACAGGGCAGTTATATTTTTAAGAACAAATTTGTGTTTAAAAAAACAAGTGCCGTTCATGCTACATACACTTTTATATTACATTTATCCTCTGTCATGAACACTCACTCCTGTCATGTTCTATGTCACTTACATGTGACATATGACACATACATATGACATAACAGAATATTTAAAGATAAAACAGGGAGGTTGGAGAAGTAAACCATTCCAGGTTACAGCCATATAAACCTTCAAAGGAGGTCAGTCAGGTGTAAACAGAAAATATCTTTCTTTCCTTTTCTGACAAGAAAAACTTTTTGAAAAATATATCATTGAGTTATCATTAGGTTCATACTAGATCTTTTCATTGCGTTATTATTAGGTTAATACTAGATCTTTCCATTGAGTTATCATTAGGTTCATACTAGATCTTTTCATTGAGTTATCATTAGGGTAATACTAGATCTTTTCACCTCTAAGAATTAAGCAAGGACTGAGATTTATTAACACCAATATAGAACATATTTTGATTATAACATTATTGGTACGCAAAAGTAATTAATTTATTACACCTTTAACACAAACTATATTAGAAACTTAATTTTCTTTTTTTTTTGTTGAGATGTTGTAGTACACCCAACACAACTGTAAATAAAACCTTCATTAAATAACAGAAGGAAAACTATGCAAAAGTATGTATTGTACATAACCATTGAAATATTGTTACAATGTGTAGCATTAAACCTCTGCATACACTAAGGCTGTGTTGAAGTACGAGTCTGGTTGAATATGTCACAGGAGGATTACCAGTCCAATTATTAAAATGCTTTCATTTGTTTGTTTTGTTGGTTTTTTTTGTTGTTTTTTTTTTGTTGGACAGAAGCTGCCTTAATCATCCTTTCCAACAATCTTGTAAAACTGAAGGATGATGTTGCATGGGTACTGGAGTGTTTCAAAGTTTTGTTGTGTTATGAAAGAGTGTTCAAGTGGCTGAGGGTTCTTCAAACCTTGTATAACTGAAGGATGATTTTGCATGGGTACTTGAGTATTTCAACATTTTGTTGTGTTATGAAAGAGAGTTCAAGTGGCTGAGAGTGAGGAACAGTATAGCTGTTAAAATCGGCGCTGGAGTTTTTTATAATCATTGAATCAAAATGATGGCCATGATTTGCTGTAGGTTTAATGGGGCTCTAACAGTACGGGAATAGGAACAAATATAGGATGATATTTTTGTGCAGCCATGGAATTTTAAATTTAGCCTTACAATTAACCAATTAGTTGCCTTACAAATCTGTAATTGCCTGTTAAATGCTATTGCGGACATATTATTTTCCATTGTTTTAAAGTAGTAAATGATAGTAGTTGAGAGCAAATAAAAGAAATAAAATAAGAATGCTCTGAAATTCACACAATTTAAAAAAATATTATCATATTCCATTGACCAAGTAAATGAAGTGTCTTTTAAACATATTTTAAAATGGTAATAGTAGTTACAATAACAATTAATATTATTAATGACATTTTAGCTGCTGTTACCAGTTATAATTATATAAACTTTTGGGGAAAAAAACAAGTCCCATCCATATGAGAAATGCATTTTTTGTTCGTAAGAGTGTTCATGAAATGTACTGAATTTGAATGTCCATGAGAGTGAGTTTTGATTGTTGAATTTGCCTTGAGGAAGTGAATATAACATATCATTATAAAAATAAACTTGTACCAAATGTTTTTTTAAAATATTTTGATAAATAACCAATCAATTAAACATTATGTTCATTATTCATCAATATATATGCCAAATATCATATGGCAATATGTAAATCATAGTAAATGCTTTTACATTCAATTATCCCATATGAAAATTTCATTCGGCTTATTTACTTAGATCAGTTACTACTATTCTCCTCTACTCTTAATATAATTTTTGCAAGTTTGTTATTGAAAAATAAATCAACAACCCCACTTCCGACTGAACCTCACTGCTTTGATGCAGTCTTGAAAACATTTATCTATTTGTATTGACATTTACTTGTATTTATATTATTATTGTATTTATTGCAAGGTTAAATAGTATGTAGCCTACTTTACATTAAGTGATTGACACTTTTTAAGTCTATTTCATTGAGGATATAATTTCGGTAGATAAAAAGGAGGCCAATTCTAGAGTAACATTTTTTTCCAAAGGTATTTTGTAAAGTTTAATGAATATCAAGCTATCCATTTATTTTTATTTTGCTGTAATTCTTTAACTATTTGATAAAATAATTTTTAAAATCTTTATTGGCGTAGGGTTATAAATGAATACATCTTTATTTAAAATCAGTTCTCTCAGCATTGTTTCTGTACTGTTTTATATTTGGTTCACCTCTGATCATGTCAATCAATGATTGTATTATTTATTTAATGAGTGCTAGTATTCTATGTAGCCCTTTATTTATGATACTCTTGTTGTAAGATGACTTATTTTTTATATCAGCTGTACAGAGAAGAGAATCAAATGTCACTATGTGTCACAGCAAGTGTGTGTGTGTGTGGTTGCATTGTTGACTTCACTATGTTTAATATTACATGGAAAAATACTGGTACAAAAATATGTATTTTTATTATTATAAAAAATATTAAACATTACGATTATTTCTAAAATCATCTTTTTATTAAAAAAAAAAAAATGTGTATCTTGTGATCTTGCAGACCTGAGCTGGAATCAATCCTTATAATACAGGTATTATAAATGCAGAAAAATCTAGATAGAGGTAAAAATACTGGTAAAAAAATATGTTTTTTTATTTTTATAAAAAATATTAAAAATTAAGATTTTTTCTAAAATCATCTTTTTATTAAAAAAAAAAAAAAAATGTGTATCTTGTGATCTTGCAGACCTGAGCTGGAATCAATCCTTATAATACAGGTATTATAAATGCAGAAAAATCTAGATAGAGGTAAAAAAATTGGGGGATTATACACAAAGGAAGTTAGATGTTTTGTTTTTGATTTGATTTCATGTCTGTCCCCCTTCTTCTTATATTTGAGGGGCCCACGATCAATTTGTTGATCATTCTGGCTCCTGGTTTAAATTCAGAGTTTGCCTTCTCTTAGATGGGTTGCCTTCCAAGGCTAACGAGTCCCATCCACCCGGGGTGCTTGGGATGGCTTTGGTGGGGATTGAGCTCCGGACCACCGCCTTTTTGGTTTGAGACAGTTTAGACCGCTCGGCCACCCAGCACCTGTCGTCGCTCTGAGTAAAATATTGCAATCTTCTACGTGCTTATAACAACCCCATTTTCTTGAATTAAAAAAAAATTTCACTCACCTTTTTCTGTTGGTGGCAATACCAACTTTTGGGCAAACTTCACTAGTTCCTCAAAGTAAGTACACAATGAGGGAGTCACATTGGCTACAATATTAGTGTGCTACAATGTGTGGCCTAGGAGATATCTTGTAAGCACTAAACAATATTAACACAATCAAAGCCATGGTCACAACATCCATGTGAAGTAAATATGTGAGGGAAAAAAAAATGATAATGAAATCACAATGGAGTAAAGTATAAAATAAATAAATATGTATAAATTATAAAACTTTGATATCTGTGTTATAAAAAATGTTTAATAAAAGATTTGAAAGATTGTCCAAGAAGTTTAATGTTTAAAAAACACTCAACAGAAATAGTATACATGGCAGTACAACTTTTAAGTAATGAGATTTACTGGTAAACTAATAAAAAAAAACTAATTAAAAAAAAAGTGAAAACAATTTATTTGAATAATTTACTTTTGAAATAGATGAATAATTCTGCATTTAAATCTTTGGAAATGTTTACTAAGTGTTACTCTTTTTTTAATTAACATACCTTTGTTAAAAAAATTGACACTAGGCAAAGCAGTCAATTAAAAGTAAAAATTATATTTTAAAAATTTTACGAGAAAGGTTCCTAAAACCAAGAGGTGAATCTGTCACTATCCAAACATTCCACAATGAAATGACATTAACATCTGAAGTATTATAATAAATGAGTAGTGTTAAAGATACATTACGCCACCCCATGAAAAAAAGTAAAAGTGTTAAGAATATGTTTGTAAAACTAACTTTGGAAAAAAATTTCATAGGAGCCAAAGAACACTTTATCCAACAGCTAAAATATTTTAAGAGAGATATAATAACCTAAGATTTTTTAGATTTTGTTTTCTGTTAATTAAAAGTTAAACAGGATCTAAAACTACATTTTTAGGGATTACTTTACACCATAAAACTGCATTGCTACATTTATTTTTATCTTCAATGACACCACTTATAATGTTCTGTACTAAGAAAAAAAAGAGTACTTGAAAATAGAACCCAGATAAACCACTGTGTACGTTCTGCTTGCTTATCAAATTACAACTTTGAAATACCTGGTTTTTATAAGAAATATTTTTGAAGCAACATTAGAAGACTTGTCTTGAGGGGAAAGATAATAATTGAAGGACTGCATTCAAGCTGTGCGAATGAAATAGTAGAACAAGGTCTGTTGAAGCTTGAGTCAAAAGACAGGACGATAAGATGTGAACGTTTTGGCTCAGAGCCTTCTTCAGCGAACAGGACAAATGAAAATACGACAAGAAACAGAGAGACAATTATGACAGCAGATACTTGGATATCTTGATTGTCTCCAGACGATTCTGACAGCAGATACTTGGATATCTTGGCTGTCTCTCGACAATTATGACAGCGAATACATGGATATCTTGATTGTCTCCAACTTGAAACCACTTCTTCCTGTGTGAGGTTTTTATTGCAGTTTGCCTCAGAGCTGGTCACATTGAATATAGTTTCTAAATAAAATGTTTGGAAAAGTTTTAGACCTTCAAAAACTTATGACATAAACTTTTTTGTCACCAAAAATTATCTTAATAACTAGCTGTGGCCAGCCAAACAATGGCGACCACAATGCATGAACTTCCCATCTATTAATGTTACTTGACAAAACATGTATTCAAGTAACGCACTTAATAAGATTCACAACTAGTGCTACCCCCCCCCCCAACAAAATATGGCACCTCCCCTGAAATACATTAAGATTTATTATACCTACTGTTTTTGTGAATCAAAAGAAACTATTTCGCACCGAACGCACTTGCGATATTTTAAGCAACTAATTTAGCCCAGTTTCTGGATTTTTATTTAGTGAAATCATGGCATCTGGTAGCATTAGATACTTTGTTAAATAGAGAATGAAGTATTTGGTGAAGATTATATTTGAAGATATATAAATAAACCCGGAGACATTTGAGGTATAAGGTTTGCAACACAAATTTTTTATGTTGAACACTATTCTTTCAATCTTAGCTCATACCAATAGTCTGCAACCCACAGATGTCATCTATTTACCAATCTATAAATTAATTACAAGCGGCTAAGAATAAAATATTCTCTAAGAAGATATAAAAATCATATAATTTATACAAAATTACAACTCACTTAAAAAAGGGTTACCAACCCCTGGTTTATACAATTGGCTTGGTGGGCATAAAGTTGACCCCCAGCCAACTGTTTGAGACCCCTCTTTTAACAAATACATGGTCTCCTATAATATGACAGAGCGAAAATGGTTAGCAGGGTGACACAATGAAGTTGAAGCAATGTTACAGTAGTGCCCTGAGTGCAAACAATGGAAATATCATTAAATATGTTAAACCAGCTAATGAAGTTTAAAAAGGAATGCACAACGTACAACAAGCTCAATGGTCTATTAACAAATTGCAGTTCATTTTCAAGAAGTACATAATCAAAAAATGTCACATTCATGATAAAAAAAAGGTGATTTTGATGTGAGTTGAACTCTGGCTGTATTGCCAATGTTGGGATGTTTAGGTAGGCCAACCACTTGCAAAAACTATTGTGTGAAAAGGTCTTCATGAGGCTTGGTACTATTAGAAGAGCAAGAATATAAATATAAATAGCTAAGTTATCAACTTCAAAAAATGAGGCATCCAGATTACAGATAACTTGAAATGAAAAGTGGTTGGGAGAGTAATAATAAAAAGAGAATTTTTAGGTAAAGTTTAAAAAAGTGAGTCAAGTTAGGTTAATTTTTTTTATTAAGAAAAAAGTAATACAAAACTAAAAACATTTTCAATGATAGCAACAGAAATTTAAGCAAACTTATTTAAGACATGACCATTATAAACTTTGGAGGACTTGAGGAGAGTTTACCCTGTTCCAGGGGATTTTAAAACCATGAAAGGGATTCATTAAAGATGAAATGATGTAACCAACAAACAAGTTAAGCCACCAGCGAGATCGTCAGGCTTGTGTACTTAAAATATATTCATTCTTTTTTTTTTCTTCTCTCAATCTTAGCATGAAGGTCTGCATTTAAAAAAAAAAAAAAAAATTATTACCAAAAAAAAAAAAAATAATATAATATATTTTATTTCTTCATTCATNTCTAACTCATTACACATGGCTGACAGTCTAACTCATTACACATGGCTGACAGTCTAACTCATTACACATGGCTGACAGTCTAACTCATTACACATGGCTGACAGTCTAACTCATTACACATGGCTGACAGTCTAACTCATTACACATGGCTGACAGTCTAACTCATTACACATGGCTGACAGTCTAACTCATTACACATGGCTGACAGTCTAACTCATTACACATGGCTGACAGTCTAACTCATTACACATGGCTGACAGTCTAACTCATTACACATGGCTGACAGTCTAACTCATTACACATGGCTGACAGTCTAACTCATTACACATGGCTGACAGTCTAACTCATTACACATGGCTGACAGTCTAACTCATTACACATGGCTGACAGTCTAACTCATTACACATGGCTGACAGTCTAACTCATTACACATGGCTGACAGTCTAACTCATTACACATGGCTGACAGTCTAACTCATTACACATGGCTGACAGTCTAACTCATTACACATGGCTGACAGTCTAACTCAAATTAAGAGAGCTGACAGAATGTGTTGGGTAACTTTTTAACTCCAAGACCAAGAGGCATATTTTCATAATGGATAACTTCTGAGCTATTTTAAAGAGATTGCTAGCAATTTTAAAAGTAATCTTTTGAAAAGGCTTAGTTGTTGCTATCTCTTGGAGGGCGTAAGGCCACATTGACGTGACCAAGTGGTAGACAGTAGTAGCACAGAAAAGTTTGGCCAGCACTAGCCCTGAGTGAGTCAAACATTTTATAAGCATATAACCTTCATCTTCTATTCTCTATTGAGATTAATCCACTCCATATTTAAATTACATCTACATTTTGGGTAAAGTAATATAATGTCATTATCTTGAAAGCATGCCTATAGGTGACTCATTGTCTTGAAAATATGCGAATCACCTGAGTTGAGGTACTACACAAGTTTACCAAAAAGCTTTGCTGTATTAGTTTAAAATTACAACTATGACAATTTATTTTTCTCTTTTCATGCAAAAATTCTCAAGTACAAATTTAAAAAAAAATTTAAAAAAACAAAAAAAACGAGCCCAGTTGTCTGATCTCAATCAATTTCTTTAGCCTTAAAATCAATCCTTAAGGTACATAAATAATTGCTGAAACACAGACAAGGTGAAGTTAGGAAATGATGACAAAGATATTCACTTCCTTAGTTTAAAAATAAGATTTAAATGATCCCATTTAAAATCCTTTAATCTCACAAAGATTGTTGTGTCATCTACTGCAGCAAAAACGTCTCGGCTTAGCCTAATCACTTTGCTATATAAAGGCCATAGGCATAGATAATGATCTTAAATTTTATGTATTGGGTAAATGTAAAATAGAGAAATGCAAGAAAATAACTACAAAACAGAAATATTATAAGTTAAATTATTTTTGTTGACATCAAATTTTGAGTGAATAGTTCAAATAAAACAGTTCAGTTGGTAAAATAAATGGCAGACATAAAAGACAAAAGGCCTTGTGTAATTGATTTTGTTTTTTAAACAAACAAAATTTCTCTTATAAAAAATGTATATTATACAGATTGAGACGTTATGAATTAAAAAACTTAATTCTTTTAGTTAAATAAATAAATTCAGCAGATCTCACACAAAATATGGCACTTGGACAAAAAGAGTTGCAATAATCAAAACAAAATATAATTTTTATTTTTAAAATTGTAACTTTTTGATTATAGTAAATAAATAATACGCATAAATAAATAAATCCTCAGATGATATAGAAAAATGTTTATAAAAATTTAAACTTAGTATTAAAAAAAAGTGTATAAAACAATGCATTTAGAAATAAAAACAGAACTGATGAATCACAGCTGCAAATGTTAGCAAATCATTTTTTAAAAAATGTAAAGGGTGATTTTATTTCTTTTAAATATATATTACCGGTATGTTAACCCAGCATCCACAATCCTGAGTTATAATAGTATAAACAAGGTGTTCAATAAAATAAAAAGTGTAAAAGTACATTATTTTTGAGTGTAAAGTTCTGTTTCCAAACGGACATTTCACTGTCCCCTATTGCTCCAACCATATCTCTACCAAACACCATGAATCATTTATGGAGATAACTTCAAAAAAAAATTTTTTTTGGTGTGCAAAATTCTGCTCTGAAAAGTGCTTGAAAACATTAAAATGTATCTTGTTGAGTACCAGTGAATGAATAATATAATATCATGTATTTTTTCATAACTGTGTATTCATCATTGCTCCACCCTCCATAAATATTAGTTTAATTATAAATATTCTGAAACAGTGAATATAAGAAAATCACTCTTTAGGGAACTATGTACAGTACAAATACCCAAACAAATTTTGGGTGCTTTGGTCTTTGAGCTTTGATCAATATAATAATGTTGATAGAATACACAATAATGTGTTATCACAATAGAAGAATACAAAAAAATATGTTATAAAAGATTGAGTAATGTGATTTGCATTCGTTAAAACTATTTATAAACCAATAAGATCAAGAGCAAAATTTATTAAATAAAATAAACTTTATGAATTATTCTCATTGGAGCTGATTTGTAAAATGAAGGGAATCAACTGGATAGCAGTGATTTTGATATATAGTAATAGTTGCTTGTATCAAATGAATGTTCTGATGTACCTATAGTAGTAAATGCTTGTATCAAATGAATGGTCTGATGTACCTATAGTAGTAGATGCTTGTATCACATGCATGTCCTGATGTACCTATAGTAGTAGATGCTTTATCACATGAATGTTCTGATGTACCTATAGTAGTAGATGCTTGTATCAAATGAATGGTCTGATATACCTATAGAAGTAGATGTATCAAATGAATGTTCTGATGTACCTATAGTAGTGCATGCTTTATCACATGAATGCCATGGATTGTTGAAGTAACAATTATTATTACATATAATTTGATTTATTTTAAATCTTAAGAAATGAATTTAATTACACTTTTTAAACAGTCAAAATTTAAATTTTTGAACCTGAAATCCAAACAGAATTAATTACCAAGTCAAAGTAATTACAGCCAAACTAAGATGATAGCAGCAGAATAAAAATTCCCTATTGTAAAATTGCAGGTGTAAATAGTAAATTGTAAAACTAAAAACAAATGCCCCTAGAGTCTGCTACAAATATCATGGTATAAAAAATAAAACTTTTCCAGAGTTTAAATAAACTGATAATTATGTTCAACATACAAGAAACATTCAGCATAATGATTTTTGCACACAAAAAAAAAGGGGGACACAACTGCAAAGCTATCAACTATGTGAGATTCAAGATAAATTCAATTTAACAGGACTTTTATGGATCCAACATATGAACTGACATCAAGTTATTGTCATATAATCAGTATTAAAGGAATATAGTATGCTGTCACAAAGCAACCCGCTTAGTGATTGATTACTGCTTTGACAATATCGGTAAGATGTTGTTTGAAACTGAAACCACTTTCTCTGCATTAATTTTTTTTTAAAACAAGTACTTTCTCTCTAAAATTGAAAATGTGTCTACTAAATATAAAAATAAAATGCTAAGAACATTAAATTTTAATCATGCTTAAGTTGACAAGAATGTAATAGAGTATTGAAAAATCTTGTTAAACTTTGTGCTAAAAGAAGTAACGTATTAAATGAGCACATTTCTTAACAAATTTATCATTTTAAGAAGTTGAGACAACAGTTTTTACAAAATTGATAACACTTGGGTAAAAATAAAATATTTGTCTCACAAGGTATTTTGAATTTTTAATGAAATTGAATTAAGTAAAGCTTAGGCATAAGTAAGGGACAGATATTGAATTCTTTGCCATGATATTTCTCTCCTCTCAGCTGATGCTATAGAAAGTGGAAGAACTTTTTCCAACAATGACATAAATGACAGTTAAATAAATTATTTAAATTTCAAATACCACCATACATACATTTCCAGATATTTTAAATCAATACCCACTGCAAGTATTGATGAGGCAAATAGTAATACTTATAGCTAAGGGCAGGTGAGTAAATATAAATTATCAAGGCCTGAGGAAGAAATAATAACTAACATCTCAGCTGGAACGAGATCAAATTAAATGAGCCATATTAGAAAAACTGTAACATTAACATTACCCACAATAAAATTATGTTTCAACAGTTTTACAGAACACATCATTGCTGTTTTGAAGTAAGCCCTAGATGTGAAAGATGAAAATCAAGTAATCCAACCATCCAGTTGTTGTTTTTTTTGCCTATATCTTTAGATTGTCATGTTCTCCAGCTTGGCTGTGACCTCACTAAGCCTGAGAGACGTCTGTGACATCTGACTATGGAGTTCCTTCAACTGAGCTTGTAGTGATAACACCTCCTCAGCTGAGACCATCCTAAGGAACAACATAAAATACTATTTTTTTTAAAAGTTCCAAAATTTGCTTGCTGTTCCAGATCTAGAGCAAAATAAAAATGATGTTTAGGATGGGGTTAGGGGTTTGGGTTCTGGCCTAAAACAAGTTAAGCTATAGAATGCTCCCTGGTTATTTTCACTACTGAATTTATATAACTTACCATGAAATTTCTATTTTTAATACTGCCTAAAAACACTATTTTGTAAATAAGAAATAAGTGCTGCATTCTTGGTGCAGATGAAGAAAAATAAATTGAAGCAATTTTTTTTTCCATTCTTTGAAATTATAGTATGTTTGTGAACTAGCCATGTCATTTATAGTGATATTGTTAGGTTATGTCTATTAGACTTTCCATGTCCACCTACCAACTGGAACTTTGTGATTTGAGTCCCGGTTTAATGTCAGACTGAGACACAAAGGTCTCTTCAAGGGGAGATGAGTCTAATATCGAAGGGGTTGATGTCATGAGGGTCGCCACAGTTGCTGTCACTGGTTCTAGTGTGATGCCCTTCTCTTGCTGCTGGATGCTCGCTTTGATTCTCTGCAGGTCATCCATGACCATCTCAAGCCTGACCAAGGATGTTTTAAAATATTTACAAAATAAACCACCAAAAAAAACCAAAAAAAAAAACTCCATGATTACAATAATTCAGCGAGACACAAGATATAAAAAAATTTTTTAAATGTACCTGCAGCATTTTAAATAATGACCAGTTTATTCAAGCTATAAAAAAAGAAAAAATTCTAACATTCCTTAATTTTTAATCACCAATTGTTTTAATTTACCTTTAATTAAATTTAATTAAACTGGGTAATGTTTTATAACTTAAGAGGGTACAGCGAAGTCAGATGATACTAAAAACTTTGCAATGAGATTCTCACCTCTCGGCTGTTGATGCCACTCTTCTGTCCAACTGCTCTCTCTCTTTTACAGAGGAACTTGCCAGGTAAACTTCCATGGCGTCCTTTTCAAATAAGCTCAGACGCAGGTTGTTTTCATCAGAAAGATGGACACCTATAAGTAAGATAATATAATAGTGATAATGCTAAGGGTAGTTATAATCAAACTCTTAATTTAAAGGCAGTTAACAATCCAACTCTTTTTTGTTACAAATAGTACCGGTAACAGAATAATCCTAAGAAATTGCATTTCTATGCAATAACTTATTCATTTAATATTAAAGTTAATGTGTATTTTTTGTTGGATATATACATAGAAATAGCTTTAGATAAATGAACAAATAAACTCTTGACAACACAAAAAAAACAGAGAACAGCATCAAGAATAGCAAATGCTTGACATTATTGAACTTAAATAGATACTTGAACTTATACACTCAACAGCTTACCAAATGCATTACGCCTTTTAGCAGCACGACCCTTACGATACAGTAGATAGCGGGCAGATCTCCATATGTGGTTCAGTACAATAATGGGAGGGACCAAAGTGGGTCGGTTGAAGTATTCGTAAACCAGTGAGATGCGATAGTAACGCCATACTTTAGTGGAATTATCTTGCACTGTTTGAAAAGTGTAGCTGAAACGCAAGAAATAAAACAGTAAAATTACAACAACATTTTGACACTTTTAATTAACTTACAGCAAGTAATATTTCTCAAACTGTTTTAAATTATTCTTACGAGAGATTCTGATTATGAATGTTGGTTGTGATTATCCTCATGAAGTACGTATATTTTACCCAGGTTCCAAAATTTCTTATAATATATTTTTTTTAACTACTAAAATCATTCACAAGGCACTTTAATTGAGCAATTCTTTTTGTTGTTCCTATCTAACTTGCACCAAAAAGCATGTTACATCTAATTCAGTGATTCTTAAACTTTTAAAAAATTTCTTGCATGACGGGCTCTTGACAATTTTTTAGACTGCTTCACGACCATTTAAAATAAATTAACTAGATTTAACATATATTATGCTACTTTACTCTTCTTTGAAAAAAAATGATTTATTCAGAAAATAGCAAATCTTAGTCATCAAATGTACTTTCAACAGGATGGGTGAATCTGCTTTGACTGAACCAGTTCTTCTATTTATGGGATGGGTGAATCTGCTTTGACTGAACCAGTTCTTCTATTTATGGGATGGGTGAATCTGCTTTGACTGAACCAGTTCTTCTATTTATGGGATGGGTGAATCTGCTTTGACTGAACCAGTTCTTCTATTTATGGGATGGGTGAATCTGCTTTTTCTGAACCAGTTCTTCTATTTATGGGATGGGTGAATCTGCTTTTTCTGAACCAGTTCTTCTATCAATGGGATGGGGGAATCTGCTTTGACTGAACCAGTTCTTCTATCAACAGGATGGGTGAATCTGCTTTGTCTGAACCAGTTCTTCTATCAATGAGGCGGGTGAATCTGCTTTGTCTGAACCAGTTCTTCTATCAATGAGACGGGTGAATCTGCTTTGTCTGAACCAGTCCTTCTATCAATGAGACGGGTGAATCTGCTTTGTCTGAACCAGTCCTTCTATCAATGAGACGGGTGAATCTGCTTTGTCTGAACCAGTTCTTCTAGAAACAGGATGGGTGAATCTGCTTGGACTGAACCAGTTCTTCTAGTTTAGGCTTTGTTTTAGACAGTGTAACTCTCATGTCACTTGTCGCATCTAATCTGTTTCAGGAATTTTTTTGATATCTAGTAGTGTGGGAAAAAAAATGTCTCAAACTCATAGGTGGTTGCCATCTGTACAACATAATAATAATAATAATAATAATAAAGTTCATTTCAAAAACACGCTTCATCCCCAAAGGCTCGAAGCGCGGTACAAAGTCAACAAAAAATATCTATAATTCACCACATTTAAAACAAACGCAACACTACAAAAACTAATTACAAGCATACAATATCAAAGTCTTTCTAGCCATTTCAACCCGGAGCAACACAGCAACACATGGAAAAGAAGGTAGACAATCATCCCAGAAGGTATTTGCGAAATAGATGTGTCTTTAGATCGGTTTTAAAGGACTCCAGTGTCTGGTTGTTTCTAAGATCGACAGGAAGGGCGTTCCAAATTGTTGGACCAGCAAATGCGAAAGTGCGCTTTCCGTAAGTCTCAAGGCAAACACGTGGTGTCGAGAGTTTGCCACTATCGGATGAGCGGAGCTCTCTACTGGGTACATAAGGCGTCAGCAGCTCTTTCAGATAGGACGGCGCCAGGTCATGTAAGCAGCGGTAGCACAAAGTTGCGATTTTGTACTCTATGCGAGCACGCAACGGCAGCCAATGCAACTCTCTCAGAAGGGTTTTTGCATGGTCAAACTTGCGTTTGCGGAGAACAATGCGAGCCGCATTATTCTGTGCTATTTGAATTTTATCCAGGAGCGTAGCTGGAAGACCCACCATAAGAGCATTGCAATAGTCCATGCGTGATAGCACAAATGCAGACATCAGCCTCTTTGTTGCATCAATTGTTAGGAAGGGCCTAACCATTTCAAACCAAAATTCCCTACAACACATTAGATAGAAATAAGATCACTAGTGGAGAGTTAAAACTGGCTGTTGATAAATTGAAAGTGTATTTTAAACTCTTTTAGGTCAGGAAAATAATGAGAAATTCTTCACTTAGAATTGATACATGTTGTTACATCACTCAAGGATGTCATCAATGAATTTATGCTCATTTTCATCAATATATGTGTTTAGCCGTGGAAATGGGGCAAGATCCTTCTTTTCTAGCTTTGAAAGCTGCTAATTTTTTATAACAATAGAGCACTTAGATCTCTATTCATTGAAGCGCCAGGTTGTTGGAATTCATGGATTCAAATTAGTCGACCAAAAATTACAGGGATACAAGAAGGCGGACATCAGAGAAATTTGTGTTCATGTCTGGCTTAGTGTCTTGTAAAAAATGCTGCATTTCTTCGCGTGGTATGAAAACTCTCTTTAAGCTTTTCTTTTTGGAAAACCACCTCAGGTGGGAGTGCAACAAGAGTGTTTTAAATTCAAAAACAACTTTCTTTTCATAACTCAGAAAACAAACGAGAATTGAGTGCATTCACTTCATTAAAGTTCACTGCTATAATCACTTCACTGAGAACATTTTCCAACTCTTCAGGCATGGTTTTCATCGTTAAAGTGCAGTGTGAACCAATAATTTTGGGTGATTTCACTTAACTAAATTTTGAAAACCAGAATGGCAATCAAGCATAGCTTGAGCACTGTCATTACACACACCAATGACATGTTCCCATTTGATACCATATGCCTCAAAGAATCTGTCCACTTTGTCAATTATTTCATTTGAAGTTATTCTGGTGCTCAAAGTATGGCAAAAAAAAATAAAAAAATCATCTTCCATTTGCTTGTAACATGCATATCAGTAAAGTTGGGCTAAGCTTGTAACATCTGTTTTTTCATCAAGGTGGCTTGCAAAAATTTGAAAATAGAATTCTAAATGTTCAGGACCAACTGCAAAAGTATGTTATCAGACATCTCCGCTATTAGCCTCCTAAAAATATAATTTGACAGGGAAACATGCTTTAGCTCCTCAAGTTCAAAACTTCCCAGCACATGTGATATGATATCATAGCAGCAAGTTAATAATGAACTGTTCTCCGATGCTATAGGGTTTCTTGGCAGTAGACATTTTCCTTAAAACCTCATAGGAGGCTTTTAGACCAGCCTTAACATTCTGAGAAAACATTCATGTGTCATCAGGCCTGACTTTGTGCGATCGTTCAGCTTGGTGTTTAAAGAAGTCGACATCTTGTTTATTGAGCTGGGATGCTTCGTTTCCAAGTGTATCTTTAACTTACTTGGCTTTAGAGATGTGGATGCCAACACTTAGGAACACAAAACACACTGGTTTCTCTACACACAATCTTCCTTCAACAGTGGACCGTAAAAAATTAAGTTTGCATGAAGAGAGTTTGGAGGACTATTGTTCCATTCACTGGTTAGCTCTAAGTTTAGCTATTAGTTTCTAAGAATTGACAAGCCCACTATTGGAGATCTGAGAGATAGATAGTAAAACTGTAATCCCTCAGATTGTTGATGCTTCACAATATGCTAAAGATTTATGAGAACACAGTGGGCCTTCATCTTCAATGAACAAGCTGCTGCATTCTGAGAAACCATTGAGCATAAATCACTACACTATACTAGTGGTTCTCAAACTTTAGTGACTAGTCCAAGTCTCACAGGAAATAAATTGTATTCCTACACAGGACGTAGCAACCAGCAGCAACAATCACAAAAAGCCCAAAATTTTAAATAAGTGAACCTTACACGTTCCGCCTAAAACCATTCCACTACAGACCCCAGCTTGAGAACCAAAAATCAAATACAAGGGTGTTATATTAAATGCATAACTGAACTAACAGAAAAGCAAAATATCAATAAAACATCCTATATTTTACCTAAACATGGCTATAAGGAGATTGACCAACAGAATATTGGTCAATACCATGTAGAGAGCCAGCATGATGAGAACTATTGCATTCTGTTCTGGACATCGGGTTGTTGGATCTTCCCTCCAAAGTGTCTCATTCCTAGTACAACCATTGACATCTTCTCCTAAAAATGTATAGTATAATATCAGACCTGTTTACCCTCAAACTCTTAAAATCATACAAAATCATCACAAAATTGTTCAATACATTATCTTAATAATAAAAAAATAAACATAGAATATATATAATGTATACACCTCGAAATCATACAATGTACGCCAAAATCGTAAGAGTAAACAGGTCTGTAATATCAATTGGATTCAATTAATTCTTATTATAAAATAAATTATTTTGTTTAAAGACTACTCAGCCTCATAAGAGAAATATGGGGAGGACTGTGTTCAGGTTGAAAGAATAAGAAATATACAAAGAATCTATTGAAAAACCTTGTTAGAGGTTTTAAGTCTTTTCAAATCATTCTTTACTGACCGGCATCTTTCTGAACAATACAGTATTAAAACTTAATATTCTGACTATTTCCTATCTCTATCTCTCTCTTTGTGTTAGCCTAGAGTTCCAAATTATCTGTAAGTAAAGCAAGAAGCCAATAGCCTTCTGTGTTCTCTCCATGTTATTTGCCTCATATTACACATTCTTGCTAACCTTACCGACCGAGTCCTTGCTGTTTTATAGTAGTCTTCCATTTCAATCTTATCTTATTTTATTTTATTAAACAATTTATAGCAGAATCTAATCTTTTACATTTCCTTTTAATCTCATATGCAAATTCTTTAATTTCATGGGTCATTTCCATATATGTGTATATGAAAATGCCTACCAGGTAATGTAGAGTACATATCATATATGTGTATATGAAAATGCCTACCAGGTAATGTAGAGTACATATCATATATGTGTATATGAAAATGCCTACCAGGTAATGTAGATTACATATCATATATGTGTATATGAAAATGCCTACCAGGTAATGTAGAGTACATATCATATATGTGTATATGAAAATGCCTACCAGGTAATGTAGAGTACATATCATATATGTGTATATGAAAATGCCTACCAGGTAATGTAGAGTACATATCATATATGTGTATATGAAAATGCCTACCAGGTAATGTAGAGTACATATCATATATGTGTATATGAAAATGCCTACCAGGTAATGTAGAGTACATATCATATATGTGTATATGAAAATGCCTACCAGGTAATGTAGAGTACATATCTATACAAAAAGCTAAGAGCTAATTCTTTGCCTTGAACTATTTTTGCTATCGAAGGCAGAAACGGTCACTTTCTGTTATTGTCCTTCTTCAAGTTTTCCTCTAGCCTGTGTATATTTCTTTTAGCTTCACAAAAATGGATTGCTAAAATATACTCTATATGATCCTGTTGGCTAAATCAACAATCGTCACTTTTTGGTAGTCCAGTCACTTAAACCATCGAACCTACCTCGAATGTCCTCCATGAAGAGTTCCCCGTAGATCTGGAAGTAAGGGTAGTAGAGCACATTGAAGAGGATGTCCCAGTTGGCGGGTGAGTTAGGGAACATGTTGATGTGGTAGGCCACACCAAAACTCAGCACAAACACAACCAGAATCAAGAAGAAAAACATCAGATCTGTCAACTGAAACATGATAGGCGGCATTAAAAGGGAGGAATTGGGTCAAATCAGCATTTAGAATATGAATGGGTGGAATTGGGTCAAATCAACATTTAGAATATGAATGGGTGGAATTGGGTCAAATCAGCATTTAGAATATGAATGGGTGGAATTGGGTCAAATCAGCATTTAGAATATGAATGGGTGGAATTGGGTCAAATCAGCATTTAGAATATGAATGGGTGGAATTGGGTCAAATCAACATTTAGAATATGAATGGGTGGAATTGGGTCAAATCAGCATTTAGAATATGAATGGGTGGAATTGGGTCAAATCAACATTTAGAATATGAATGGGTGGAATTGGGTTAAATCAACATTTAGAATATGAATGGGTGGAATTGGGTCAAATCAGCATTTAGAGTATGAATGGGTGGTTTTTCAATATCTATTAGCTTTGTGTTCATGAGTTAACCTCATGAGTGTGAGGAATGTTGGGGAGCAGCCATGACTGGTACACATGTGTAATGCTGTTTTGGTAAAACCTGTCCAGATAAGATAGCATCTAAAATGGGAACGCTTGATTTAGAACCTGAACTAAATGTCCCCATCTGTGATGATGAGCTAATACCTTTCAGGTACCCTTTGGTCATTGTACTTTAAGTTTTTGATGGTGAAACCATGGTAGCGATTAAATCCTCTGTTGTTTGATCGGTTTCCTCCACTGGATCACTTTCATTTTTTAATAAAATTTCAGATTTCTCAAAAGCTTGCAAAAGTTCTCCCTTAGAATTAAAAACTTGTATGTACATGTTATCAGTGTTACTGTGTGGGTCCTGATGATGGTTCTTCTCTCAACATCTGGGCTATCTGTTTTGGTGTAACAGAACCCTCCCGTAATACAGTGTCAGAAAAATTAATAATAATTTGACGCATGAACAGCTGTTTTAGTCACACTTTGGTGTTGAAGTTTAGGAGAAGGATTTGTGTCTGAGTTTGTGGACAGCACATTCTGAGATTTAGTTCTCACAACAGTAAGGCCAGACTGATCAGGTTCTCTTACATATGTGGACATATGATGGCGAGCAGTCAGCTGGCCTTGAGTAGCATCTTGGCCAAATGGTGACTTGGATTTCTTTTTGGCTCGTAGCCTCCGAGGGTTTTGTGGCTGTCCATTCATATAAGAAATGTAATTTCTCTTAGCAGAGCAGTGGCATTCCATGTGACATCTGCGACTACACCAAAGCCTTAACTCGCCCGAGTCTGTAGGTTGTCGCTTGCGTTTATGCCATAGCTGCCATGCAGGCGCTGGTGTAGAATCAGTAAACTAGATGTGTCGACCCCTTCCAGGATTATGCGGTGGAGCGTGATATCTTTCTGCCCAGGCTGCCACTTGCTGGTGTATACGAGCCATAATTTGTGCAGTCAGCTGGGTCAGGTCAGGTGACAATGCTATTGAGAGCTGGGTGGTGACAATTTCAGAAAAATCCTGACACATCTATTGTTGTGCTCCCCTCCGGACGTCATCAAAGGAAAGGCCAGTGTGTAGCCTTCTTCTGCGAGAAAGCCAGGATGTGCAGAATTGGCTAATATGAAGATGCTGTTTAACTCTTTCGCATAGTCCTGAACTGATTCCCCAAAGGTATTGTTGCCTGCGGTAGAATGTGGCAGATAGAGTTGTGATATCACGATGATCACCCTAGTTATGTAAAATCAAGTGCAGTAGTTTATCTAGAGAGTCTATAGCAGCAACAGCTTGATCCAGAATGTCCCAATCAGCACGTCCCTTCAGGGCACCGATTATCCGGATGACGGCTGAGGCTGCAGGAATCGGCTGAAGTTGCAGGAACAGTCTCGCTTCCTTCACAAACTGCTCTGCCTTGCTCTTGCCATTAAATTTGGAAAGCTTGGGTAGACTGTTGGCTAGGTGAGACTGTTCTACAGCACTTTGCTCCATCGGTCGGTCTTTTAGTGTTCTGTTGGTCTATGATTGTTACCTTTTCTTTAAAAGCTGTCTTCAAAGAATACCCTACCGACTACGCAAAAACGGTAGCCAAGTGGTACGTGGCTGACAGTTTTAATACACAAACAAAGAAATGCAGGTCTTGAGAATTATAGCTTTATTGAAAAACTTGTGGTACAATCCTTTCAAAAACAGATACTCAAATATAAAAACACATGCAGCCGACCCCAAGTATCAGCTCACACACTCATGGGTTAAATCACTGCCTTATATATCACACACCGGTAACTCATGACGATGCATTGTTCATCGGTCATCCGAGGCGCAGGCATGCCCCAATTCAGTGGGTGTGGACATGCCTGGGGTAAACAACCGTAGCACAGGAGCATGCTCCTAACCCATAGGTGGCACATTGCCATATTATAAAATTTGAACCAAGTAAGTTCATGAAAATGATTTTTTAAGAATTTCTAACATTTTAGAAAAATATGAATTTTGCATTTCTCAAACTAACCTATCAAATATGAATACTGATACTAACCATTTTCCTTATCATTATGACCTTTGGCCCCATGTTCTTCTCAGCAAAGAAGTACTGCATGAGCCTTAGGAATGACATAGCCAGTGTGATGGAGTAGACAACCCTCACATACACAAAATGTCCGTCGGCGGACAGTTGGTAGCGCAGTATGATGGAGATAATGACACCCAGGTACATGACAAAGTCAAACTGGTTCCAGAAGTCGCTCCACCAGCTTTGAATCTTGTATTTTACTGACCGCTGGTCACCAATAATAACCTAGTAAAAATAAAAAAAGGATACATTTTCATAAGGCAGGGTAAACAGAAAATAAAACCAGTTAAAAAAAATAAGATGGTTTGATCAAAAGACACTAACAATGCTATAACTTTATTGGTTAATATATTCTAAAACATATCATTTATTAAATTTTTTTGTTTAATCTTCCAGCTGTAACAGAATCACTGTCTTGTCTCACTAACATTCTGTTACTGAAATCAAATGTTAAATTAAATTAGTTGAAATAAAAATCAGTTGTTTTTCTCCAAAAATCTCCACTTTTTTTGTATTGGATAAGTTGATTCAAACACTCGACTTTGATATTTTGTAAGTGACGAAAATGACATTCTGTCGATCTCAGAGGTTGACGATCTATCTCCTCTCATTGTCCGACGACAATTATAGTCTAAGCTCCTCTGGCTAGTGCAACTTCTACTCTATGTTAGTCCAAGGCACTCCACTCTGACCCCATCATATAATACCATGAGTTTTTTAACTTTATCACATATACCATTGTCGTGTAACATCATCACCAGATCCAAGAGATACACAGAAATAATCACTAGTTCTTAATAAGTCTGCCAGACTCAGAAACACATACACTCCTCTGTGAATATAATACAATGCCCCTCTCACTATGACACAGCTCCTCTATATATCCCCCTCTCAACCCTAATGGACAATGACTATCTCACGCCTCGTTCACTCAAACTTGCACTCAATTTGATGTACATCATTTACTGCTATCTCACTCCCAACAACAGTGGTTCTCATTCCCGTGACAGTAAGCACAATCTTCAGAAAAATTATGATATAACTAAATGTTTTAAAATGATTAAAGATGTCTAACAAGGCTAAGCCCATATCTCAAATTTAGCTCTCCAGGATGGAGGGAGGTTTTGAAACATAAAGCTCTGTACAACAAATTAACAAAACACACAAAATTTTTTTTTACATAGGAAGGAGCATAATGGAAAGTAATTTGTCCCGGGGGAGGTACATTTGGCAATCTGCCTTACATCTGTTGGCAATATATTAGTTTTTCCTCTTATATGCTTCTTGAGAACCTTGCTTCCACTGCCTGGTGCACTTAGCTTCCACTGCCTGGAGCACCTTACTTCCACTGCCTGGAGCACCTTACTTCCACTGCCTGGAGCACCTTACTTCCACTGCCTGGAGCACCTTACTTCCACTGCCTGGAGCACCTTACTTCCACTGCCTGCAGCACTTTGCTTCCATTGCATGCTTGCCTTCATAAGAGTTTTGGATGTCATTAAAACCAAAGCTAACTTACCTGTCTCACTTCCTCCATCATCATGGTAAGAAACCATACCCAAACAACATACTCTACTCCAGATGGTGAGTTGGGTTGGTCAACGGGGCTCACATTGGTCAGCAGAAAATAGCTGAACAGGGCCAGGAATATGAGGTAAGCAATCTTTAAAAGGGAAAAGTACAAGGTCATTACATTATGTGACTGATTTTTTTTATTTAAGGACAGCATATTTACACAAAGCTTTAAAAATAAAGAATTCAACAGTAAATTGTTGCATTATTATTTGAACAAGAGATTTAAGAAAAAAATAGTTTAAATTAACTTATCAAACATATTTTAATTTTTGGATATAACAGACAATAAAATTATATTAACAATACAACATAATTAAACAGGCCTAAAATTAACTTATTATACACACAATAAAATTATATTAACAATACAACATTATTAAATAGGCCTATCATTAACTAATTATTAAAGAAATTGGGAATGGCAGGAAAACTTTTATATTCCCTTAATAGTGGTAAGACAGTGACGATTTCAGATTTTACTTACAATATTGTTGAGGAACTTTGTGACAGGGGCTTTGTAAAATTTGTATGCAGCACGAAACAAACTGATGGAGTTGCCCCCACCGCAAAACATGTTGACTTCCTGAAACTTGCTTGTCAGAGTCTTGTCCTGGGGTTTGTGTTTTGATGGGGCGAAATTGGGAGATCCAATGACATCAGGGTGTTTGGTTTTACTAAAATCTTGTGATCCTGAAGTCTTCACATGCTCGTGATGTTCCTCAGGCTCAACAGTGGATGGCTTCAAGAAATATTGGGACCTATCACTGTGGGCGTTGCTGAACTTCATAAAGTAGATCAGGGGTGGAAACACTATGGTGGCCAGAATCTGAAAGTTGAATGTAACAGAGAATACAAGGTCAAATAATATAAAGATATTAATTTTTTATTACTTTGTTATCATTTCCCTGTAATTTTCTCTTTTATTCATGTGGAAAAAGCTCATCAAAAAAAGTTTACCTTGAGTTCAGATGTATAAAGTGCCAGGCTCCCTTTCCAAATACTGGTCAGCTTTGTCTGGCAAGCTGAATGCTCAGCAAAGTCCATGAGCTGCTGTCTTTCAACCAGGAGAAGTATGGTCATGTCGCCCAGTTGTTTAATTTTACGACAGAGGAGCATGTGGGTGTCCATCTTGCTACGAAGATAGCAGACATCTAAGACGCTAACTGCAAAGTTCTCAAGAATTCTACAAAGGGAAAAAGTATATTTTGGTATTAACATTGCATTACTGTATTTAAAAAGGAAAAAAAATTAGGATAATCTGATAACAACTTCACAATTACATTTTAGTAAAAGCTCCAAGATTTCAATGTTGAAATTTAAAACAAAACTAAAATTCTGCTGTTATGTCCATTAATTCAAACATCCCAAATTTCTTGAAAACGTAAAATTGCATTACAAATCTTCCAGTGAATAAAAAAAATATGGCACTATTTAGGATAGATTAACTGTCCTACAAAAACAACATTAAACAAAAAAATTACTGAGAATGTTGCGACAAGTCTAGACTTGTGCTTGTTTCATCATCCATGTCAGCTCTGTTAGATAGGGCTCTCAATAGTGAGCTTCCTAAGAGGGCAGTACCTGTAGGACAAATAAAAAAAAAACAGGGTGAATTATAAAAATGAATTTAACAAGACTTTTGGTTTTGTGCCAATGAGTGATCAAACAATATTACTCTTTTATTTAAATTTAACAAACATAAATATTATTTCCTCAGAAAATCCAATAGTCTTCATGAAGATACGCCCCCCCCCCCCCTTAAATGTTAAAACAAAAATCTATTTCCATTAGATATTTTATTGCACAATGAACAATCTTGCAAATTTACATTAATTCTTGCTTTGTGATCATGTAGACAAGGATAAATCCAAACAGTAGATAGAGGGGAGGGACATGGGGAAAAATACATATATAATTAGTTGCCATAGAAGCTAACCATCTCTCTAGAGTACGTATCTGGGAAACAACCATAAGTGTCCATTTTCCCCAGGGACATATAATTCTGAAGCTGCACTTTTAAGGGCATTTCATCATGGTTTTGTTTTTAAAAACTTAAAATCAATTACAGAACTAAATTTGAAACTGAAAAACTTAAAGAAAACAATGAGTACCAATATGGTCAATCCCTTGCTTAAGAAACATATCTGCCATTTGTCTCCGGTTAAATAGTATGGCAAATATGAAGAGGTCTCGCTCTGGATTCTCAAAGTCAAAATTCTCTTTCATCTTTAGTCTCTGTTTTATTTTACGGCTACGTGACATGTGACTTAAATTTCCTGGAAAAATATACAGTATACAAATACATACTTTTTAAAAAAATTAGTTGAAAAATCTGCAACTTTAAATTATTACCATATAATAATGTAGGCTATCTGTACTTATGTGCAAAATTACACAATTCAAAGAGACATTTTTAAAATTTGATAGCATACAGCAATAAATGGTAACAAGATGTCAAGTACAGCATAAAAACATGTCAAATAAGGATACAACAAAAAAGCATAAGAATAGTGTCATATATTTTCATAGTAATAATGACTGACTGAAGTCACTGCACATTTACATTAAATCCCACAAGAAATCTCATTAAAATATTACCATGCATTTCACTCTCAGAGTGCTGGATTGTGAATCTGCTTTCAGTCCCTGAAAATGAAAGATAACAAAATTCAAAAGTTATAATGCATGGGTCTCATTGGTGGAACTTCTGGTATTGAATTAAATCATTAAAAAAAACATGTTTATAGTTATAGAAATAAATTTGTATGAACTATGGATCACTTACCAGTTAAAACAGATGGTTCCAAGTGGCTTGACTGAGAAATGCGGGACAGAAGAGGCTGAATGGTCTTTAAGTCTCCCTTCCACTCCATGTTAATTTTTTCATCACGAACCTTGTATTTTCCTGGTTCTGAAATGGCAACACATCAGTGTCTTATTTCCAAGTAGTGGCAAAGGTGAAAATAGATAATTTGTAAATATTTAAAAACTGCAATTACTTGATTGCAAATGGCACAAAATAAAGAACATAGGAATAAGATTGACTGGTTTCTTTCATTTTGTTCTTGTTAAAATGAAACAAACAAATCTTTGATTATAACTGGAAGTAAATAATGGATGAATAAACTAATTCTTGAAGTTATATAACTTTTTCTATTTCATTAAAAATATTATAAACTATCTCTCCTCAAAAGAAAAGAAAATAAGACCAGGACCTCTCTAACTAGTCTTACCCAAGTAGAATTCAAAACATTATGGCCCAAGAGATGTATTGTGGCCCTGTTAAGGATACACCACCAGGGTCTCTAGCAGCTCTTACCCAGGTAGAATTCAAAACATTCATCGCCCAAGAGATAATATATTTTGGCCCTGTTCATGATACGCCACTAGGGCTCTAGCAACTCTTACCCAGGTACAATTCAAAACATTCATCACCCAAGAGATGTATTATGGCTCTGTTTATGCAGACAAGAATGTCATCTTTATTGAAGTCTTTCCATTCTTCAAGAGCCTGGCGTCTCAGGTAAGCTCCCCAACCTTGCTAGAAAATATAATTTACAAACCATTTACAAGTTATCTGCATGCCTGATGAGCTTAAAAGAAATTTCAAACAATGACCGGCAATGAAATAACGCTTAATTTAAATCAAGAGCAAAAAAAAAAGGGCTTTGCTTCTAGTTAAGCATGACAGTGGATGATGTTTAAAGCACTTGTGAACAATAGGGTGAATGCTATCCAGTCTAGTAGTAAAATATTTATTTAAAAATGCCTTTAAAAAATGATTTTTTTTTTTTAATTGTTTATTTAAAGATGAAACCAGAGAGCATACCTTGACATACATGATGATGAAACGTAAGATAGCAGCCTCACCATCATCTTCAACATTCAGGCACTGCAACAAAATATTTCATCTGACAGTTTTAAATTTTTAAAATACTAGTTCCAGCTTGCTTTGGTTTAAATAATTGAACAAGCTACTCTCTTTAAATGTCAGCCATCAATATTTTTCACATAAATTGATTCAAGGTTTATAGAAAGATATTTAGATTATTAAAAACGCAATTACAATATCATGCACATTTTCTGTTTTCTATTAAACTATATTCAATGTTAGTACAATAAAGCACAAACGTTTCACAAAATGAATACATAATATGTAGAGCTTTTGTGGGTAGATGTTAATAATATTATAATCTCAGACCTGTTTACCCTCAAACCCCTAAAATCGTACAATCTGGTCTCAAAATCGTACAATACAATATCTCTATAGTAAATAAATAAAACTACAAAATATTTCCCTATATTTTGTAAATGTCGCTGACTGGATCTTATAAAATACCGGTATGCCCCAAATCCAACGCTCCACTGCAGAACAGTTGGATCATCTATTTTATTTTAAAAACCATCTCTAGTTTTACAATCGCCGCGGTTCTGAGGAACAAAATAATTCTGTACCAAAACTACGTCACACGCTTGGTAGCAGTCAAAGGCGATGGCGGGTGAAGTTGTCGCTAGGGCGACCAATCCAAATATTACTGTTGACGCAGCAGCCAGCTAGTACACTGTGATCCCGTCAATACGATACGTCGGGGTTATTTATTTATATCCTTTGACACTCCCACCAATCCCCTACCCATGGGTGTCTCGTATGCCACAATTTCCGTCATCAACAACCCCACCTCCCCAGTCCCCATGAGTCCTTTCGAAATATAATAAGGATGGTCCCAACTTTAAAAAAAAAAAAAAATCCAACCAATCGTTTTTCTCGTTCATATTCACTGCCAGATCTTCATTAGAGACGGCTAAAACGTCCAAACCCGAAAATTTATTAATTTTTTTTAAATCGGGGGAAAAATTTTTCCACCGGGTCTCTGAAAATCGTAGTTTTGGCGGGTCTTGGCGTACAATCGTAAAAGACATCTAAAAATCGTACATTGTACGCCAAAATCGTAAGAGTAAACAGGTCTGTAATCTAAATATCAGATAAAACCATAAACAAACTTACAGTTAAGATTTTAAATACATTTTTTAAAAATTTGTAGAATAAGTGACCCCTAAAATATTGTGCACAGTACTTATTATGTTTAATTGCAAATTGCTTTTCATTAAAAAAAAAGTTAGTGCACCATCTCCAAAAGGTAGTATGTAAACTTGTATATAAAGATAAGTTTTAAATCATTTAATTTCTGTTTAATTATAATAATCTACTCATTCTAATGCAAGCGCTTACATTACAGTAAAGGTTCCACAAGGTTTTCACAGTGAGAAACTTCCTGAGGTCTACACCATTATCCAGGAAAAGCTGTACAAAGTCGGCTCTATCTTGTACCAGAGCAGTGAACATGGCATCATACAAGTCTTTGATCTAAGGAGAATGCATGACAAGGTCCACACTTATAAGCAATAATTCTCTAAATATTCACTCAACAGCTTATTAGTTAGAGTAGTGGTTCTCAACCTGTGGGTCATGAGCCCTTTGTGGATCGAACAACCCCTTAACAGGGGTCACCTAAGACCATCAGAAAACACATATTCATGAAAAAGAAAAGAAAAATTTGTATAGATGGGGAACTGTATTAAAAGGTCGTGGCATGAGGAAGGCTGAAAACCACTGAGCTAGAGGGTAAATCACATGGTAAAACACATGGAAAACATATGGTAAAACACATGGTGAATCATCCATAAATTTAAGCATGACTTTACTATTAACCTAATAGTAAACTTTGTTCCTTCAGAAGTTATAAGAAAATATTTTTCATTTGATATAAAAAGGTTTCTTCTATGAAGCAGGGATTGAAACCCTGAAACCTTTGAGGCAAGACATGTAACCTACTGACCTAAGGAGGCAAGACATGTAACCTACTGACCTAAGAAAAAGGATGCTGTAAATAATTTTGTAAAAACAAACCTTCCACTGGCTTCTGTTTTCCTGAGTAAAGATTTGTTGACGTGCAATGTCGCATCTGTTCCAGGCCAAGGCCAAGGCCAGCTGGGAGTTAGAGTTAAATTTGTTGGCTGGGGAATGGCATTGTAAAAAAAACTTCATACCCCGGTATTAAGTTTTTATTATTATTGCATGTGCGCTTCAGTTTATTTGTCAAGAGCTCATCCACTGTAAGTTTTTATTTCTTTTTTTTTTCACTGTTCTTATGTTGATAAAAACATACCAAATATCAATATTTTAGGTTTTGATTTTAAAATATAATGCTTGAACTAAACAAATGTATCTGTTTCAAGAAGTGATGATTAAATCTATATTTGAATTTCACAGAATAAAATCAACAGTATTTTCACCTTTTAATAAAGCAAACAAAATGGCTCGATCAATGTCTTGGGCAGACTCAGATTTTTCCAAATCATAAACATTTATCTGTAACAGAAACAAGTTTGAAACAGCAAACCATCTTCAAATTAATATTTTTTGTATGTGTGCAAGTTTGGTCAATACTAAATTCTGGCGGTGCTTTCCCATTATTTTATTTTTTTTAAAAACATGATCACATTTTTAAAACTTGCAACATACTTACTTTGAATATAGTTATAGTTAATTATTGCAATGAGCAGAGGTGAACTCCGGTTAAATTTGATTTTTGTTTCTGTATTTTTTTTAATATCCTTCATTATATACTGCATATATAAAATGTTAAAGTTGTCAGGATTTGGACTAACAATAAGAATTTGGCACAAAAATATTTCATTTTCATGACATGTCATTTTAAGAGACTAAGCCAATATCAACTCCTACCAGGTTGCGTTTTCTTAAGCACATTCTCAGTGTGTCAATACATCTTTGAATTTTTTTGTCTTTATTTGTGTCTTGGTCCTTCCATACAAAAATTTTGTCTGCTGTCTGCCTTACGATTGCATCAAAGTCAAGTGGAATCTTTGACATATCAGGACTGTGGATTTAAAGAAAGGATCCTCACTAAATTAACAAAGATTGAGTCAAACACAATTTACTGTCTTATAGAAGCCTTGAGTGAAGGAGTTGGTAATTCATTTAATATTATAATTTTTCATTTTCTTTCTTTCTAACATGGTACTAAATCTTTTTTAAATAGAAGAAATGGTAAATAGCATGATAAATTCTTCATTAACTCTTTGCTTTATTACTTTACAAGGAATTTGTAAGAATTACAGTGAAGGGGTATGAAACTGTTGTGAGATTTATAAGTCCCTTACTTGGCAGGGTCAGCAGTAATCTTTATTGATAGAGCTATTAAATCAGCTGCTCTGCCAGAGCCTTTGATGACCACAACGGGAGTGTTTCTCTTGATGGACTGGTACACTGTTTCCATTGTGCCGACACCTCCCTCAACTACTATCAGTACCACAGGTGTGTTGATCACTGAAACCAAAAACACAACAAGATATAACATTTGAATTTATTTTAGACAAGTTTACGGGTAATTATTGGCAATCCTTTTGATGAGAATAAAATGTAAGATTTTATTTCCAAAAACTTGAAGAGATTCACAAGCCTGGATTGGAAAAAAAGAAACAGCTCATTAAAGTTTGTTTTCAACACAATATTTTCCATTTATCTCAGCAGTTCTCAACCTGTGGGTCGTGACCTGTGACCCCTTTGGGGGTCCAATGACCCTTTCCCAGTGGTTGCCTACGACCATCAGAAAACACATGTTATGAAGTCGCAACGAAAATAATTTTGTGGTTGGGGGTCGCCACAACATGAGGAACGGTATTAAAGGATCGCGGCACTAGGAAGGTTGAGAACCACTAATTTATCTCAAGTTTAAAGTTACATTAACTAGAGATAAGTGAAAATCTGGCATACCCTGACTCTCTGAGACACCTGTAGTGCCTACAGCAGAAATAAAAGCCTCAAGTTCAGATCTGAATGCAATCTCTGCCCCAAAGGTGCCTACGCATCCATTATCCACCAGCAGAAAATGAGAGTGGTTTGGGTCAAGTGAGGTGAATCCCTTGGGTGGTTGAATGACATCCTCAATGGCATATGTGGCTGGCCACAAGCCTTCCTCCTGCACATGAAAAAAAAATGGTTATAATGTTATCAAATTTTCATTAAAAATATAAGTACCCTTCTCTAAATCTTTAGGAAAAGTCTAATATTGTGTGTTCTAGACATCCTATAAAAATAAATAATGCAAAAAATAAGGGAATAAGAATTTCAAAAAGAGCTTCTGACCCCTTCACCATCAAGAGCCAAATTGTTTGCCACTGAGCCCCATGTGGCAATACCAAGGGCCACGCAAACATCCTCTGCCCCGCGTCCTCTAACTGTCATGTGATCTCGAACTGCTTCACCAACAAACTCCATCACTCCAGTGGCTGTGCCTCCAGTAACGATCCATGCACCTATGAGAAGGATGAGACAGATGTTTAACATAAGTAAATTTTTTTTTAAAAGTTGCTCGAGTTTAAAAAAATGTAGCACCCAAGTTATGGGATTTAATTAAAAAGATTTAACAGCTCAACAGATAGTATTTAATTAATTTTAAAATCTATTCATATAATAGCACTAAAAAAAATTATCTATCGCCTGATAATAATTTACTGCAATTATCCATCATTGTCTAGAAATCAAGTTCATGATCAGCAAACATTTGAATATGACATATAATCAATTTTTTAAAAAGCATTAAAGGTGATGTAATATCCGCGCACTACACTACTTCATTTCTTACACACCAATCCAAAAAGCAACAGAACGTTGCTAGGTTACTGTAATGAAGAACATCCACTCACTTCACAACTTTTATTTTTGCTTATTCTGTTCGAAGCGAGAACGCTCTCAGGTAGCCATCGTTCGGCATGACTGCAAATTTGGGAATTTGATTTGCACTTTATATCAAAGGACCATTAAATAATATTTTTGCCTAAAATGCTCTCTAGGGCCGGATATATATATGTACCCCGGTCAAGACCTCTCGGACCTGATTTAATTGTATGGTGGGCAGGATGTGGCCTGCAGGCCTTGCGTTTGACACATATGGTTTAGTGGAAGAAATAGTTCCTTCAAGGCTTATGCCTGGATATTTAAGTGAACCACACCAATAAAACAGGCATAGTTGCATAAGTTAAGCTTTCCATCTATACCAAATATGTCTAGGTAGCATTGTAATTATATTGCACTAATTTTGCCCTCCCCCACCAGTCAAATTTTACTCTTATCATAATACTTTAAAAAACATTTTGAACAAATTTAAATTTCTTTTTAATTCAAATTGTAAAAGCCAAGGTATTCATTGGATGCTGAGATATTAAAAGTTCAGACGATCTCCTTTTTTATTTAAAAAAAAAATAACATTTGGATACTTTCCCCCATCATTTTTCAACGTATGAAGAACGTATGCATGAACTAATTTGTAAATATCCATTTCTTTCCGCTTCGACCTGAAAGTCTCATTAAGCATTTGGTTTCGGTTTTGGGTCGGCCGAAAGTCTCGTTAAGTTTTGTTAAGTCATTTTAAACTTGCGGTTGGCCGAAACCAGAATATCACTTTCGATTGGTCTCTGTTCTACACACCAGTGTTCACGGCTGCCTCCACAAGTCCTTGCTTGAGTAGAGTGCTCAGTCTAGGCATCAGCTCAAACCTTTGTGCCCCCCCAGTGACAGAGATGAGAAGTCTTGGTGGAGGCATTTTCCAGTGCTCAATCAGCAGCTCCCAAATTACCTTTGGCTTGGTTTTGAAATCAACCCTGACATACTGTGAGATGACACACACACAGAATGGAAACATGATGTATTGTACCAGTACTGCAATTGTCAGTATGATATGACCACGAATGAGATGGAAAAAAACTTAAGGTAATGTAGCTTGCAAGCACTTTAAAATAATGTTGAACAAGACGTTGAGATTTAGAACTGAAAAGGTATATTTTATTATTTCTTTTAAGTCCCTGTTAACAATTATTTTACAGTGAAATTTAGGTTGATGAAAGTATTTACAGATTATGATAAATTGAATTAAAGATTTTGAAATGAAACTAAAAACTCAACATTAAAAGATGTGAATGTAAAAAGATCAGATTTAAACATATGAACAAATTGTTATTATCTTATCATCTGCAAATTTTCAAAAGTCCAACTGCAAAATGAGAACAAATATATTTTCACTAGCCATTCCTCTAAGAATATTGCAGCTGGTTGACTCTCAGCAAAGATGCTGTAAACATTAAAAGGCTTCTTTTAGGGCTAAAATTTAGTCCAATAATTAGTTTCATCCAACTCCAACCCATTAGAAAGTTCAGGTATCCTCAAGTGCATGAATGAGAATCCTGATGTTGGGTAGTGTGGGTGTATGGGGTGGTTTTTCTATCTCCCATTTTACCCCAGAAGGAATTGCTAATGTTTAGAGAACCAAAATAAGAAAGTAAACTTAACTTCAACACCTTTAATTTTTAAGATAGCCAGCATTTTAGCTATGTCTGCGAGAGGACAGTGAGGCAGAACATCAAAATGGAATACATAATGACCTAATCATGGACTCACCGGAGAGTTAGTCACAATGGTTCCAAAACCACGAAAGTGTATGTCCCCAAATGAGTCACAGGGTTCAGTTATGGTATGTGTCTTCTGATGCCAAACATGTGTCTTTTGTTCATCAATTGGCAAGTACCGATCTAAATGCCACTGCTTTGTTCTTCCACAGGTGCAAATATTGCTACAGATATTTTTTTTAAATTTACATATTGGTATTGGTCCAACTGAATTAGGAATATAAAATGTCACTAACACTTACAAATCCTATTAATATTTGTCATGTGGCTTTGAGGGGATATCATAAAAGATAATGCTACTAACATATTAGCATAGACCCAATAGCATGAAGAAAAGGAAAATGTATCTAGCTGCAAAAAAGGTTAGAAACTAGTTATTTTTCTAATGAGAGTGTAAAGAATAAATCCACTTAAAAAGACTTAGTGTGAAAATCAAGTTTGCACTAAAAATAAAATACTATCTACAAATCAAAGCCATTTAACTTTATTTTATTTTTTCAAACATAAACTTTTTGACATTACATGAAGAATAGTAGTTCATACCTTTGTATTGATTTATGGATGCTTACAAAGTGACTGCATTCTCTCTGCTTTATGTTGTTGACAATAAACTTTGCAGTTTCTTTCTGTAAGTTAAAAAGGTCATGATTCATAAATAACATTGACACTTCTCATGTTAAAATAATAAATTAAATGTTTATCCCCTTCCAAAAATCAAATGATTCCCAAAAATCTCAACTTAGGTCTTCATCAGAGTAGCAATTCTTTTTAACCTAAGCCGGACCATGGAATGGTTGAAGCAAGTTATTAGCTTCTGTTGAACAAAAATGAAAATATGATGAAAACCAAACAAATATATACACAGAGTTTTCTCTGTTGGCTATGAAGCCAGGTCTTCAAATCAGCATTTAGTCAAGTATTCATTAGACTTAACCTGCAGCTGGATCATCTTAAAAGTGGAATGATTGAAGGGGTGGTGATCAGGAGTCTATTGTGTTAACTTTCACAGCTTTTATTGATTAGATTCTTTGAAAATGTATAATTATTGATTTATTCATAACATGTAATTCAAACTGTATGTGACCTGAAAATGTAGATTTTGAAGCATTTTTTTTTTTTAAAGTCTTAACCCTGTACATACAAAAGCATGCATTGATTCAGACACTGACTTTCAATCAGCATAACTTAATTTTTTCATAAAAGGATTATGAATAAATTCTTTGAAAAAGAATGTTTCTAGTGTAAGCTATTGAAATCAATGCCTTGAAATAAATCAATGCCTTCACATCTTTACATAGCTCCTGGTCGAATTAACTAAATGTATGGAACAAAATTTAAGGAATGATTTTCTTTTGTAACAAAGTCTCCTGCAAAATATTAGATCTAACTAAAATAAATAAGCTAATATTCATAAAACTTTTATCTCTATCTCTACTATCAGCATTTTCTAACAGAAAATGTCAAAGCTATGTGTAACACATGGCTTTAATTAATCATGATATTATTTCTTCCACACTTTTTAAACTTACCTTATTCATTACAACGTGGCCTTGTTTGCTGTTCTTCTCCATTTGGGCCAGCAGCTGGCGTGTGATGTTAATATTATTAACAAATCCATCACTGTCATCCAGCTCACTTGCCTGAGCCTCTTCCCCACTGACTGGAAGATTTTGTCTTTTAACTGTTGCGTCTGATTCTTTTCTCTTGCTTAAGTAATCACCTTCATCCTTATCCTCACCCATGGTAAATAATGGTTTATTGCTGTGACTAGGTGTGCTTGTATCACCACTATTAGCATCAAGTGCAGCCATCAAACTTTTAGGTAGACTTATTGGGTGTGGTGACCGGGTGACATCTAACAAAGCTGGTGTTACTTCTGGGCTTTTATTCATGGCTGTTGTGGGCTGTGCAATAGTTTGGTCAATACTCCCGGGTTCTTTGTCTTGTTTTGAGTGCTTTCTCTTCTTTTTGGATCTGGATGAGTGTCTGTGACTATGTTTGGAAGCTTTAGGATCACTTTTTGCTATGTTGTTAATAGCAGTATCATAAGATGTACTGCCTTTACTTTTTGGAATACTGCTTTTGCTAATAGAGAAAAGTGCTGAATCTGTCTGTGATCCTGGCAATGGAAACACACCTTGAACACCTGATGCAGGAAACAAGTCTTTGTCCAACTCTGCTTTTTGTTCATATTTGATCTGCTCTCTCTCAGCATTAAGGTTTAATTCCCTATTGCTGCTTTGATGTTTGGGTTTTGGTGGCAAATACGTGGCATAATTATTTTTGTATGGATCAACAGCAGGGTTTTTATCTCCATCAGAACCAGGCCAGCTCATTTCTAAACTTTTGAAACTTTAAATGATATATTTATTTTTGGTATGATTCTTAAAGTTTAAAAAACGTTTATAGTTCCCTTCAAATACCGATTCTTGGATACTTGATGTTTTTTTACAGCATCTTCAAAACCTAGAGGAAAAAAACAATCTGAAAAGGTTTCAGGGGATCTTTGAGCTGAATTTCTTTTGTAATATCATTATATGGGTCTAAAAACTTATTTCAAGAAGTGCTCCATGGCTTTTATCTAACTGCCAAAAGGGTCCATGGAACAAAAAAGTTAAGAACCCAGCTTTAATACTAGGTACTTGGATAAATTAATTTTATGCCCATGACAAATCATTGCAGAGTTATGTTCCCCTTGTTTTATATTGGACTAACAAGTTTAGAAAAACACAGTGATTATAATTATAGTTACAGCATGGCAATGAGTATCATAGCATATTTCATTTATATTATTAATTTAAATTGTAGTCATCATATGTCATATAATATAGTATAGCCTAAGTCAAAAGTCTAAGTCTAAGTTTAAATTTAACATTATTATTAAAATTAACAAGACAAATGCTGTAAATTTACTCTTTGGACATTTTGGCCAAATTAATCAGCCGAATTTCCCCAGCCACAAGTGCTGGCTTATTAAGTTATTATCTTCTGGTGTAAACTGAGGACGGTATGGGTGATATAAATAATTATGAATAATTATTAATAATACTGACAATAATATTGATATATTGCTAAAAAAATAACCACAAAATGGCCTGATAATTGGCAAACACATAGGCTATTAATATTAAATTAATATAAACGTAAGTTAAGTAGGCCCGTTGCAGCCGCCGGTATATTTATTTCACTCATTCACTCACACTGACTGAAGTGTGAACTGAAGTGGGTGTGTCAGTCTAAAGTACTAAGGTCTGAAACGAAAGTCCAAGATATGTGACAGCCAAAATCAGTTTGAGTAGGTAGACATAGAGTAGGACTGTTATAAATTATAATTACAGCATACTGTTATAGTTACCATTTATAGACCAAGCAATCAAATGGCTTCCTTATGCTGTTTCAATAGAGAAATAAAAAGATGGCTTCGTTGTACTGATTAGCAACGCACTTGTTTACATATATTATTCAAGCGCCATCTTAATTTCTCTAAGCTAAGGGCAGTAAGCATTAACACATAACTCATTTACTCTTTATGCCCTCCCATTGTATGAGTAGGTTAGAAGAGTTAAACTAAGTTTGCTACTTTCAAGATATGGCAAAAACTTAATTACATTTCATAAGTCCATTTTTTTCCCTCTTGTGTTACTAAAAATATTATAAACTTTGACTTGATATAAATTTTGACTTGATAATGACTTAGTGGAGTTTTTGTAATTAAACCTAATAATAATAATCAACTGGAACCTGATCCTCACCAAAATAGCCAATACACATATTTAAATAGTCTGTGATTAGTCACATAGAATTAGCAATTTTTTTTATATCTTGAAAGTAGCAAAATTATTTCACATTTTAATAATATAGGCATTTTGTTATGCTAAATTCTTTCTCTGTAAATCAATGAGATGTTAAAATTAGACATTTCTAAATGTGAATATTCAGTCCAAGCAACTTGTTTTCTCATATCCTTTTCTTCCTCATATAGTTTTTGGTATTTCTGCCTTAAAAGTTATCATGCATACCTCAGCAGAAGAACCTGACATGTCACATTTTGAAGATTTTGAGAAAAGTGGATTAAAGTTTGAAAGTATCCAACATTTTCATCTGTTAAAATAAAATCCTATAATTTTGTTTGTATATAGTGATACCATTTTACTTTCAAAATATATCAGTTACTAAATATTTTGTGACAATTTACTACATTTTTACAGCTTTTTACCAGGCTGACCCAACATTGTGACTTGTCTGCTTTTTCCACTGAAAATGGAAATTTTTGTATTTAACTATATTATATGGCTTTTAAATGGCCAATATTTGTCTACTTCGTTACAAAGTCAACTTAAGTGACCACTTTTAATAATAAAACCATTTGTGGCCGAAAAAATCCCAATTATCTTACAAAAAAAATTATTAAATAAAAAAAAAAAAAAATCTAAAGCAGTGTTCTGTGTACACTACGGGTTGCATTCCAGGATCCCGACTCTCCAAAATACCGGAATACTTGACCATAATCGATGCTCGGAAAAACCGGATTTGAATTTATGAAAACTGTGATTTTTGATAATCCCGGGATTTCATTTTCAAAAAAATATTTATCGCTTTTCTTAGTTTCTGTGTCGTAGTTAAAGCAAGATATAGCAATAATTTATGTGATGTGAAAAGTGCGAACTCCTCACACCTAGTGTTTCAAGTTTAAAGAAAGCTGACCCGGGCTAAATCTCTGTACTGTTCACTTGTCAACTATCATGGCATTGTGATTAGTTTTGTTTTTACACAGTGCGTGTGTAGTGTGTGAGTGGAGACGTTAGTGAAGGTACGTGATTGGAAAGTAAATGTTTTTATATTATTAACAAATAAATGATTGATGAATGAAGATAGAATGTTGACTTACATTAACAATTTGTTTGTTAAATGAAATATATGGAAATAATAACACGATGCATTCGAATCACGGGGTAAACTTTTAATAACAAAAATGTTTGATTTCCTTTAATTATCCCAAAGTATCTACATATTTAAAATTATGAGTAAATCCGTATTTTGATAATCAAATACCTTAAGTTTAAGACAGAAAAAGTATGTTACTTCTATTTTGTACAAAACAATATTTATAATTCACATTCACCTCATAATTGATTTACTAGCTATTTTGTTCCAGGCTGAATGTCCCAGCTTGTCTGTACAATACTTAGTTAAACAGTTACATGAAAATTTAAACATTTTTTTAAAAAGTTGTACACGACGAACCAAATAGATTTAATAAATACATTTTTGTTAATGATTTATTTTTCCTTCATTTTGATAGAAAGAAAAATGGGGGACACTGAATAAAATAAACTTCCATGACACACCTGTTATATCATACAAGAGTTTTGAAAAGAATCTCAGTTGAAGTGATCAGTTACAAATTTCATGATTTAACATAACAATAATAATGTTATAACTATCTTCAAAATTATGGTATCTATTTTCAAGAAATAAAGATCTTTGAAATAAAGAAATAGATTGTTTATATTTCCCTTTAACAAACATATTTATAATTTCAATTTTTTGAAAAACTAAAAGTGTAAAAAAAATCAAATACAAAATATATTTTATAATTATTTGTTTAAAACATAGTGAAACATAAAGGTTAAAAATTATTGTATAGCATTTTTAACAGTTGTAAACAAATATACAAACAGAAAGACCATGCAAATTATTTGCATTAACTTTTTGAGAATTATTTTAAGAAAAGTAAGAATTCTTTGTGAAACTAGATCAAGTATCATGAGTGCTTTCATCAATCTACTTATTATCATCAGTCTCTCAAACGTTTTGATCATGTGATCCGCCAGGGGTCCCTTGTCTAAGTTCTAGTTGTGTCACACTTTGAATGGCCTTATTGAGCTTTTGGAGATCACTCATCACCAATTCCAACCTGTGAAGAAATATAACAGTTCTTTTAATTTTAAGCCTACTATACCCATTTGGGTGCTGGGTGGCCGAGTGGTCTAGACTGAGTCAATCTCAAGTTTGTGGTCTGGAGTTCAATCCCCACAAAAAGCCCAGTCAAGCAAAAACATCACAGCGGGTAGATGAGACCCGTTAACCTTTGATGGCAACTCATCTATGAGAAGGAAACTCGGAGATGGAGCCCCGTAGGGGAATAACATTGGTACAATGAAATATTCCTGCAATGATGGTGGTGCCAAGCCGTATCAACCACATGATGTTCCCTTGGGTTATCTAGTTTATAATCCTAACAAATAATAATCCCAGGCCTTGTTGATTTCATCCTGCGAAATCTACACCATTGTCACATTGTGATGGACGGATGCCAGCAAAAAAAATTAAATAAGCACATTTGGATTGACAGCGAGAATCCCAAATGACAGAGGAACGAAGAGGGTGCATCACCAATACCCCAGAGGAAAAAGGCTCAAAGGCAGACCTAGGCTTAGGTGGATAGATGATGTAGAAAAAGATCTACAGCAGCTGAAAGTCCAAGCATGGAAAAGAAAGGCATTAGTTAGGTCTGAGTGGAAGGAAGTGGTGAGGCAGGCCAAAGCCCTACATGGGCTGTAGCGCTACAAGGACGGATGGATGGATGAATTGACATAATGTTAGTGCATTATGTGGGCAAGGAATGAAACATGTCATCTAAGTCTTAGTTATCTAACATTAACCAACCTGTCTGATATTGATGCCGCTCTAAAGTCCAAGAGTTTTCTCTCTTTTTTAGATGACTGGGCAAGATGGGCATCCACTGCAGACTTCTCAAATAACCTCAGTCTTTGGTTATTATCAGCGTCAAGAGTCACACCTAAGAGGAAAAACAGAATTATAAGTTATGAAATAATAAGAGTGTTGAATCATATGATATAATTTAGTTTCCTTGAATACTTTCATTTACTGTGATGATACAGCTTTTAATGACATCAATTAACAAGTTCGTTTGCCCTGTGGTACAATGGTTACATTGAAAAGTTAGTAGCAGGTTTTAAGTTGTTTCTGGGTCTGTAATGTAGCCAATTTTTGTGGAGGAGGTAAGGTAAGCCCTACACAAAAAATCTTAACTACAGAAGTCAGAAGAAAGTCAGTGTGGGATTAAAATTCTGCTGTGCAAAATTAACTGGAGTCTTACAATTTAAGTTACAGCTTGTGGAATAAACTCAAAATTAACTGTAGTCTGTAACTTATGTCATAAACTCAGAATGTTAAAAAAAGGAAGTTCAAATAAATTCTATAACTGAAGATACAAGGTTATTTTATCACAACAGCTTTTCAATTTCAATACAATATCTTGATTAAGCAAAATTAAAATATGACTTCTAAATTTCATAAAAGTTTGGATTTTTTTATTTAAATGTGCTTCTCTCACATCACTAATGCATTTTGAGAGCCATAAATAGTCACAATATTTCAGATAAATTTAATTAGTAAAATATAAACTTTCTATACATTACCAAATTTTATATGAGTTCCATATTTCCACTCAAAAATGAAGCTCATCATTCTCCAAATCAGGTTGATTATTATGATGGGTGGAACCAATGATGGGCGATGAAAATACTCATACACAAGAGAGATGCGATAAAAACGCCAGACTTTTGTTGAGTTTACTTTTTGGAAAGTGTAACTGAGATATTTTTACAGGAGAGACATCAATAAAATAACATTCCTTGGGAAATCAAGAAGATTTAGTTGAAAATGAATTATAATTTAGTAACTTTCAAATATACTATAATAATGATTACTAATCAATAAATTATAATAAAATTATATCATTTACGCTTTTGTTCAATTCAAATTAAAACTTAATTTCCTAAAATAGATGGTTTTATATTTGGGTTAATTTAAAAACTAAGCTTTAACAAAGCAATGTGTGCAGTTAAACATTTTAATTGTTATGACCCTATGATAACATTGTGAGGAGAAATTGCTTTATCATTCAGAAAAAAATATTAAAACACATAAACATTTAAAGGGGAGCAAAGTTGATAAAATAACAGTATTAACAGTGACATTAAAAAAGCAAACAATGAGAAAACCTAAAATCAAGTGTCAATTACATTACCTGAACATGGCAATAAGTAGGTTAATTAGTAAGATGTTTGTTAGCACCAAGTAAACTGCTAAGAAGATATACACAATGGCATTTTTTTCAGGGCATCGTTGTGATGGGTCTTCTAACCAAATTGTTTGATTTTTAGTACATCCATCACCATCTTCTATCTTTCCTAAAGATTAAAGAGGACAAATGACCTATAAGTTAAACCATCTTGTGAAATAACATTTTGATTTTTGGGGAACAAATATTTTTAAGATTTATAAATTATACCATTACATTTAATGACTCAATAATTTATAAATACAATAATTTCTGACACAATCACGTTATTGCACCTATTTGAAATTATTTTGTTGAAATTTGTTTAATTTCATTCAATCTATGTTGATAAATTTTGGTTAGCTATATTACTAGGTATTGTACTATGAAAATAAATTTGCTAAATTCAATTCAGTTTAGAGGATTTTATATCTCTTTTCATATCATAATGCTAATTAATTCATTTATTGTTCAGTTCTAAAATGATTTTTTTGCCCAAACATAGTAGTGTAGCAAAACTAAAACAATTTTAATAACAACGTTCTAAAGTTGCAATTAGAGGGAATAAAGCAAAGGTTTTGAAGGTTTTTATTTCTATTGCAGGTACTTCAAAAGTTCAAACAAAATTAAGCTTAAATACAAAATAAATAGGCCTATAGAAATATTAAACATACAAGATAAGTAGTAACAATATTTAAGTAGTAAAAACAATAATTTAATATTTAACATTATATTAGGAGTTTATTTATTACCCCCAAGTTCATCCAAAAAAAGCTCTCCAAAGATTTGGAAGTATGGGAACAGGAAGACTGTGTAAAGAATTGACCAACTCAAGGGTTGATTTGGAAACATGTTGATGTGATAGGCAACACCAAAGCCCAACACAAACACCAAAAGGATGAAGAAGAACAATGACAGATCTGTCAGCTGTGAAGAAAAAATGATATTATTCATTACTTTACATTAAATAATGTAAATTCTGTGACTGAACATATGTTGCAGGAACAGATTTATTGGTGAGGCAATTTTTCCTTATTAATTCTGAGATGTTTAAGAGCCAAACAAAATAATATTTTTAGCTTGGAAGCTAAGCTATTACTATACTCAAAATCTTTAAAAAAATAAAGGAAATTATACCAGTTAAATAATGAACTCCTCCAGATTTTTCAAGGCTTCTCCAAACATTCTACAAATTTCTAAAAATTCAAACCTAAATCTTCTAGATGTGAGATGGCAATTAATATAAACATAACATTTAAGGGACTGCATTCAAGTTGTGTGAAGGGAAAAGTAGAAAAAGATATGTGAAAGCTTGAAAACAAAGATTTTAGATTATGCATCTTCAGTCTGGGACCCATTTACCCAGAAGAGCATTGACAGGTTGGAGGCGGTCCAGCGACGAGCAGCACGCTTTGTCCTAAACCGCTACAGGAATACCTCTAGTGTTGGCAGCATGCTAGAAACACTAGGCTGGTCACCATTGGAGAAACGACGACGACAATCCAGGCTCTCCATGATGTACAAGATAAATAATGGGCTGGTCCACTGTTCCAGTATTAAACAGAAACTCGTCCCTCTCCCCCATAGACAGCGACGAGGCCATGACAGGCAATTCAGGCTCATACCAGCAAGAAGCCAGTATAGGAGCTGCTCATTCCTGCCCAAGACAATCAGGGACTGGAACCATCTTTCAAAAGGAACAGTTGAGGCGACAACACTAGACACATTTGTGTCTATTGCCTCAAGCCTTCAAACCCCTAGTGCATAATTTCCTCATCACCACCAGTAACAGAAACATTGCAAATCCCATCTACATGCATAGGAGCCAAAATGATCAATAAATTGATCGTGGGCCCTTAAGATATAGAAGAAGAAGAAGAAGAAGAAGAAAAGGACAATATTGTGACATTTTGGCTAAAAGCCTGCATCAGCATACTGAGCAAGAAAAATCAGAGAATAATTAATTTGAGAATTAACGAGTCAGTAGTGATAAATAATATATCTTAAGCTCTAGTGATCACTGTAATTTAAAAAAATAATTAAATATATGTAGTGTAAGGAATAATACCAAAGATTTTTTAGTGAAACTAAACATATTGTGAAATCTTCAACAAAAAAAATATTAAATAACTTCCCCTACCCCCAACCAACCACATTGAAAACAGGTTAAACTGAGAAAAAAATTCAATTGCAGATCACAATTCCAATGGTCTAATTCTAATTAATTCCCCAAATTTTTAGCATTTGTTCGGAAAAAATGTGAGCAGGATCCCATCTATGTTTGTAAAAGTAAAAAAAAATCGAACTCAAAATTAGACAGATGACTGAAGTAGTGTGTCAAATTGTTCTGGTGTAAAGAACATCTTGGATGGTTAACAAGATAAAATATACTGTTAAAAATCTATGAGTCTTACCATCCTTCTAATCATAATAACTTTAGGCCCAATGTCTGGCTGTGCAAAGTGGAACTGCATAAATCTCAAGTAGGTCAAAAGTAGTGTGATGGAATACACAACCCGTGTATACACAAATTTGTCCATTTCCAGTTGATAGCGCATAATGATGGAGATGACCAGGCATATGAAGGTAAGTAGATCAAAACGGTTCCAAAAATCACCAAACCAACTTGACAATTTGTACGTGATGGAGCGCTGATGTGTACTTGTTACCTGACATATTAAAGAAAACATATTGTACTAGGATTTTACAAATGTTTATATCAATTACATTCAGTAAAGAATTTTTCTGGAAAAATTATTACAGCATCAGACCTGTTTACTCTTACGATTTTGGCATACAATCTACGATTTTGAGATGTATAGATTGTATATACTGTATGTTTATTTTTTACTATAAATATAATGTATGGAAAGATTTTGTGATGAAATTGTACGATTTTAAAAGTTTGAGGGTGAACAGGTCTGCAGCATAAAACCACGTTTCATTACATTAGATTAATGAGATGCAAAAAATTTGTTTAAATAAAACAGTATATTATGTAAGCTTTTATTATTTGAAAACAAAAATGTTAAACTTTTGGCCAATGCCTTCATTAGTACAACTTCTTCTGCAAGCTTTCACTGGGGAGGCATTATGGGCAATATAGTTGATGGATTCTTGCAAGCTGTGAGGCCTGCTGGAGGTTCATGTTGCAGATTTTTAGGGTACCGGTCCTTAACACAATCAATCTACTGACAGCATGGTCTTCCTCTGGCCCTGAAACCATAGTGCCTGCTATTGTACAATTACAATGCAGGTTGGTTGACAGGCATTCTAATCATTTGGACAAACCATAATTAGTTTTTTGTTGGGCCATATACTGGCTGACTGGGGTGGGTTAGCACCAATATTGTCTTACTTCCTGGTTCCTTATCTGGTCCCTCTTGTTTTACCAGCTGCTTGGCTTAAATATCTCGTCTGACAGGTGAATATAATTTCTCTCAAGACTTTTTTTCAGAGCAAATATTTGATACTGGTCAGTAAAGGTTGCAATTTGACTAAAGGCAGTATTAATTAGCCTTGCTTTGCTCACCATTCTTGGGTATCTTAGTAGCAAGAAAATTCGGTAGCTGACTGCATTTGCTTCTGCATTCTTATCTCTTTCTCGTAATCCATTTTAACATGCTCAGTCCAAACACTTCCCAAACCTCTTGGGTTTGATGGAGCAGCTGACCATCAATAATTATGTACACTTTTTCTTGGTTACGGCCAACTGATTTTGATCTTAGATTTGCTTATTTTTATTCCATAACAATGGCAGGTTTTTTTCATTGGTAATCTGTCATAGCAATTCATTGAGTGCCTCAAGAAATAGAGTGGCATCCTTTGTAATTATGTCTACATATATAATGAACAGCAAAGATAACACAGTGCACCCCTGTTAGACTCTAGATTTTACTTCCAACCAGTCAGAGAGTCTACACAAAGTACACAAAGCACTGAGACTTCTTGTATTTAGTGCCCTGATGTTAAAGAGGAGCTGTACTTGTAATCTGTAAGTTTCCAGCATATTTCATAATATTGTAAAAAGCTTTTTCCACCTCGACAAAAACCAGATTAATCTGTCGTTGATATTCACAAGCTTTTTCACACATTTGGAAGATAGCAAAGAATTTTCTAAAGCCAAACTTGGCATTTCTAAGAAGGGTTCAACTTTAGCTCTTGTTCACTTCTCAAAAATCTTCACAATTTGGTACATCAGAATAACAAATACCATTCATGTAAATCAGGGGTCTCAAACTCGCAGCCCGTGAGGCATTTGCGGCCCACAAGACATTATTTTACAGCCTGCTACATGACAGCAAAATTTAGTGTAATGCGGCCTGCGAGTTGGGGTAGTTTTTCTTGTACTAAGTGATCCCAAATGGCTCATGGACTTGGCTTTTTGTGTTGACCTTACACAGGAGCTGAATGTACACAACAAGAAGTTACAAGAACAGGGGCAACTTGTCAGTGTTGCTTATGATGTCAGGGCATTCTGCATAAAACTTGTGTTATGATTCTTAGAGAAACCTCTGCCATTTCCCAAAATGAAAAGTACTCATGAATATGGGCACACCATTCAGTAATGACTATAATGATGCCATTGCACATCTACAGGAATACTTTGATGACATTGTTTTTTACTTCAAAACAGACAGAGCAACTTTTTAACTTTTTGCTGACCATTTCTCCTTCAATTTGGAAGAAGCAACCCCACCCCCTCCCCTTACTTGCACTTCAAATGGAGCTAATTGATCTTCAGTGCAATTCTAAGTTCAGGGAGGTGAATGGAAAAACAGAAAAGCAAGGATAATTTATGAGAGCATTGTCCTCAGACTTCCCTGAGATTTCCAGGTTGTTCAAGCGGATCATGTGCCTTTTATGGGAGTTTCTATCTGTGTGAAAAGCTCTTTTCCACTATGAAATTGAAGAAGTCAAAGTTCAGGGCCAAACCTACTGATGAGCATCTTCAAGCTATACTGAGGGTCTCATTTGCTTCTTCACTCAAGCCAAAGTTACTCAGCTGTGTAAGAAGAAGTGCTGTCAGGTCTCTGGCAACGAGCAGTAGGAGTAAGAAAGTGAAGCCAAGTTCTTGAGAACCCTTAATGTTTTATTTTGTCATTAATAAAGGTTGAGCAGACTGTAACAGGTGTACATTATTGAATTTGCAATCACTTTTTTTTTAACTTGATGCGGCCCAGTCTCACTCAGAATCTACCTCTTGCGGCCCCTGGATGATTTGAGTTTGAGACCCCTGATGTAAATTAAATTTTACAGAATATTAAAATATAGCTTATCACTCTTTAATCTTCTTTTTCACTTAAAAATACTTCACTTAGCACTGCTTCAGGTCTTGAGGGATTGAATAAATATTAAATGGTAATTATTATATTCTCCGTTCATTACTCAAACTATACCTGACGGATTTCCTCCAGAAACATTGTGGCAAACCAGGCCCATACAATATATTCAATAACTGATGGAGAGTTTGGTTCACCCACTGGCTGGATATTGGTCAGAAGAAAGTAGCTGAACAGTCCCAACAAGATTATGTAAGCCATCTGTCAAAAAGATTCCAGAAAGAAATATTAAAAGTTGCTCATAATAATGTGGAATTGAAAGCATTGTGGCCAGTTAAGAGCCTACAAAAATTTTCAATTAATGTCAACCCTAATAAATGCAATAAGATTACTGAGAGAAATTTGCTAGAGCCAGTTAATCTGTCTCGTTATAGGTCTTGTATTGTAGTTTTTAATCATGTCTATCAACTTTAAATATCTTGAAACTAAACGTTATTACAAATATGATCAGTGGCGAAGGAAGGGGAGTGCTCCAGGAGGCGTTTTCAACCAAATTCAGTGAGGTGTTTTGTCATGAAAGGGAGGCAGCACGGGTGGCATTAACATTAGCTATGCCACTGAGCTTAATATCTTTGCCTATTTTCTTCTTTGTTTTTATCCTTGGAAGCAGTATGTAATTTGCTTAAGTTTGGTGGTGGTGTAGTCATAGACTTTAAATATCTCACTTGTTTGCCGAGGGGGTGGTGGCAAAGGAGTTAGAAATGTGTTGGCGTAGAAATACAATTAGTAATAAGGTGGACTAACCTCAAAAAAATAGCAATAACATTAAAATGAAAATTGAGAGAGTGCTTTCTTTCTTCAAATTTACTAGTACCGGTAGCAAGTTTAACAACTACGTATTAAGCAATCACATCGCAACACATAATATCCCCAAAAACATCCCAAACTCATGACCACACACTATATATATCCCAAACTCATCAAAAAACATCCCAAACACATCCCATACCAAAAATATCCAAAAGACATCCCCCAACCTTTAAAAGAAACAAATGAAATAAAATATAAAAATCTTTTTAAAAAACCAACAAAGAAACATGAACTACAAAAAAAAACAATCTTGCCAATAATGAGACTATTCACTTCTGTTACTTTTATGTTCCAAATTTATAATGAAGTGTACAAACTTTTCTAGCAATACTCTATGCATGATCATAAACTTTTATAAGATTATAAATTCTCAAGAAAGTAATAAAATCTTATGAACCATAGAATAGAGCTTTTCAATTAATTTAATTCAATATTTAAAAAGAAACTCACTATATTAGTTGTAAATTTTGTCACCGGGGCTGAATAAAAATTATATAGGGCCCTAAAAACATTAAGTCTGTTCTCTCCAGAACAGCCAACCCTGACTTCTCTCAGCTTTGTGAACTTTGATAATTCTTTATGAGGTTTCTTGGAACTTGTCTGACCTGTTGATCCATCATCCTCAACTTGGTTTGATTTTGCAGACTTGTGGTCAGGTACATTAAACTTCATGAACATAATAAGGAAAGGCAGGACACTTGTCAAGAGGATCTGTTGACATGAATTTTATTTGTTGAAGGAATAATATTAAAAGAGATGTGCTTTGTCCATACAATAAAATTTATGAGTAGTCTTTATTTTCAGGACATGGAAAAGCTACATCTATAAATTAAGAGAATTTGTTGCAATGAGGGGACAGAGGAACAACAGTAACCACAGTATCCCATGCAAAACAACAGAATTGCATTTTTAATATTTTTGGAGATATTTCATGATTAAAAATATTTTCTACTGTCAATTTAATTAAATCATTTTCACTTATACTTCAGCTATAGCAGTTATCAAATGTACTAGAGCTTAGGTTGAAGAAAAATTATTGTGGTTGATCTAATTTGTGAAGGATTTTCATTATTTTTTTAAAGAATTAAATAATATGAAAAGTTATTTTGCTGTAGGGTTCACTAAAGAATCATAATTAAATGGAAGATTTTTTTGTATGAGTTGACAACTATGGTAATTATTTACTTGGGGCACAAGTATAATTTTAGAACTTGTAAGTAATCAAAGTAAATATTATGATACTAATAATAACATAACTAATGATTAGGTTACCCATAACTGTGAAATCCGGGTTGAGATATCACCTTTCCATATACTATGAGAAGTCAATAATGAATGGAAAAATTATCCTATGAGATGACAGATAAGGTAATATCTATTTTGATTTGGAACAACTTCTGGTATTTAGTTACCATTAATTGTGAAGTCCGTGGGGAGATATCACTTTTCCATATACTTGTTAGTTTGGTTTGACAAGCTGGATGCTCAGCAAAGTCCATCAGTTGTTGCCTCTCTGCTAACGCCAGAATAGGAATATTTCCCAACTGCTTCATGTCACGGTACAGCAGAGTGTGAGCATCAAGTTTGCTGCGCATGTAGCACTCATTTAGAACAGAGATAGCAAAGTTCTCTAATATTCTGAGAAATATAAAATTTTGATATCAGAAATTTTAAAGAAAGTTTTTATAACACATGATTTGAAAATATTCTAGGCAAATGATACAATCTTTTTCAAGTTGATGTAATTTATTTATGTGAGTACGTGTATTTAAAGGATAAAAGAACAATTTTCTTACTGTGAATGAACCAGAAAGCTATTGCTGAGGGCAGTTTCCTCATAAGACTCAGCTTTAACTGACAGTGCCTTTAGAAGGGAGCATCCCAACAATGATGTGCCTGGTTTTAAAATGTAAATATAGAAAGAAAATTTATATTGTTTATTTTTTTCAGGGAGAATTTTTTTTTTTTTTTAAATATATTTGTTTTTTTCTTCCATTCATCCTCCAAACCTTTAGGTCAAACATAAAATTATTTTGCTTGAAATAAATAAATGTTTTAAAAAAAAAGCTTAATTATTTTAATGAGTTTTTATGTGCAATAAATTGTGCAAATGTGATACAGTAATTAAGAGTCATATAATTTTGAAGGAATACATTTGTCTTTTAAAATGATATTGACAAATCATCCTGAAAAAAAAATGGTGTAAATTTGAGGATGAAAAGTTTCTTTAAAAAATTTTTTTTTTAAATTTTAAGGAAATATAATAAATTGAACAATTATTTTGAATTTAACTATTTGTTCAACAAATGATTGTAAATATTCAAAAGTACAAAATTATATTACCAATTTGATCAACACCTAAGTTTAGAAATAAATCTGCCATTTTTTGTCTGTTAAAAAAACATGCAAAGATGAAAAGGTCTCTCTCTGGGTAATCTGTCAGATCTCTTTTGCTTTTATTTTGTTTTGAAGAAGCTGCTTCAGATTCTGAAAAATTTTTAATTTTTGGTCACGTTTAAAAAAAATAAGTATGTTCTTAACAAATTAAACCAGTGCACGCACTAATCATTCACAATAAAACTTAGTTTTGTCTAACAGCTTAGTGTGGGTTCACAAGCCATATCTAAGTTTTTATATAATTAGACTAATGTTTTAAAAAAAAAATTATTAAAAGATTACTACTCAAACTACTGTAAATTTAATGAAATAAATAGTGGTGCTCTACAAACTTTTTTCAAAAAAGTTTTTTTTTCCTTTAAAATTTAAGAGACTGAAACAAATTGAATCAATTTTTCCAATTCAATTCCCATGTTGTAAGTCTAGATATCTTGCTAGGATTTTCAAAATAATACAAATTTTGGATGTCTGAGATTGATAGAGACATAAAAATAATGCAATAACAAGAAATATGTATTTGTTTTTCTTCAAATAATATGTTATTAGTTTCCCAAAGAGAAGTGAAAAAACTAGCACTTCACATCTAAGAAGACAACTTAATGTTCATAGTAGGCATTAGACCAAGATTTTAAATTTTGGAAATACAAAATTATTTGAAATAGAAAAACACACAATCATGAATTCAAAAAATCTAGTAAGAAAAGAATAAGACTATACCTATGAAAATAATTAAGCATTAGTCTTCTTATTATTACTGAGAATTTACAAAATAATATTGGTGGTTACCAATGGTTGTCTAGAACAAATGCCTAATACTCTATGAACCATTTTAAATATCTGGGTGGGTTTTGCTTATCTACCTCATTAATTACATTTTGAATCAAAGTTCCAATGAAAGCTATTCAAGAATCCCAAAAAATATCGTAAAACTGTTTTAAAGATTGTTTTATATATATAAAAAACAACAATATTTAAAACATTTTTTTTTGCTACTCAGAAAACACATCACATACATATAACGCATAAAATAATGTAGTATACCTTTTCTTAAAACTTACAACATAAATTGCTATTTACAAAGCAGCAAATGGTAGCATTTTTAATTAAAATAATACCTTTAGAATTAGCTGAAATAAGAGAGCATTTGCTTACTTATCATTACATGCAGAGATATACTTTTAATTATAATAATACTGGTAACTCACTCATGCAGAACATTTGACCACTTTCTAAAATGTACACCTTGCACAATGATAAAAACAACTGTATTTTGATTAAAATAACTATAGATGTTTACATTAAACAATGTGTTTACACTGAACCAGTATTTTATTCAGGGCTTTCATCACAATAATACTAATGTACTGAAAACACACTTAAAGTAGAAGTAACATTAGGTGCAAAGGACTAGGAATCTATCCTTAACCTCTCTTTATGAACAGCATGCATTTAAAGTAAAACTAAGATACCATACACACTAACAAACTCTTATAAATTTAAGTGATTAGCATAGTTAAATCATTTCTAATTTAGAAAGCAGGGTATAAATAAATAATTTTTAAGGTGAAAGTATGATACATAATATAAACATTTAGTCAGCAGGTTAAAACCAGAACATTTTAGGCTACAGGTATATTTTTCATAATATTGTTAACCACTGTACCGGTATATAAAACATTAACTTTTTATTGTCCTAGCATAGATTTAATTATTAATATTTCATATTAGATTTTTGCTATGGTAGAATTTAAGGTATATATATTTTATAATAATTTTGCAGAGGTTATAAAATAAAATTTGTTTTAATGTTTTATTAATTAGAGACATAATAAAACTCTGATAATATTTATTAGTCATAAAAAGTATTTATTTGTTTGAACATCTTATTCATGAACAATTTATGTTTAGTTTGTAAATTTGTAAGGAAATAATAAGGCAGATGATAAAATTATCTTTTAAAAAATTCCATTTTTATTGATTTTTTTTCTGTTTGCCAGCTTTGACAGCTCTATTACAGACCACACAATGACATAAATAACACATATTCGCTCTCCAAAAATATTATGTTTAAAATATATAGTGACTCATTAATAAGAAGGTGTTTTCTCAATTCTCAGTATTTTAAATAAATGTGATACTTACATTTTTTTACAATTAGTGATGCTTCATTTTTAGTTTGACAGCCTTCGGTGATTTCCGACCCCTGCTGTCCCTTAAATTTCACCAAATATTTTTCGTCTAGAGGGTAAAAAAATATTTTAAAAACATATTTATTTTAAAAGTCAACACTTTTTTAAAATCAAATGTGGCGTTTCCTCTTAAAAAGATTACATTCCAACTGATTCTGTATTAACTAAAATTTATTAATTTTATTCCTCTGATTCTAATTACTAAGGTTGGGTTATAAATATCATTTTTTTTCAACTTAGCTAGTTTTATCACATTCATATCAATAAATTATTATCTTTATTTATAAAAAAAATTATAATAAATAATAAAAATACAATTATTATTGTTTATAATTATTAGAGAATAAAATATTTTTTTCCTATCAGAATAAAAATAGTCAAAGGTCTACCTGTATAAAAATCAAAAGATTCATCACCGAGCAGGCGAACAAGGACTTTATTTATACTTTGCAACAATACAGACTGATTTCGATTATCATCATCATAAGACTGGCATGTGAAGCATGAAGGCCAACTTTGCTGTTCAAGATTTTAATAATTACATAGTCAGGACACCACAATAAATAACAAAACTTCATTTAACATTATAGATAAGGCTCTACTACTTTGCACCTTTATATTTGGTTAGAGATAACTATCAATATTGGTAGTTAACCTTCAAGCGAGCTAGCTCTGTTCCAAACCAGACAGGGCTGATATATCAAACTGATATTGTGTAACTGGTTAAATAAGTAAATTTTATTGGAATATTTTAAAATAATTTATATTTTAAATAAGATAATCAGCAAACAATATAAAATGAAAAATTAAGTTGACAACGCACAAATTTATATTAGACATTAGTATTTTATTAAATAATGGTTACATAATTTTGAGAAAAAAATGAAATGAAGGTTACACATTCATAAAAGTAAAGATATAACATGAAAATAAAATATGAAGATTATAAATTCAAGTAAGTGAGGCAGCACTAATTCATAGGATAATTTCTTTGAAAACACTTTTCTCCTCACAATAGTTGTATAAAATTCCACAATGAATAATTTGGGCCATTATAACAATCATGCTAGAAATGTACTTTTCTCCCTGCATTTTACAATTGGACTCACATTTCTCTTTTGCAGAAATTCCTGTTTTGATGCTTTCAATATATTAATTTGTAAAAACAAAGATTCAAGATCGGTGTGTGCTATTTTTGCAAGGCCTATATATCATGAAAGTTTTTGAATGAAATTTCAATTTTTTTGAAAGTTGATGTGGTGATCTGACTTAGGTTTTTCTAGTGAGGGGTATCTCTCGTATGAGATCTCCTCTTGGCACTCTGTCTAGGGATTCGTTAAGTAAGCCAAATTACCACTCAGACATAACAACCTATACATATAGACTGAAACAAAGTTTTTGTTAAAGGAGAAAATAATTACAAGTATTTATTGAATAAGGTTGTTTACAATTTTCCTCGTAATACACTCTTGGTGATTAATATATAAACCAAATGGACATCAGACAATTATAGATGTATATAAATGAAATACAAGTGTCCCTAACATACTGACAGTGTCATCATTATTAATGCTATATTGCTCAATGTTTTATGTTCAATATTTGTGGACTTAGCCTTTATAGTTTCACTGATGATCTCAGTGGATCAAAATGTGTGGGAGTTCCTTCTGTTCCAGAAGGATATCCCCTGTTCCGGTCTTCGGAGCTTTCCAATCGGAGCGAAGTCGGAGTTACCGGTCGTAGAATCCATGGGATCTCTGCGATAGGAAGTTGACTATCCAGCAATAAATCGTGGGTGGTAAGAGTTCCTGGATCTCGAGGTCCTTCTAGTGGCCATAGGTAGTTTGGTGTAAGATGTAAATCAATCCCCTAGTTCCAGCTTCAAGGTAAGTCGGTCCAGTAATAATAACCAGGCTAAAGGCAAAATGATACAAAATAGGTATCTAAGTATCTAGGCAAATAGTCGTAAGCTGACAAGTCCCATTCCAACAGTAACGAATTCAGATCAATGTATGGAGGCTGACATAGGCTGTACATATACATCCAATTTGTGGATAGATTTATAAGTCTTGTCATTGTCGGAATAAGCATACGTTGCTTCGCGACAATGTTGGACTAGGCAAACATTTTAATTATCATTAACAACCGTTAAAAATATAGGAACATAATATTCATATTATCATTTTGTTAAAAGAGACATGGGTGAGTTGAACAACAACCTACCATCTCTATGATGGGATGGCGGTGTGTCGTAGCCCGTGGCAAAGGCAATATTAGAATACATAATATCAATCACGCTCGAATCCTTGCTACATAATTTTATGCATATTACAAGTGCAAAAATATAATATCAAAATCATTGTTGCGTACTTACTAGTAGTCTAGGTTGCGGTCCATGTTAATGATCACGCTATGAAGTCTCAAGTGTAGTTATCTCCAGCATTCACAGTCAAGTGATAAGACAATAAAAGACAGATCCTACTTTGTTCTGGCTATTTATTTGAGTTGGGTGATGATTCATTTGGGTGGTTTAAATGTTGTTTGTTCTCCCATCCAATGACCATCACTTTTAATATTGCGATTTCGACCTTCTACCCTCAAAGTTTATCGGCGTGAAGGGGAGAATGCAAAATCACGCCTTTGCGTGAGCTGTCTGGCGTAGGAATGCGATAACAACAAGGGAAATAACTCGGGTATACTACTGCAAGGGCAAAACTGAGGGAAGGTGGGTTATTATTTTACAAAGGCAGCCTTACGGTGGAAGAATTTTACAAGGTCCAGCCTAAAACCATCACAGTTGATTGCTATTCCATTTTTCTTCTCTGTATTTTCCAATTTTTAAAAATATCATTGTCAATAGTATCTTCTACATCATCATTATCATCCTTGTCTTCTTTGGATTCTTTATCAATCTCTATTTGAAAATCTTCTTCTCCTTCTTCATATTCAATACCGGGTAAGTATTTAAAAATTTTCCTTCACATTCTTGAGATACTTAAGATCAAACATTTTCCTTCAACCTGCCATGTTAAACAGCAGAAGTAACCTGAAATATATAAGTATAAATATCTTGTTTGTGTGCAATGCATCAATTTGATATTTACAATTAAAAGGCCCACAGACATCATTAAACTTAAATATTATAATTATATCAATATATATACTAATATGAATAAAGTAACTTACCAGAGCAAAAAACAAAGAGACATGCGAAGGCATGGTGTATCAATTTGAAAAAAAACCTGCCAACATCAGCACTCTAAAAGCGTTTTTTTGCACACTTAAAGGTCTTAGCTTATACAGGAAAGGAAAACATTAAACTACAGATAAGCCGAGCTTGCTGGCATCTCTTATACACATGTGAAAAACAAAAATAATTGGCTTGTATCAATCTGATCAGATGCACCGACGGAATGTTAGATGTATTTTCTACATGTAAGCATAATATTATTGATTCTTCCACTATACAAGATTTGTGTGTTTCTGTCAATTTGAATTAGTCTCCCAAATCTTAAATAGATTATATAATATGTGGCACAAATACATTAAAATTGCAAAAAATGGTTTTGTCACAAATGAAAAAAAAAAAATTTTAACAGAAAATTAAAAAGCATCTGGTTGCAATTAGTTTTATTGAAATCATTTTTTAGTTAGTTACCACTCAGTCAAAATATTTATCTCATTTCATTGTAAATGTATATCTGTGAAAAATTTATCAAAATAAGCATTTAACAAAAATTTAATCCAAAATAATAAACATTTTTATTGCCTTACAATTTTTTCATACAATTATTTTGTAAAATGACATTTCATGAAGTCTTAATTACCTCTTCATAAGCAGCTAAGTTCTTAAGAATTGATGCTTCACTCTCATCTGAGTTTAGAGACTGCAAACAAAAATATGCAAAAAATTTCAAATAAATTGTTCGCTGAAATCACAAGGTAGAAAAGTAGAATATAAATAAGGTATGCAGCGTGTGATATGATAGCCTATGTCTTGGCCCATTTTTCAGTTGAACATAGAGCTATTTTTAGCCACCACACTTGTCTCCATTAGTTCTGCCTTAATATTGATGTAACCGAGTTAATGTGCTGTGTCATTCTGTACCCACCCCACCCTTGATTGGGAAAATATTGTTTATATTCAAATGCCTTCCATTTGTTCTCAAGAATGCCATTAGGTAACGCAATTTATAGAATTTCTTTACCAAAACATTCGGATCTAATTTCAGTATAAAGCCTGCCAGGTTTCTTAGCAGATAGACATAGATAAACTTTTAGAAATATGTATGAGACACTGTATAATTGTGTATGTTTAAATTAATATTTGTATTTTAATGAGTGTACCTTTTTCACTGTAAGTTGTTTCTGTACTCAAATTTCTGGTTGTATAGAAATGTATTAGTATAATTAAATTAAATAGTGTTAGTATCACCAGCTTTGGTATCGTTTTCTTTGTAAACTGTTTACTCTGTCCTTTGTTACCTATTTTTTATCCTATGAGCCTTATTTTAAAACAGATTAAATCTTCAAAACTATAACAGTATGAAACACATCTTTTCATATAAAGACTTCTATAAAAAAAACACAATTGAAAATTTTTCATCAAAATAATTTGAGGAGAGTTATATTTTTGGCCCCCAAAAAATGGAGAAGATCACCAAATTTGCTTACTTGTTTATAGAGTTCCATCAAATGTTTAACAGTGAGAAATTCTTTTAGGTCCACGCCATTGTCCAAAAACAGTTGAACAAATTCTGGTTTGTCTTGTACCAGTGCAGTAAGCATTGCTTCATGTAAGTATTCTGTTTGTAACTAAATTAAATAGATAAATGGAATAAATCATCCAGAAAAAAGTTATAATTTCATAATTATTATTTTTTTAAATGACCTATTTTAAATCAAAACGTTAGCAGGCTAATTCGTTTCACGTATGATTTTATAATTTTAATTTCCTGTTAATGTAAATAAATGTAGACCTACTTTTAAAGTTGCAAAACAACAGTTTTTATTGTATAATTTAAAAAATAGCTTGAAGGTAAGACTTTATACCTTCCATTTTTGTCTATTTTCTGAAGTGAATATTTGTTGTCTTGCAATGTCATATCTGTTCCATGCCAGTGCAAGATTAAGTTGTGATTCGCTTTCTGACTTGTTGGCTGACAAAATTTTTATCAATAATTTTTGTCCAATATTGGAATGAGCACATGCTTTGCAAAAATTTTCTTATTACAGAAAATTTAAAAAAACAACAGATTCCCTATTATGAGTAATGCAAGATTTATTAATTATTTGAGAACTTTTATTAATTAAAAATTCATCAAACTTTTATGGGATTTTTAATGTACATTGTACTTATAATTTTACTTAATTATATAATAATAACATAAATGATTGTCTAAGCTAAAACTGTTAAATATAATTAAATAAGCTTAATACAGTAGGGTATAAGACAGTGGCAATATTCTCAGGTCTGATAAAATTTCATGAGACAGTATAATTCTGTTTGTATAGATCAAGGGATAAACTATTTGTTATATGATTCAATCATACCCTTCAAAATGGCACACAGAATTTCCCTGTCAATATCTTTCACTGACTCACACTTCCCTAAATCAAAAACAGTTATCTGGATGGAAAATCAAGGGAAAAATTCAAATATTTCAAATGAATGTTTTAAAAATAAATAATACTATCTAAATGAAATAATTCAATTTTTAACATCCGTTACACCATTTCATAAATATCCTCAAGTCTTTAATCAAGAATGTGTATTATTTTTATTATTATTATTAAAGTGTTGTTATATAGCGCTGTACCCCAGTCTAGGGCTTGGTTCACAGTGCTTCACATAAAAATTAGCAAAAGGAAAAAAAGAAACATGAAATAAAAAAAACAGTTACATAAAATTATTAATTTAAACAGCTGTGTAAAAATGTTGACCTTGCCAACCCAAAAACTATTGACCCCTGTCTAGCCATGGCCTGCACGCAGCAGCATCGAGGCTTGTTTATCGGTGGGGGGGGGGGAGAATGAGTCGGAATAGTAGAGTTTAAAGGGATATGTCTTGAGTGCAGTTTTGAAGGCTTGGATGGTCGGTATATTGAGGATGTGTAATAGGAGAGAATTCCATTGTTTGTTGGGTGCAGAAATAGAAATATTGCTCACTGTTTGTTTTAGTTCGTGTCTTGGAAACAGAAAGAATATGCTTGTCTGCAGAGGAGTGAAGCTGTTGAAGGGGTAAATAGACAGAAAGAAGATACGATAGGAAGAGCAGGAATGAGAGAAAAAGGTGTGCCTGAAAGGGAGCCAATGAAGGGAGTGAAGTAGTGGAGTGATGTGATCAAGTCTCTTTGCCTTTAGAACTTATCTAGCAGCTGAATTTGGAACTTTTTGCAGTTTTTCTATGAAGTGTTTTGTTGAACCTGACAGAAGACAGTTGCAAATGATTAAGACGAGACTGTAATATAAAACATTATGGGACACTTAAGGAAACATGCATTTTCAATCAATTAAAACACAAGTCAAATCAACAGAGGACTCATATGAAAAGTAAACAATAATAATAGTTTAAACAAAAGTAACAATTTATGGAGTTACAAAATATGTGCTCACACATTATCAATAAAACTATTTTTTTTAGATCAAAATATCCATCCATCCCTGTGGCATTACAGCCCATGTAGGGCTTTGGCCTGCATCATCACTTCCTTCCACTCAGACCTAACTGATGTTTTTGTTTTCCATCTGGGATTCCTAGCTGCTGTAGATCTTTTCCACATCATCGATCCATCTAAGCCTAGCTCTGCCTTTGAATCATTTTCCTCTGGGGTTTTGGTGGTGATCCCTCTTTACTCCTAAGTCATTTGAAGTGTTCCACCCAGTGTAGCCTGCCCTTTTTTTATATTTTCTACTAGCATGGGATCCTGATAAAGTCCATACAATTCCTGATTGCTTCCTATTCTAAATCCATATTTATCCTTCATTGGTATGTATATTTTCTGGAGAACTTTTCTCTCCCATGTGTTTAATAGATTTTCTGCTTTTTAGTGTCCAAGTTTCCCTTGTGTATGTTACAGCTGGTCTGTTTACAGTTTTATGTATAGGTTTCTTTGTTTTTCTTGCAACGTTACCAAAGCCAAACAACAAAACAAAATAAAAATATCTATTTAAAATTAAACATTGAATCATAAAAATTAATATTATTTAAGAGGTGTTACTCTGTATAATATTATTTTCATCTAAAATTTATCAGCATAAATTCGTTGCATCGTAGGTCTGAATACACTTGTTTCACCAACTTTCAACAAATATATAAATAACACGATTAAGGTAAATTTAATCAAAATGACCAAACAAAATCTTTATGATGTTTCCGAATTATCCCTAATAAATATTTATTATTACAATTACAGTAGCACAATTAAGAAGAATCCACTATATAGTTATTTATATTAATTTCAGTTTAATTTGTTTGTGTAAATTTTAATGCACCATATTGTAAGAGAGCAAATTTCATGTTATACATAATGTCCAAAGCCAAAATTCTAAACAAAGGTAAATCAGCATACATTTTTGATAATTTTTTTAAACATATACATTTTTTTTTTAAAGTTTAGAGAAATCTTCTCTCAAAAGAAGGCTAACTAATAATACTATAGAATTATTTTTTAAAAACAAAATTATAATTTTAAAAAAAAATTAATTTGTGAATTATTTCAAACATTTCATAAACAAGCATTTTTTATGTTATTTTATTTTGAAATTATTTTCAACAAAACTTACCAAATTGTTGACAAAACACTTTTTCACTTTCTCCAAAGCATGCTCTTGTTCTTCTTCCTTCTCAAAGGCTTTTTTTAATTGCTCTTTAATTTTATTTTTAAACTCTGCCTCTTCCATTTTCTTTTCAAACTCTAAGGTAAATATGAATGTACTGTTCCTGTAGGAAAGCACAAATAAAATTGAGATAAACAAAGAAAATTTACAAGTATTAAAGAAACATGATCAATGATTTTCAAAAAGCTTCATACTTATCACAACTTTTTATTGTCTCTTCATAAGCATATGCCAAAAAATCAGCAGCTCTGCCAGATCCTTTTACAATGACCACTGGAGTTTTTTTCTCTAAAGATTGTTGTACTGTCTCCATGGTGCCAAGACCACCTTCAACAACTACCAGTACAACTGGAATTTGTATAACTGGGTAAAAAATGTTAAAAACAATAGTAATTGTATTTTTCGTTTATATTAAATAAAATTTAAAGGATAAATAGTTATATAAGTGAAACCAATTAAATTATTCCAAAAACATGATGACAAGATATCATCTGACTAATTGTCTCCATAAAAGTTTACAAATACTCTCCTCCTAATGAGCTCTATTTTCCTGCATTCTTTTCTTATTTCTTATATTTTATATATCTCCAAAACATTTCGGTCATTAACATTTAAGACCTTATTTTTCACAGTAACAATATATACATTCTTTCACTTTGTGTAATCTTGGTTTTTAAAAAATCCAACTTCTGGCAATAACAATGGCAATCATTTTAGTTTTTAACTATTCTCTATTTATTGTCTTTTTTTCATTTTTCCTGTCTGCTAAGGAAGGTTCTTAGCCGAAACTTTGATATCTTGTTTTGCTGTGTTTTGATTCAAGCTTCCACATACCTTTTCTTACTATTTCCATCTCACAGCTTGAACGCTGACCTTCATTTATTTCACTTGATTTTTCTTTTGGTTTTTCTGTGTGAAGTAATGTTAAAGAAAATTGTATTAGAGTTTTTATAATGATTTCCAAACAATATTTACACATCATACAAGTATTTTATTTAAATAAATTAATTAAGACTTAAGTATCTCAATAATCATTTGAATCAACAGGCTAACCAAGAAAAAATTACCATCTGATTCTATGCCAGATATAAATTTCTCTAGAACTGAACGGAACTCAATCTCAACTCCAAACTTTCCTTCTGTGCCATCATCAACAAGAAGGAAATGGGTGTGGTTGGGGTCAAGGTGGGCCCGTTTTTCTTGTAACTCTTCATTGTCATAAATTGCAGGCCAAAATCCATTTTTCTGCACCTATTAAACAAGAAAGATTAAATATATTGTTGGCAATAATATTGAGGTGAGAATGACAACTAACAAAATAGTGAATAAAAATTTAAGTTTAGTTTTAAAAAAATAAATATAAAATAATAAATATATGTATAAATATACATATTAGTTCAAACGGCTTACCCTATTTTCATCCAGTATAATAATATAATGGATTAATCTCTGATTCATTTAATGTTACATATTTTTTCACATAACATCCATCAAATGTAACATTTTTATCTTAAATTCTTCTTATGTAGCATATTTATCTCAAATGAATTCAATGAACCATTTTTTACCACATGCCAATGAAATGTTACATATTTACCCTATTTCCATTCAGTGCCTTTTTATTCCCCACAACTCCCCATGAGGCTATGCCTAGGACCACACATTTATTGTCTGTGCTGTTGCTATGTATCAGCATATGATCCTTCACTGCTTCACCAACAAACTCCATCACACCAGATTTGGTCCCCCCTGTTATGATCCAGGCACCTAAAGAAACGTGTATGAAAATGTATTTATCAAGCATTTTTTTATTCTCTATATACCTTTAAATATCTAATTATATTTTTCCCAAATATCAAAAATAAATTCATACTTAAATAAGAAGTTTACTCAATACTCTAAATCAGTGTTCCTCAAATGGCAGTCCGTGGATCTGCACCAGTCCCCAAACTTTACGTTGCCAGTCAGCAAAACATGCATATTTGTCGTCAAATAAAAAGAAAATATTAGTAATAAATCTTCCACCTGTCCTTGTTGCAATTTTGAGACTTGTCCACTGGTCCAACAAACTTAAATGATGCTCTAAATCCTTTTCTAAATAACTAAGTTGATTTTGTTTAATTAAACAAGAAATGATATGGATCTATAAGTTGTAACACAACTAAAAAAAAGTTCCGTTGATACTTACCTGTTTTAACAGCTGATCCTACAAGTCCTTGCTTGAGAAATGAGCTAAGTCTTGGTTTCAATTTAAACTTTTTAGCCCCACCTGTAACAGAGATGAGAAGCCTTGGTGGTGGCATTTTCCAGTACTTGATCATCAGGTCCCAAACAACAATAGCCTCTGTTTCATAGCATATCCTTGCGTACTATATTTTAAAAAAAAGAAACTTACATGATGACTTACAATTAAAAATTGTGAAAAAATTTTGATTACTACTGAGCATTACTCGACTATGATAATATCAACATATTTTTAACAAAAACTCCCAACAACAAATCTTTTTTTGTCTCAAAACCTGTTTGAATTTATTGAAAATAATTTCAAGTATGCACATAATGCTGGGTTATTTTAAATGTAATTGTAATTTGTTTACTTACTGGTACCAAAGTGTTGCTTATACTGGTGCCAAAACCACTGAATTGTATTTCACCAAATGAATCACATGGTATTTTTTCTGAGTGTTTATCTTTTATCCATTTGACTGCCTTAACTCTCTTTTGCACACCTTTACTATGCTCTTTCACTAATCTGCCACATTGGCAAATTTCTGTTTTGCTACAAAAAATAATTATAATATGATTATAAGAGTAACTTAAAATATTAGATAACACTAACAGTAGCTGTTCATATACAACAGATAGAAATGAGATTGACCTGAGCCTAAATTAGCATCACTTAGTTCATTATTTTTAAAAATATGACATTGACCTTGAAAGTTATAAGGAAGTTAAGATAAAGGTAAATGAAGATGGCTACCCCCAAAAAAATTACAAAAGGAAAACCTTTGAAGAAGCCATAATAAGCATTTAATAAGTGAAGAGACAAGAATATCTAATAGACACCTGAGACCACAACAAAGATGACAATTAAAACAACTCTCAAGAAGGGATCATGATGAATGTTTAGTTTTTCAAGCTCTGCTGAAGCCACAACTGCATACACTACTTCTGTTCCACAAATTTGAAATTATCGCAACAGATCTGTGGCAGTGAGGGACTGACAAGTTAAACAGATATCTTTGAGGAATGTGGGAATTTCAAAACCGTGGAGAAGAACTCTGATCCCAACAATCACCATTGTCTGATTAAAAACTCTGTGGACTTAAGGAGTCTCTAGTTAATGGTTTATTTCATTTTGGAACTTAGAGTAGACAAATATTTCAATAAAAAAGTAAAATACACAATTTATTTGAAAATTTAAAAAAAAAAAACTGAGATAAATTTATTTTGTGGCAACAACAAAATTTCCTTACTCTTCTTTTATTATTTTCTTGCAATCTCTCTGATTAATTTCTCTTTTTTTAATGAATGAAACAGTTTCATCCTGAAAAGTAGAAAATATGAAATTGTTCATTTTATATAAATTTACTGATTCAAAACTCAGAATTTCTCTTCAAATATTTTCGTAATATTTAAACAAAATTATGCTTTGTGGAATAATATAATATACATGTTATTTATTAAAAAATGCTTACAATTAAACTTAAAAATTAGTTGCTAGTAAGTAAAATTTTAGAAAATCTTTGCATTCAATAGTTACCTGACTTATGAAAATTTCATTTTTTTTATTCAAATTCATGCTCAATGAAGGTAAGCTACTGCTAGCACTTTCAGGTGATGTTTCTTCTCCATACATTATTTTCCACTCTTTTGTTTTTGTTCTGTATTTAAATTTGAAATTTTTGTCATCCATATCGTTAGGTATTGTAAACTTTTTAGAATAATCGTCCTCTTCTTGTCATCACTGCTAGGTACCTGAAATTATATAATATGTAAATACAATCTAGTAATATCTTTAAATTGATTAATTCAAAATAAATTTATATTTTATTGGTTCCTTTATACTAAAATAAAAGTCACATTCAACAGAAATTTCATTCTGAAATTTTTTAGTAGGCCTATAAATAAATAATGAGCTCATTAAGAACCTTCTTTTTTACAATAATTTCATACTAAATGAGGAATCAGTAGAACTTTTGTAAATATATTTTTGTGAAATTAGATTAAGAATAATCATTTATCAAGTAAACAATACTGAAAATTGTTAAGGTGTTGTCTTTCAAAAATAAGCTTCATAATTACTTAATTCCTTAAGAAAAATCATCGCTTATAATTATCTTATAACTTGATTGATGATTTTTTTAGAGACATCACTGCCACAGAAAGTTGAATAAAAGACAATTATTTTATGAGGTCTATCAATGTCTTGCAAGAAAGTTGAACATCTTTCACACAACAAGCCTCAGAAAAATCCCTAAAATCAAATGGCAGGACAGGATCCAAGGCACCGAGGCCAAGGACACCAAGGTACTCAAACTCACATACTGACACTGTGTTGCATCTTTTATTACTATTTTAATGCAGGCCCAGCTTTTCTGGGTGTGACATGTTATAAGAATTTCAGATGACTGCTTGCCTAAAATAATATAATATAAAGATAATCTACAAATTGAGAGTCAACCAAGGTTTGAAGGGCTATTTAAACAATTATTCTTATATTGGTTTTTATGTTAATGGTTCTGCTTCCACATAAAGTTATTTAGCACAATACATTTAAAAAATTATTAATTCTAAGCTACTGATATAGCAGGCAGAAAAAGAGGAGAGACTACAATAGTGCCCATGCACAAAGTGTTTGCTACTTATCAGATACGAAAATATGAAGAAGTATGGCGGCTGTCCACACTACTGCCGAATTTGTCAGACCCTAATTCAGTACTACGGTGGTGTGTGTGTAGACGCCTGTCTAAAAACAGTATGACATGAGGTGTCTGCAATGGGCTGTGCAGATTAAACAGATAAACTCAAGGACAGGATGGTCTCAGGTGGGCCTGTGCTGCATGCAGTTACTGAAAGTCATTACGAGAAGGCTCTCTCTTTGCAGGAAGTCACCTCAGCATCCAGCATGCAGTTACAGAAAGTCACAACAAGAAGGCTCTTTCTCTCCAGGAAGTCACCTCAGCAACCAGCAAATTATTATTTTAGTTTACTGCTGGTGTTGTGATATGCCACAGTTGCAGATGGCACGAGAGGCTGACATCTCAAATGTCACTAGTGTGTCGGACTGGTGCAATATATGCGGGAGGAGTGCAAAGCCTGGCTGGCTGCAAATACGCCTGAAATTGGGTGTTTGGACAATCAACGAGAATCCATTTTAGTTGACATCAATGAAACAAAATATTTCCACAGGAAATACCACCGTGGATAGTGGGGAGAGGGTCACTGGGTCACTGGGTTTTTGGTTGTGTGGAAAGAGAGAGTGGGCGCTGCTTTCTTATCGAAGTGCCAGACCGACGTCCAACAACATTACAAGAGTGCATCGAAAGATTTATACTAATATACTTACAGGATCACTGATTGTATCCGACAATTGGGTGGCGTAAGCCAATATAGACCAAATAAGAAATAGTATATATGAACAGTTGAACACTCCGTTGTGGGGCATCAACAAAATTTTGTTGATCCAGATGACTCTGATGTCCACACACAGAATTTGGAAAACATGTGGATGCGCGCAAACTGAAAAGACAGATTGGCACAAGCCATGATCTTCTCCCTCCATATTGACATGAATTCATGTTCCAGAATTGTTTTTGTGGAAATGACAACTTCATTTTGTCACCTAGGGGGAGAATTATGCATGGCTAAATCTAAGAATCATCCCGTGACGTCATTTGCATGTTTATTCAATTTTTTTGCAGGAGTCTTTCCCCTTTGTTTATTTTATTTTTTATTTTCATTGGAGGAAGCGTCGGACGAGTTTATTTTAAGAAAATTATTTTGTTATGTATCAGTATTCGTACGCTGATGACATGTGTTGTATTAAAATTTTAATTGGTTTATTAATTATAATTTTAAAATATCATTGGTTGGCTAATTATCATATTTTATTTCTGCCGCCATATTTGCTACATTTTGGCCTAATACCGGTCTTGTGCTCTATTCATTTTGTGGATAATATTTTCGATGGAACCTGAAATAAAGTGTGTAAAAGTGTATTTCATGAAACTGTAAGTTGGGTTTTTATTATTTCCTTAATTTTATAATTATTTTTGTCCATTTTTTCTTGTTTTTGTTCATGTTCATAGTTTTCTTGCCATAGTGTGTAAATTCCATGTGTTCTTACTTGCGGCTCTAGGGCTAGTTTTAGCATTTGGGTTGAGTTTAGGAATCGATTTAGGGTTCAGGTTAGGTTTAGGAATAGGTTCAGGTTAGGTTTAGGGTTCAGGTTAGGTATAGGGTTCAGGTTAGGTTTAGGGATAGGTTTAGGGTTAGGTTTAGGGATCGATTTAGGTTTAGGGATAGGTTTAGGGTTTAGGTTAGGTTTAGGGATCGATGTAAATTTTAAGGACGAATGCCACTATTTTATCGAATTTAACGAATGTATCCCTAAATCGATCCTTACACCTAACCTGAACCCTAAATCGATCCCTATGCCTAACCTGAACCCTAAATCAATCCCTATGCCTAACCTGAACCCTAAATCCATCCTTATGCCTAACCTAAACCCTAAATCGATCCCTCAGCCTAACCTAAAACCTAATTCACTGCAACTATAATAAACACACAAAAGACGCCATGGCATCCATCCTTAATTTTAGCCGGGATCGATTTAGGGTTAAGGTTAGGTTTAGGGTTTAGGTTAGGGATGGTGGCCGTCAACCTTTAAAAAAATTTCAAATTTGGCCCGTTTTTTAATAATTTTTAAGTAAATTGTTTTATTTTTTCTATTTGCATTATACATGTGCTGGAATTGGAATGAATACTACAATGAAAATGTCATAAAAACTTAATAGGCCTAAGAATAATTGTTTAAATAGCCCTTCAAACTGGAACAAGTGGATTTTTTCTTGGCCGAGGCTCAAGTGGTAGATTTGCAATATAAATTTAAAGGCTAATAATAGTAATACTATTAAACTGTAAATTAAAGTCATCCTACTAACTACTAAGCGTAGGCCTAAGCTCTTTCATTTTGTGGTATTAGTTAGGCTTCTACTACTAATTATTAGGCTAATTATATTATAATTAAATAAATAATTCGTACTCACTCATACCATAGCCATAAGTAAGAAGACGCTTTTTATGTTTAGACCTATGACCATAAGCCTAAAGAGTAGTAAAGTAAGACAAGTTCTATCTAGTTAATCCAGTGACTAGTCCTAACTTGTCCTAATTAATCACCAGCCCTAAGCCCATGCCATAGTACAGAAGTTACTCTCTAGTCTAAGTTGTTTTGCTTTGGTAAATTTAGTCTAGCTCTTATTTAACAACAACTTCTATAATTATTTGCTTATATTACCGTTTCTCGTACATTTTAACACATGCAAGTGCTTTTTCTTTTTTAATCTTAATTTTAAAAAAACAACCCAAAAACATTAACAACAGTGACTATGGTTTTTGTTTAAATTAGAAATCCACCATCTTGATACTAGTAAACAGTAAATGCTTTTGGTTACACAAATCACCGAGGTGAAAAATGGATGTGGAATTATTTTCTCTTGTAAAATTCTTACAATTATTTTAAAACATAAATGTTACTTTGTTCAGACTAAAAATTGTCAAGATTCTTTACTGAGATAGCAAAATTTAAAGTTTATAACTTTCCTGTAGTGACTCCGACGCCGACTCCAATCCTGTCTGTGACCTCTGTTTTGTTACTATTTCTAACAAAGTAATTAAAGTATAATTTACTTTATTAGTATTAGTATAGTATTACTCCTTCCAATACCAAGCCGCCCACCCCTTCAAGCACATCTTAAACTCACCAATACCCTCATTTACCCTAACCATTCTCCCCCCATGTACTCATGTATACCTAAACCACTCCCTCCTTCCTTACTTTGAGGGCCCACGATCAATGTATTGATCATGCTGACTCATATAACCACACATTATGATTAAAAAGATTTTTTCGTTAGATGTAAATTCAAATATTCAAGCATGGATACTGAACTTTTTAACAAATCGTCAACAATATGTCAAAGTGAAAGACCAAATATCATTAACAGTCTAGAGAGATATGAACTGGAGCGTCACAGGGTTGCGTTCTCTCCCCTGTCCTGTATGCAATATATACCAATGACTATGAAATCCAAAGCCCAAGCAGCAACGTTCCAATCATTAAATTTGTTGATGATAATACCATCGTTGGTTTTATATCTGAAGGGGAAAGCTTATACCACAATTTAATTACAAGCTTTATCAGTTTTTATTATGATAATTTTCTTCAGCTGAATGTCTAAAAAAAAAACGAAAGCAATTGTCGTTTTCAGCAAGGCGAATCACCCAACAGCAGATCGCACAGTATGGAGCAAGTTGAGACATATAAGTACCTATGTGTCAACTTTAATAATAAGCTGACATGGCAAGAACATGGATAAATTCTGCATACACAATTCAACTAAACACTTTTCTATCTTATTATTACTATTTTAAAAAAACAATTTTGGTGTTACAAATCCAAGTTATTAACTTATTCTACAGTGCAACAATATTGAAGCGTTCTAAACTTCAGTATTTCCTGCAGGTGTAAGAATTCATCGTCTGACACCAAACACCGATTAAATAGACTAATGAAGAAACCTAGTAATATCACACAAACTAAACATCATTCATTTGAAGAACTATTTTGGATAAAAAAAAAGCTGTTGTAAAACTTAAAAAAACCTAATCAACTGTATGATACATCCAACCCTCTTCATTACAGATAATTAAGATCAGCTCGATCAGTACGAATTCCTTCTCTTAAAGTTAGGAAAAAAGATGTAAACATTATTTTGTTCCCCAGTCTGTACGAATTCCACAGCATGCCCCCCCCCCCCAGCGGTTACAAAATCTAAATAATCACTAATTAACTCATTATTGGCACTAAAGGCGTTCATTGATGACTGATATATACGCTATAGATACTTTAGATGTCTTGTGTTTAAATTGTTATAGTCTAATTGTAAAATCTTGTCTTGGTTAAAATATATATTTATGTTTTTATTCTCGTTTCTTATTAAACATTCTTCTTCTATATATTAAGGGCCCACGATCAATTTATTGATCATTCTGGCACCTATGCATGTAGAGGGTATTTGCAATGTTTCTGTGCCTGGTATTGATGAGGATATTTCACTGGTTGCAAGGACTACTTAGTGAGGGTATCATGCACTGGTGGTTGGAAGGCCTGAAGCAATAGACGCAAATTGGTCAAGTGTTGTCGCCTCAACTGTTTCATTTGGAAGCTTGTTCCAGTCCTTGATTGTTTTTGGCAGAAATGATCAGTTCCTATACTGGAACCTCGCTGGTATGAGTCGGAACTGCTTGTCATTGCCTCGTCGCTGTCTATGGGGGAGAGGGACGATTTTCTGTTTAATGCTGGAGCTGTGGACTAGACTATCAATGTTCTCTTTAAGGTTTCCTGTTTCGTTTGCAAAATTATACAGTTGTTTTTGCAGTATCAATTTTTTGTGTGCAATATTTTTCAGCCCACAAACACACACAAGGAAATTACATAAATGAACTTAATGGCTAAAACGTTTGTATAAATAAATAAAAGAAATATAATTAAATAGTTAAAATCAGAAGTGTCACAATAATTCAATAAAAGCGATATTTACTTCTATTATTTATCCCGTCGTTGGTTCAAGCAACTAAATTCCAAGACACCCAATACCAATGGCCGCTAGTCATTTTGTTGACTAATTTCTTGGGGCTCACTGCATGGCGTCTGTCTTTCAACGATATTCATCTTTTTACACATCGTCAAGGTTGATCTGATGTCCATCATTCTGATACGATTTAATCCTCATAAACATGTCTAAATGTAACTCCTCCGGCCTATTTCTAAATTTTATTTCTATATTATTCATTGGGCTGAATCCACGTTCACAATCGGCGCTTAATACAAGAAATGTAGCATTCATATCCAACGGGATGGTAATGTCACCGACTCGCTCTTCTTTTATTACTAATCGAACTATCTGGTCGAAATGCTGCATTAACCCACATTTCATTTTTTTTCTGCAAGCACAAACCTTAAGTTACGATACTAATCTTTAATTTTCGGCAGAATGTCATCATAGTTTTCTCGCCGCTAATCTAGAAACAAGTGCTTCAAGTTCTTCTGGGCCAAAATTAAAATCTGAAGTGTCGATTAACGTTGATATATCAAAGGTTTGCCATTTCATCAACTCACTTTCAGGAAAACGGGAGTCCAGGTGCAAACATAAACATTCAACGAATTTTAGGGTGAAACTCATGTTTGCATCCTCGTCTTTAGCAAGCAATTCAGTGTACATTTTCACCAAGGTATGGTACGGAGCTTAGCACCCTTGCTTTTACAAACTGTTATGCCTGCCGCCTCAATGGTCGTAAGATTTTTTTTTGTAGCAGCTTTCATAATTCATTAAGTTCACCAACAACTTCATCAAAGACATTCAGCGTAGTTCGAAACTGCGAATCCATTAGATTCTTGAAACAGTATTGATAAAATTTATAATTATAGACTCACCTGCTCCTCACAGTATTCAGTAAACACTTGTATGTTTCTCAGCAATGCTCGTAAGGCAAGGTGCTGCGAAAGCCATCTGATTTCATTCAATGGTCTAAAGCAGGGGTCTCAAACTCACGGCCCGCGGGCCATTTGCGGCCCGCAAGACGATAGTTTGCGGCCCGCTACATGACAGCAAAGTTTAGTGTTAATGCGGCCCGCGCGTTTTCCATATTCTCATATGTATAGCGTGATCCTTCGCGACGGTTTCAGTCAAATCTCACCGACTAGTCTAATTCTATTTTTATCATGTTTGGATAGGTGCAGACGTCTTAATTCGGACTAAAAGTTTTTATTTTATTGCATTTTATAATACAAACATAACCAAAAAGCAGTTTCGAGAAACGTTCAATAGTCAATAATTGGGTAATGCTTAACCATAATTGTGTAAATCGTAGCAATTTGACGGAGTATCAAAGAGTTCCTATTAAAATTGCCGCTGGTGTTTACGAGTGAAGGAAATTTCGAGCCTGTCAGCTTGGTCACTTTCAAAAGGGTTAGTCAAAAAGGCCTTTGCTACAATAAAAAATCAAAATTAATTATCCCTGCAATAGCATCTCCATTCGCATCAACAATTCATAAGTATTGCCTTCTACTGACTACTGCTTGAACACGTTTTAACATTTAAAGCCTTCATGGAAAAGGATGGGATGGTTGTTCCTGTACTAAGTGGTCCCAAATGGCTCATGGACTTAGCTTTTATTGTTGACATTACACATGAGCTGAATGTACTCAACAAGAAATTACTAGACCAGGGGCAGCTTGTCATTGTTGCCTATGGCAATGTCAAGGCATTCTCCACAAAACTTGTGTTATGGTTCTAAGAGAAACTTATACCATTTCACAAAAAACAAAGTACTCATGGACTCTGGCACACCATTCAGTAGTAAGAATACTGATGCTATTGCAAAGCTACAGGAAGAATTTAATCACATATTTTTAGACTTCAAAACCCTATGAGCCACTTTTGCTGACCCTTTTTCCTTTAATGTGCATGATGCCACCCCCCCCCCCCCACTTTTTTTTTTTTTGCTTTAAACGGAGCTAATTGATCTTCAGTGCAATACTAAGTTCAGGGAAATGAATGGAAAAACAGACGAGCATGGACAATTTATGAGAGCATTGTCATCCGCCTTTCCTTGAGATTTCATGGTTGATCAAGCGGATCATGGTCCATTTTTGGGAGTACATATCTGTGTGAAAAGCTCTTTTCCACTTTGAACTTTAAAGTCAAAATTCATGGCCAAGCGTACTGATGAGCATCTTCAAACTATACTGAGGGTCTCAGTTGCTTCCTCACTCAAGTCAAATGATGCTCAGCTGTGTAGAAAGAAACGTTGCCAGGGCTCTGGCAACAAGGAGTAGGAGGAAGAAAGTGTAGCCTAGTCTTGAAAATCCTTAATGTTTTTATTTGTTATTAATAAAGGTTGAGCACATTGTAACAGTTGTGCTTTATTGAATTTTTAATCGCTTTTTTTGTGGAATACTTTGATGCGGCACAGTCTCAATCAGACACTACCTCCTGCAGCCCGCGGTAGATTTGAGTTAGAGACCCCTGGTCTAAAGACTACGGAATCACATTCCACCACCTTAGCTAGTTCGGTAAACTGGGCTTTCCGTACTTTGACCTACTAAACAATGTGTAAACTGCCCTAAAGAATGTTTCAATGTCTGCCATTAAACTTATATGTTTGCAAGCATCATCGATGCCTCAATCTTCACACTAGGTAATTCTTGCCTAGCATAACCAATGCACCATCAGAGCTAAACATAACCATTTTCTGCATGTCCATTGTATTCTCTCAATAAAACTCTGTTATTTCTGATTCCACA